TCCTGATCTGGCACAGCGTAGACGCTTCCAGTCGGTTCAGGCCGAAATACTTGCCCCCTTTCGGTATCTGCATCGAAGGGCCCTCCGGTTCCTCAGCGATCGTGATGCTCTGTGATGCGTGCACCTAGGGGGGAGGATGCTATAATGCAGCAGTGCGCAACGTTATAGTATCTAATTGAATGGGATTCACCTAACCAGTGGGTCCCCCTACCTTTTCGTATCACTCTGCTCCGGTGAGCCATCTCTTCCTCCAGTGGCCGAGGAGGGCAGCCGGGACCTCCTTTTCCTCACTCATCCACTCGGAGCCCCGGGCCTCCTTCTCCATAGTGTACCCTGCCGGTCGGAGTAGCTGCGACGCCTGCTTCCTCTTCGCCGGCCTATCCTGCCGGAGTATATGTGACGCTTTAGCGCTCGCGCTGCGAAGCAGATTTCTCTTCCCGCTAAGCCGTAGCCGTTCTTCAAACTTAGCAGCCCGGGCACTAAGATAGAGGTCTAGTGGCGGGATTGCTGCTTCTGCTTCCAGGTGGCGAACCGGCGTCGCTTTGTGCGCGCCACAGACTACCCGGAGGCACTCGTTCTGTATCCCCATCAGGCTCTTAGCTGGCCCTGCCGGTTCCTCACTTATAGTATGCCACGCAGTCGCCCCGAAGGCGATCGCGCTACGGATAACCACCGTATATAACAGCCTCGCCCGTATAAGATCGCAGCCCCACGACATATTGACTAGCTTTGTCAGGGCTAGCTTTTGAGTTGCCATTTTTGTTTTAACACGCTCAACATGGGCGTGCCACGTCAGTTTGTGGTCGAACCAGACTCCTAGGAACCTCGCTTATATATTTATTCCCTTCTTTACTAACGCACTTAGAGCATCGTAATCCTAGTGATGCGAGTGCATATGGGGTGTGAATTGTTGTATTGGGAAAGGATGGCCAGGTCAGCTATTCTGGCCTGGCAGAGCTCTTTTATACCTCTAATCTATCTTCTCTATAGCTATAGGGTAACCCCCTATGGGGTCACGTATCACCTAGTGACCAGTTTAGGCCATGCGAGCTAGAATCCTTTAGTTAATCGCTCTCTGGTTTCCCTGTCCCATTCCTCTTTCAGGGCTTCCTGGGTTACCAACGATTCGTAACACCCAGTAGGAAAGGCGGATAAGGTGTTAGGCAACCTACCTTGGTGGGCTTTGCCAGTCCACAGAGGGTACCACGTGACTTAGCCCTTCGGGACTAAGTCCGACCTTTTCGCTATAGCTTCAGATAGGAATGGATACAGACGGCTCGCTGGCTACCCATAGTGTCACGACCTGGGTTGCATCGCATGGGTATAGACCTCGATTAGGTGCTATCGACCAAGATTCTACTCTAAGGAGCGAAGGAAAGAAGATGACAACTTAGGTTTGAGGGAGCGCGACTAAGTCATCCACGCTTGGCGGGGCTCCTACAAGGGTTATGATTGGCTTCCCACCTGGCACTGCCATGGCAGGTGTTCCAGCTGTACGTCACCTGGTTGTAGTGAGTCTGCGAGGGTTGACCTTCACACATAGCGACAGGACTTTAGCTGTAGCAGGCTGGGCTGGTTATCAGGCCGGTAAAAGACTACTCTGCGGGTCCGAACTACTGGGCTCTCAGATAGAGGTATACGATGCGGAAGCCCACGCAGCACTACGGGGGCTTCAGGAGGCTGTAAAGCTTCCGTCCAACAGCATGGCAGATAACGTCCACATCTGCCTCGATAATCTCGCGGTTGCGGGTAGGCTCATCTGTCCAAGTCCCGGAAGCAGTCAAGCAAAGTTCACCGCCTTCCAAGAGCTGTCCAAAACCTGGTCACAGAGAGAGCGAAAACCCTGGACATCCCCGCAGGACACGTAGGCATCCTCGGAAACGAAGAAGCAGATGTCCAGGCCAAAGCGGCCTGTGAGCAACCACCCAAGACACAACACCCGGCCTCATTCGCACATATAAAGAGAATCGCGAGATCCTACACTTGGAAGAGCTTCAACGATCGATGGGCCACTACCTGCCCTCAACAGTATCGAGATCTAGGGATCGCTATCCACCCGCGACCCCCCGAACTTGGCCTGCCCCGGCAACACCTAGGCAGATTACTCGCAGCGAGGTCGCACCATGGGGATTTCGTGACCTACCACGAGAGACTCCAGCATCGCGACGCACTGCTCAACTGCGGGTGTGGAAAGACAAAGACGCCAGTCCACTTCTACTTTTGCAAGCGCGGCCGCAAGGTGTTGCATGAGAAGGAAACTACGTAATCTAAAGCTATAAGCTTTCACTGGTCATGGTACCGAAGGTATCGCTACCAACAAGACAGGAAAGTCTATTCTAGGGCTATAATTCTCGCTTACCTATAAATAGGAGCATGTGAGGACTTCCCGTCAAGAGAGAATACAAGTCTTCAATCTGCACTCTTCTACATGAATTCACACCTTTTCTGCAACACAAGGCCACGCCCGGTCATCTAAAAGCGCATATGGCCAAGAATAGTATAGATTCCCTCCTCGGCACGGCCAAGGGAGCTCGTTTGTTTTGCCAATGGGCGGAGGAGACCAATTTCTTTACTGAGATCTGCCCATCGCACTGAACAGGAATGTTAGATGAAGACAGTCCCCTGTAACATAGATTCGACTAGCATAGACCATGCCGGCACTGCGCCCGGCACGTCTCACGTGATGAGACGTTAAATTTCAATCAATCAATCAATCGATAGGAATGGATGTTTTTCACAACAATCCACAATCAACCACCAGAGCGTGTAATATAAGGCTATTTGATACGTGACCCCATGGGGGGTTGCCCTGTAGCTAGAGATAAGATAGATAAGAGCTATAAAAGAGCTCTGCCAGGCCAGAATAGCTGACCTGGCCATCCTTTCCCAATACAACAATTCACACCCCATATGCACTCGCATCACTATTATATATTAACTCGCCGAGATAGCTACAGTACGAATATAACTGGAAAAAAACATCCTAGATGTATGCTAGACGTCGTAACTAATCCGAATAATTCTTCGTTAACTTGTTAGTGATCTAGAAAGTCTAGGATGGGGAATACGGCCTATACCACCAGAAGAGCAGTTGTCACGCCGCGCCAGGGGTTGCAATCCTTGTCACTACGCCACCATACCAGATGTCTTCACCAAAAGAGACCAATACCAAAGTCCCTGACTTTGGTATCTGCAACCACTTATCAATCTGTTCAAACCAGTGTAGGTCAATCACGTGACAACCGTCACATTACCCCCCCGTTCTGACAAGTCTCGTCCGCGAGACTTTGCTCTAGAGACCTTGCCTCCAGCCAAGGGTAATTCTGGATAAGTAGATCCCTGAAAAGCCTCAGTCAACTTTTCCAAGTGCGGGACTCGAACCGTCGTCCTCCGCAGAGGGGTACACGAGTCAGCGCACCCGTGTTTGACTTTGGTATTGGTCTCTTTTGGTGAAGACATCTGGTATGGTGGCGTAGTGGCAAGGATTGCAACCCCTAGCACGGCGTGACATAATACCAAAGTCAAATACGGGTGCGCTGACTCGTGTACCCCTCTGCGGAGGACGACGGTTCGAGTCCCGCACTTGGAAAAGTTGACTGAGGCTTTTCAGGGATCTACTTATCCAGAATTACCCTTGGCTGGAGGCAAGGTCTCTAGAGCAAAGTCTCGCGGACGAGACTTGTCAGAACGGGGGGTAATGTGACGGTTGTCACGTGATTGACCTACACTGGTTTGAACAGATTGATAAGTGGTTGCAGATACCAAAGTCAGGGACTTTGGTATTGGTCTCTTTTGGTGAAAACATCTGGTATGGTGGCGTAGTGGCGAGGATTGCAACCCCTAGCACGGCGTGACAGCAGTTAGAAATTGATAATTTTCTCGAAAGACAGGCTCCTCCTAAAAAGACGGCTTGAACGAACGTATCTAAAACTTCAAGTCTTCATAGTCATAGTCGGAAGTCCACCAAGTTGATCTTGTTCTTCAGTAGTCGCTGATCATACCGTGCTGATGGGCCACCGCTCTGCTGCTTCATAATGAAAATAATATCAGGCCTGCATCGTTCTCCGGCCTGCCTGTCCAACATAGCTCATCACATACTCCAGGCAATGACAGGGTAAATACGGGGACGCGATCCTTCAAGTCCCCTATAACTGTGGATCTGCTAGACCAGGGCACCGCTCGTGTTACTCAACCATCTTCACATCCTTCTTGGTGTGCAGCAAGGTTGGCCAATTTCATACTGTTAAGTGACTACCTCGAGGTATTTACTATGCTCGTCTATCATTCAATTGATCGAGGTCACAATAGTTACTCTGTTCCAGCTGGCGCCGTACCTTGGCCTGGTATTGCAAATGCAGACTGAAAGGTTCACTACGCTGATTTCATCCAGATGAGTCGTTTCAGCCCCGAATGTGACAGAACGGCCGGGTTGAGATCTTCGGGGCTGGCATGTAAATAGCTTGGTTCAGTTCAGCTCCCAAGCCAGCGGCGTTTCAAAAATCCAGATCCATGATGCGTAACGAATTATATCTCAAAATATCAGCCTTGGCGCCCCCTAAAGGACTAAATGCAAGAGCCGCCTCGCAAGATGCATAGGGCTGAGCTATTCCGAGGCCGTGGACTCCAATCCGCGCCCCTGACTATGACAATTAGTCGCATCTTACCACAACTCCGGCTGCCATAGCTCTTTCTAACTTCGCACGAGGGCAACACTAATTGTAAAGTCCGAGTCTCAACAATGCGGATATTCATGAAGCGCTTGGTCCCCCTTTTCCCCGTGGAATGTGGAATGCATTATTTTAGCAGATTTCCTCACTTACATTCCGTTTCGCACCATTGAATCTCAACTTTTTAATTTAATATACGAATCAGTCATATTAATGCTCCTCCATTGATGAGCAGACAGAAGAACATACGAAAAAAATGGCAGAACCAAAACCCAGTCCAGACCAACAGCAATACCCCGCCCAACCGCAGCCCGTCTACCAACAGCAACAACCCTACGGTGTACCCAACGGCATGACGGGGGTCGGCGGACAAGTCATGTTCGCACCCACACCACTGAATGCACTCGGGGCTTTAACTGCCCAGATCGACTGTCCCTTCTGTCACCAAAGAGTGCAGACTCGAATCGACCAGCATGATTCGAGCATGACGATGTAAGCACCTTCCCACCTTCTGATTCGCCCACTCCATACATATTCCGCAATCGTCTCGCTCTCTTTGATATTTCCAAGCGTCTGACGGAAGAAAACAGACTCGCAGGGTTTGCCCTTGGTTGTCTTTGCATCTGCGCCGCCTGCCTTCCTTGCATGCTTCACTGGTGCCAGGATGTTGACCACTTTTGCACCAACTGCAACCAGCGCGTCGCGCATATACCGTACAGTGGGGTGCCGCAGGTGATTCAACCGCTTGTTAACGTACCGCCGCAGTATGCCATGGGGCAGCCGCAGCAATATGGCGGCGGGGTGCAGTCGCCGGCTCCGGTTGCGGGTAATGTGGTGCCTGGGCAGCAGCAGCATCAGGGGGTCCCACCAGGATACCCTCAGTGAGATGATTGGGATTCAAAGGGATGAGTGTATTTTTGTCATGGTCTATAACGTTATCGAGACTCATTAGATCTCATTGAAGTCGTATACGAGACGGACCAACACTATACGAGTGGTTAACGGAACAACTTTGCGGCATGAGCAGAGTTCAGTTGGATAGATTGCGTTAAAATCATTATTATTACGAGTAGATTCATATTCATCCACAGAGCGAGGCACCGATACTATCATCCTTGCTTACGCGGACCCCCTCACCTAACAGACCTCCTCATCAAAATATCCCCTCCCAACATCGTGCTCCCTACCTTCGGAACCTTCAGCAATCCCCTCTCAACCAAATCTACAGCTAACCTTGCTAGCAATCCGTCACAACCCTTCGCTGCCATGATATCCACCGAAACCGGGAAAAATTCCTCATGGTTCGTCACCTCACTAAACGCCGCCACCTGACCCAGCGGGAACACCGAGTCCGGACACTCGGAGAAGACACTCAATCTCCCTTCACTAAACCCCAGCGGGACGCTCGGCGGGTCAAAGTACTGGTTCCGCGGATTTTGGTCCCCCATGCTGCCCGAGTAGAGGAGCAGGGCTGAGGAGCACTGGTCCGGAACGGGGCTCAAGATGGCGGTGTTGAACCAGTCCATGAAGAAGGTTTTGTTGGCGATGGCGTCGTCGAGGGCTGAGGAGGGAAAACTGGATGCCCAGGCCCAGCGGGTTAAGGGCGCGGGATCGACAAAGGGGGTTCGGCCGTCGTGGGCGGCGGCGTAGTCGGCGAAAAAGGGGGTTTTGACTAGTTTGACTTGCTCCAGGCCGATGAGGGTGGGGTAGGTGTAAGCGAGGAGGTCAAGGAGGCCAGTGTTGGGTGGCACTCCCGAGGGGAGGGTCGAGGACCACTTGGAGATCAGGTCGAGGGGTTCGACGGAACCCCCCACGAAGGATGCGAGGGAGGCGGCGAAGCTGTTTAGGATTGCGCCGGCTTCGGTGCTCGAGTTAGGGAAGGAGACGGTCAAGATTTTGGTGGGATACTTCGGTGACTTGTCGGCAAGAGAGGTATAGTTCCCTGCGTACATGACTGCCTCCAGCTTGTCCCACAGTGTCGGGTCCCGGAGCAGAAACCCAGCTGTGTCCAAATGTGTGCACAGCGGCATGACATCGTCCAGACTGACCAAGCCGTGCGAGGGCCGGTTGCCGAATATTCCTTGAGCTTGCGACGGTGATCGGATACTGCCACCAGTGTCACTCCCCACCGCCACGTCCAGCCATTCATAAGACGCAATGGAAGCACCCGCACCGGAGCTGGACGATGAAGGATCTTGGTAGCCGTCCCCACGCGGGTTGAATGGCGAATGGTAATCTACCCAGTCCGCAGTAGCCTCCTCACCGTTTGCAAACTGGGACAGCTTCTGCGTGCCGACAATAACGGCACCAGCCTTGATCAGTCGCGAGATGGCCGGTCCTGTCACGTTGCTAGCCGGGTACAGGTTGAACCACGCCCTATTCCCGTTGGACTTCTTGACACCCGCTAGGGAGAAAATGTCCTTGACAGCGATGCGCACACCCGCGAGCGGTTTCTCTGCCGTCGGCGTGTAGTACAGTCGGGACGGCACGCCGATCGTCAGGGTTGCCGAGGTCGAAATTTGCGCCGACAGAGACTGGAACGCTCCGTCGGGCTTTGCCAGCAAGGATTCGGTGAATGCGCCGGCGAAGTCATTGTACAACCGGTAGACGGGGTATAGGTCACCGGTGGACTTCTCCATGAAGTACGGACCTGACGGAATGGTGGACGTGGCATTCAGGCCCATGACTTGTGAAGTCACGTTGCCCGCAATAGTGGTTCGTTGGCTATACGAAGCCCCTGCACCGGCGAGAAACACTGCTTGCAGGAAAGCGGGCTGGAAGACATCGTCCGTCGCCGTCCAGTTGGAAACGAGTGCCGTGAGGTCGGACTCGGCAACCGATTCGGAGACGATCGCCACGGGGAGGAAGCCATGGACACTGCTCAGTGACTTGAGGCGAGATGCGCTGACTGGGATAGTTCCCGAGGCGTAGGGTGAGACGTAATAATCGACGTCGTTGTAAGACACCGAAAACCCAGTCGATACCAGCTGCGCCGTGCCCCAAGACACTGATGCGAGGAGCGAAATAACAGAACGAAAGCGGACCATCTCGCCGACCAATTCAAAACTCTGTTTGGTCTACCGGTGGAAGAAGACCTTGGATGGAACAACCGGAACGGTGAGAATATTTGTACTAATCGTTTCTGGTGCGTCCCAAGGCAGCGGACCCGGGAATTGCATACGTGACGCACGTGGTGCCGATCAAAAATCCTTCGTCAAGCATTGCGACTGGGCTAACTCATGATGCCTATCAGCGGTCCTGTCTGATGGAGATGGGAATTCACTCGAGTCCGATATCGACACATCATCCCCACCCTGGACGTGGAACCAACCTGTCACCAATTTGTGCGACATCGTGCAATACCAAGTTGAGTCCATATTCCTGACCTTGGCTCATGGGTGAGTAGATCCCGAGGGAGTCGCTCAGAAAAGATGCTGTCAGATTCGATGCATCCTTATGTGCCCAATCTGTCAGTTGAAATGCAGATCCGATGTTTCGGTCACCAATCCGAACTATTGAAATTCAACGCGTGGTCGCACAACATGGTGTTCACCGACTTGCTTACTTTGGTATTGGCTAGGGGTTGTCAGATTGAGGGGGCCAACCGATGCGGCTGGAGTGAGAGTTGTGGGCAGGCAGGCGTCCCTTATCTTTTAGCCGGAGCCGATTAGACGGAGACGGCTCCCGATCCATCGGGCTGGGACCGGGACAGGGCGCCAAGGGCGCGCCCTGACCAGACTACTGGCGACAGGGAGCAATCAATGACCAGCATATTATGGCGCAAAGTGATGGGTCCATTGGGGTCATTGGTTAGTTATAGGAATCTAAGAGCCCTTAACTTCAAAGGGCCAGACCAGCTCTGACCAGCTCTGGAGTGGGTGACAGAATAAACGGTGCAGCTGGGTATAATAAAATGGAAGCACCCGATATCCCAGTGTCACTTCTGAATGGAGCAGATCTACCTCGGTAGTATCTTACATTCCGACTCTGGTAACTCTTCCATCGTATCTGTTAACGCCAATGTAAAATCCATGCAAATGCCAGGGCCGTACGGCATGATCTCCTTACATTGTATTCCTGCTCATCGTATTCATAACGGTCATATTTGATCAAGATTATCAAGGATCGTCGTCGTACATCTCATCCAGCAGCTCATCCGGCGGGATAGAGCCCGGATGAACCTCGCCACAGTTCTCGCATACCATGGCCATGTCCTCATCTTCGCTGTCGCCGCTGAAATCGAGCATGGTGATCTCTTCCTCCACATCATCCCAAGGCAAGCCACTCACACGATCGAAAAGAACCCAATTACGATTGTCAAGCCGTCCAATGCACTCCGGTACCTTCTTCCATATGGTACGGCACGAAGCATTTTCCGAAAACGGAGGAATACCTTCGTCTTTCGGGGCAGGCGGAAATTCGTCGAAGAAGTTGGGACGGTCATCATGATGGTGATGAGTGATGCCACGACTGGGACGCATGGCCCGGACGACTTTGTAGTGTATGTGGTGCCCGGCGAGAGGTTGCAAGCCATTCTTCTGGGCCACCAAAGTCGGCGCGTGGTCGATTAGGAGGCCATCATCCCTGAGCATGCCGCAGAGCTCGGTACGGGCACGGAAGCCGGTGTCATCAATAGGGAGACCAGCAATGACAAGTTCGTTCAGAGCACAGCCCAGCTGGTGAGCCGCCACGTCATGAAGATGCGTCGGGGGTGACATGAACAAGCCCTCACCGAAGTTGACGAGGTCGATACGCAGCCTTTCGAGGTTAGGGAGCAGTCTCGGGCGAGGCTTGTGGTGTTCAATGGCCGGATCGAACGGCGGCAGCAGGGCTTCGAGGAAGTCAATAAGCTGGTACCAGGCATACGCTCGGAAGCCACGACGGGCGAGGGTGGGCTCCTTGACTCGCTTCTGTACCGGCAGCTTTAAACGCCTCGACTGGGAGGGGTGATATTCCGACGAGAGTCGATGGATGCGACCCTCCTCATCATCATAAAACTGCGCGATGATGCGGAAGCTGACTTGCTTCACCATCTGTCGATACACCAAATCAACGTTGGCAAAGGCCTTCATGGCCTGAACAGACGTGAAGACGAAGGTGTTGTTGGCCCACATCAGCTTCTTGCCTTCGACATAGTAGGTCTTGCAGGTGGCCAGGAAATGGATGGCGATCTGATTACTACGGTTCTGCTCCTCGGTGGTGAGATTCTCCTTCTTGGAACTGCAGAGTGGATCCATGACAGGGTGGCGACTGGTGAGGGCGTACGAGAGGATCTTAAGCATGACCTCAACCGGTAAGTACGGCAGGTCAGAAGAAGCCTGACTGGGAGGATCCTGGAGTTGGCTGTAGGGACCAGCAGGCCAGCGGAGGCCATTCTCACGTAGCAGTCGCTTCAAGGCCAGATTCTCATCTTGGAGGCGCTGGTTCTCAAGTCGAAGCGGTTGATTGAAGTACTCCTCAGATTGATCTGACTGATCGCGACACTCCCACGCGGCGTTCATCATGATTGCGATAGTAATGGTATATCCTTGCCCTTTAAATGATGCAAGGCATTTCGTGGTCGCTCACATGAGGGAATTTAGATGCTGTCCAAGGCTTAGGTGGGTTTTGTTTGAGTTGAGCCTGCATGCATTTGCGCGAGTTGAACTTTGGAAAGTCTCACTGCAGTGAATGAACGGATATTAGGGAACGGATATTAGGCAGGGATCAGGTGATGCCAAATTTGGGCGTGGTCAAGTCGCAATGGCAAGTACGACCTGTGGAAGATACATACGTCGCAGAATGAACGGCGCACTCAAGCTGGGACAATGTGGGGATGGCACGGTATTCGAGTGTACGTTAGGGAGACAGAAATCCCTAAGCTATTCTACCAGCTACACTATTTATTCTGCCCTGTGTTCGCCTCGTAGAATGTTAAGTAACAAAACAGAGGACTGGTGGCACACAGTCCACTGGCGGAGCCCTAGTTACTCCGGGGTAATGTACACTGGTTAGATAGGTAGCATTCTGCCGCTACACCTGACGTAACTTAACTTAGCTCAATCATCACAATCCTCCATGATTAAGTTGCGAGACACGATTTGGTTAGTTAGTGTCAATCAGTCCAAAAGGCAAACTCGCTACAGGAGCACCTAGTTGGATTGGCGAGAAAAGTGTTCTGATATCCCGAATATCTTTCATTATATTACAAGGGTTCGGCAAAGTCGCAAGTTTTGCTGCCACTTTGGCGGGGTAAAGCATTATTGTGTGCCTGGAAGCAACGGTCTCGGCTTCATTCGTCTGGTAGTGACTGTGGGCCCCATGACGCACATACAACTACTCACACCTCATCGTCAATTGCCAGCTAGCAATGCGAATTATTGGAGATTGGGCTAACGTAGCAAGAATACCGCTGAAATTCCCGTTATGGCTACTGGTTGGTTGTTCTGACTTGACGTACGCCAGGATTGCCTTCACAACTCCCGGGCATAGTGCATTGCGGTTGGAATGACAACTTCGACTTCTCATATCTAACACCAGACATGCCGAGTTCCTAATTCAGAACATAACTGTGCTAATTGCTATGTCTCGTTCGCCTGAAGCATTTTTAGCCGCTGTGATCAACATTGGGGATTTGGAATCACTATGATGTCGAGCTACGTCGGCCTGCGTTTGCGAGGTTAGCGGCAGGCTTGACGTCATGATGTCAAAGGCCGTGAAACTCCATCATCCATCAAGCTCAGCTGCAAGTGGCGGCGGTAGTTTATGATGAAATCTTGATCATGGATTCCACAGCCCGAGGAAGGTGTGATCGAGGGGTAAATTGAGGGGCAATTCATCATTGGCGATGCGATTACTTGAAGGCGTTGCTCTAATACGGTCATACCTGCTCACATGCAGTCATTAGGAAAGCCATCCAGAAAGGTACAAGTATCTATGCTCTCCTCTCTTCGATCGAGATTGTGCTTGAAGCCCGAGTCATCTAGTTCAACAACCGCGAAGAATACTCGTGATACCAACCGTATCTAGACTCAACCACTTCATTATTTGTCCACCACTCACGAGAATATTCACAGCTACCAAATACACCATGTCGTCTTTCTCCAACACCGACACTGGTAACAAGACTGCCGATCCATATACAGCTGTTAACAAAGATGAGGCAAGTCTCGATGTCAAGGTCGAGACGCTCACCAACTTCATCACGTCGGCCAAGTTCGGCATGATGACGACGCGTGATCCCAGTTCCGGCAAGCTAATCTCGAGATGCATGGCCCTCGCCGGAAAGGTCAGTCTTGTTTAACTATGGTCCGGCCCTATTGGGGCAGTTAACTAAGACTACTTACAGGAAGCCGGCGGTCTCGACCTCCTCTTCGTCACAAACACAGAGTCCCATAAGACGGACGAGTTGAAGGCCGATTCCCACATCAACATCTCCTTCCTCGATAGTTCGGGACAGTGGGCCTCCATTGCGGGCACTAGCAGCATCGAGACGGGCCATGACCAAGTCAAGAAGCTTTACAGCCCTGCACTCAAGGCGTGGCTCGGAGATCTTGGCGATGGCAAGCACGATGGCTCCGAGAACGATCCCCGGATCGGCGTCATCCGCGTTAAGACCGATTCTGTAACTTACGCCGTCACGGACAAAACTTTCGTTACCCGGGCGGTTGAGGTGGCCAAGGGAGCTGTGACTGGCGAGGTGGCTTCGGTGAACAAATTGAGAGAAATTAGCGAGAGCGAGGTTCAGCAATGGCGTGCGGTACACTAATGGGATTGTGTTGAGGATGATGTTCCATGGCATCTTAGGTATGATGGTTCTTCTCTGAAGATACTATGAATCACCCCCATACCACTATCAACACAACGTTGACAAATTTCCCATATCAGCATTCAATGCCATATGCTCATTCACGATTTGATTTTGGATGCCTAACGTGTCCTGCTGTGTGACGATCAGTTCTCACTCATAATCAGCAGTACCAGTCCAATGATAAGTTTAAAATGTCTTATTTTAATGTGAAATGTGATTGATTCGATAACATTATGCTCAACCACTTATTGTTTGCCATAATACTGTGTCCACAACTTGTCCCAGGTCTCTTTGTTGACGGAGAATTCTCTAGCATAGTCCCTCTCGAGCTCGTGTGCTCTTCGACCCAACAATACCATGCTGTGCAAGGGTGGTCCCAGAGCATCGTCCGTCTCACATAGCTCTTTCAGCGTCCCAGCAACGAATTTCTCATCTCTCCCACCAACTCTTGCAGCGCCAATAGCCAAGCTATCTGGTCCATATACCCCCTGTTTCCGCTCTTCCTCAATCTCCAACATCTGGCTGGCACACTGCCCAACCGTCATGTACCTCGGCGGCTCGTAAATTCTCCTCCCCCGGGCCATATTTTCCAAGCTCTGCTCTTTCACCTTGATGTCCAGCAACACCAACGTATGGAGTCCCACGTCCCGATTCTCCTTTATTCGATCATAAAACGAAGAGGGCCGCCATGTGTCCGTGAAGAACACCATACTGACCGTCTGTCCGAAATTGTACAGTTGCAGGCCCGCCGCGCCAATGCCCGACATGATGCTCGCGTTGGGGATGGTCTTGACGGCGATTCCGAGCTCGCGCGCACGCAGCACAAGGTCGGTGTGCGTCGTCGCGCCGAATGGATCGCCAACTACGCAGAAGGCGACGTCGACTTTGTCTGCTTCGCGCAGGATCTCGTCGCTGTTGGATTCCACCATTTCGCGGTCGGCGACGATGATGGGGCGGCCGTAGTAATTCTCCTATGCGTTCATGGCTTGGATTAGCGGTTAGCCTGCGTGGCCAACTTAGGAGAATCTGGGGAGTGGGCGTGCGATCGAGGCTGCTGTGAGGTGAGTACATACCAGGACGGCCTGGTCGACGAGGAGGATGCTCGTGTAGGCCTCGAGATAGACGCGCGAGGCTTTCTTGACGACCTCGAGGCCTTTGACCGTGATGTCAGTCTCGTCTGCGAGACCTAGCCCCACGAGGTAGAGCATGTTGGCGGTGGGTTCAAAGGGAATTTTTCGAACTGCACGATTCCAGCTGTGGTTGAAGACTGGAGATCAAAAAAGTTTGGAGGGGCAGTCTAGTCTGACGACCCAGGGATCGGGATGGAGGGGTAGCTCCGGCATAAAATTGTACATGAGCTTTGGCCTAAGGTTTTTAGCAAAGAGAGTACTGCACTATTGCTGCAACCTGCACAAAATTCCAGGGTCGTAGAGCTTAAACTGGACCCCTGTCATCTCTGGGTCAGCCTATGTTGATTGAGCTTGTGAACTCAACATCTCATCGGCACCTCGACCGCCAACATAAACACGACATTACCGCCATACCTTCCTCATCCACTCCCTACAACTGTTCATCCCGAAGGAATAGCCAGCGTATCGCCATGGCGACCAAGAACGGCTCAGCCTACGCCGCCCCGGCATCCGACACGTCGTTCCGCAAAGACTGGGACCTCGACGAATACGCAGCGAAAGCCAAAGCGCGTGAATCCGAAGAGAAGGAAGAAAGAAAGGCGCGGTACGAAGCCAAGCTCGCCGGCAAGAAATACTACAAGCCCTCAACAGGCAACGAGAGCCTAACCTCTGCACGTTCGCGCACGACCAACCTTGCGTCACTTGTCGGCACGACACAACTAGTAGGAGCCGGCAACGCAGTGGGCAAGAGGGGCCGCGGTGCCGGAATCTACTGCGATGCCTGCGACCTGACATTCAAGGATAATTTACAATGGGTGGATCACGTCAACAGCCAGCAGCATCTGCAAGCGATTGGGCAGACGGGTTTTGTGAAGAAGGCGAGCGCAGCGGATGTGCACGAGCGGATTGAGGCCATTTGGCAGCAGATGCAAGATGATAAGCGGGCTGCGACGACGAGTTTGCATGATAGGATGGAGATACAGAAGGTAGAGGATGAGAAGGAGCGCGAGGCGAAGCGATTGAAGCGCAAGGCTGCTGAGGAAAAGAGGAGGGTGGAGATGGAGAAGGAGAAGGCGATTAAGACGGAGTATGGTGAGGATGTGCGGATAGAGGGTGAGCATGATGAGGATGATATGATGGCCATGATGGGGTTCGCTGGTGGATTTGGATCGACCAAGAAGTGAGGACTGATGCGGCTACGGGATCTGCCGTCAGCAAGGCGCTGGGACGGAATGACGCCTCGATGCAACTGTGCGACAGTGTAAGAACATCCAATCTAGAAGACCGCTTGTATGCCATTACTGACATCCAAAAGCCATGCTGAATTCCTATCATGCTGTCGAGGATCAATGCAACTGCATCGGCTGAGGAACATGGGAATTGCCCCGCTATCAAAGTTGTTCATAGCCGCAATGGAAGCCAATCCCGACTAGGCCCGGGATATGACAGTGCATATCACTGATGGTCGTCTTCCTAACCGCATGGGGCAAGTCTCGAGCATTCAAATGGGACGTCTGCCTTCATAACAAGCCGCGGGGTTTTTTCTGCACGTCAGGCTTCCCAGCGATTACAGGAATGGAAAGGAGGGACTCCCATGCGGCTGTCCTCGCCGCCAGCATCGACCATTTGTCCGAATACGTTGACCGCAACGAGCGGCGGATAGCGCAGCCGATGACGAATATTAGGGCTGCAATCAGAGTAGCGACTATTGCACCTCCGACTATATTTCTCCCAATGCGCCTACGGCCGATCTATAACCTTTGGGATGCGCTGCGGGACTGGGAGTCGGGTCTGTTTCCATTCTTGCTTTCCCTGTTGTAAATGGGGCCGTGGATGTGGCATTTGGGCTTTCCATCGCCCCGGAGAAAATGGTGGACATTGAAGCAGTCGCTAGGTTGATTTGCATCGAAAGCGAGTGTTGGGCCTCTCCACCTCCCTACATGCTAGCTTTGGGTATAGGCGGTCTCGATACACCCTAGTATAAGATACATCCGGGCGGAGAATTTACCTTCATAATTCCGACCATGCCGCTCTCATTGCAGTCCCCATCCACATCGGAATAGTTAAATATTGTGTCATCACATTGCATGGTATGATTCCATATGGTCAAATTCGACTGCAAGCCATCAGCAATGCTGTCAGTGGGTAAATTTGTACCTAAGTGGGAGGCGGTTAGGTTCGCTGCGTGGGATGGGTCCATTGTATAAAGTAGAGATGGAGTGTATCCTCAGCTTCAAGCGGTTCGCTTGGCCGTTCGTATGCAGCCTGCGCCCCGCTGTGCTTCCCTGGTGAAGAAAAATGGATCGAGTCGCCCTCCTCTGCCGCGATGCTGTCAGGGTGGGAAAGGATTCCGTTGAACCCTACGGTGAATGTCGTGGGGACTATCCCTGCGGCTGTCATCTGATCTGCAAGGTTGGGGTTGGACTCCGCCAAGATGATAATGCCAACCCTGGTCCCGTGTTTAATAATTTTGTTGTTAGTGCTCTCTTATTCTTCTTCTTTCTCCGCCGGATCCGAGCCACAGTCTCGTGTCTTGTGGCTTGGGTCTGGCGTGATTCGGCCAGTAGCCATTCACGAGTTATCGCGATCGTGGTGACTACGTGAAATGGTTAAATGTTTTGGTGTTCAACTTTACATAGGACAACCCAGCATTGCCTGACTATGAAACATGCTACCAAGTTGTCTGCGTGTCGGAGTTAGTGTTATTCATGGGCAGTTCAACCCCTTACTTCATAGTCTCTTCATTTCGACTGCTCGAGTACGTAACTCAAACCTCGGGGTTAATATACTCATTGTAGTTGTTATTATATGCAGGCCTTACATCATTCTCACCTGCAAAGGATGAAATTCAATCACTATACCACCTATGACGTAAGTCGTATACAAATGCCCCACTATACCAAACCCTTCGCCTTCAACGCCAATTGTTCAATCAATACATTTGTCAGCTGCCCAATTACAACCTGACATCCTGACAACCATCACCAAAATGACAGCACCACAGAAGGAAATCACGATAATAGGCGGTGGCATCATCGGTTGTAGCACGGCCTACTTCCTCACCCGGCACGCTTTTTACTCAGCAGCCACGCATCGCATCACCCTCCTCGAGGCATCATCAAGCAATGCAGGTGGTCGCACTAAGGACAGTATCACTGACCCGGCTACACTGGCCGATCCTGCAACTGCTTCGAAGCGCAACCCAGCGCACGACGGCATCGCAGGCGGCGCGAGCGGCAAGGCTGGCGGTCTGCTTGCCCTCTGGGCTTTCCCCCAAAACATCGTGCCCTTGAGTTTCAAGCTGCATCAAGAACTTGCGAAGGAGCATGACGGGGAGAAGCGATGGGGTTATCGACGGTGTTGGGCTAGCCAGGTGGATTGCAAGGCGCGAGTTCCTCCTGGTTTGGGAGCTGGATATGCACAAGCAGGCGGTGTACCAACAGCAACAGCGGGAGCGCATGCGGAACCGTCAAAGGGCTTGCATAAAGATCACAAGATGGACTCCAAAGCACTACGGAAGCTAGGCGCGCCCGACGACTTGGACTGGCTCGACACGGTGCACTCACTCCGCGGTTACGACAATATGGGCACCCCCGACGACACTGCGCAAGTGCACCCCGAGCTATTCACACGAAGCATGGCGCAGCTCGCCGAGGAAGCGGGGGTCACCATCATCACGGGCGCAAGAGTTACATCTATCAACAAGGACACCGACGGCAAGTCTATACGAAGTGTGACTTACGAAAAAGACGGCCAAGAGAAAACTCTCCCAACGACGGACTGCATCGTTGCCGCCGGCCCCTGGACTTCGCGTCTACTACCCCAGATCCCCGTCACCTCCTCCCGCGCCCACAGCGTCGTCATCAAATCCCCTCATCCCTTGTCGGCGTACGCGCTGTTCACAGCTATTTCACTCCCTGCTGGATTTCCCACCCCGACGGCAAGCAAGGCGCGGGGCGCAGCCGCGGCCCACGCTGTTCCGCTGAAGAGAGGACAGTCGGTAGAGCCGGAGATTTATGCGAGGCCTGACGGGACGGCGTATGCGTGTGGGCCGACTGACGATACGGTGCCATTGCCCTTGACGAATGCCGAGGTGGAGGTTGGTGAGGCGAGGTGTGATGATATCATTTACCAGGTGAGCGGGATCAGCGATGAGTTGGGGAGAGATGGACAGGTGCTGGCGAAGCAGGCGTGCTACCTACCGCAGGGAGGTCCGTTCATTGGGGAGGTTGGTGGGGTGAAAGGTTTGGTGGTTGCAGCTGGGCATACTTGCTGGGGTATACAGAATGCGCCTGGCACGGGAAAGCTTGTGAGTGAACTCGTCTTGGAGGGGAGGACGAAGAGTGCGAAGTTAGGAAGTTGTGATCCGTCTAGGTTTATGTGATTGGAGTGGTTGGGAGGCAGTTAGGGAGCAGTCAATGGTGAACTTGTGAACCTGCAATTACTCATCAATCAGACAGATGGGTGGAATGGCTAACTTAAAGGTATACATTGGGGGATTCTTAACAAAGTAGTATTAATTGTTCCAGGGAGTCATTTACAGTATACCCTCTTACAACCACCCCTTGATTTCATACAGCTTTGGTCACCGGCGTTTCAACATGAGGCCCCCTTACCGTTGCACACCAAACTCGGGTAATTTTTGTTGCTGAGATGCGTTCTTCAGGATCCACAACATCAAACCGCAATGAATACCAAGTGTCAACTGCTCCCGAAGCTAGTGATATTACTGGACTAGCTTCCTAACGGCGTCAATTTGAGGGGTTGCGAATGCAACTTGCATCTCACACCACAACCCCCGTCGGCGCTACTGAGTTGCCGAGGCATGCCGTATCCTGGCTCTTTTCCTTCGAAGATAGGAGTGAGAATATGCACTCTTTGAGCACCAGATTTCTTATGGATTAGGGTTTTTGCAGATGTAAACTGCAATTGCACGTAATAATGGAAGTATCCGGCAATAGTACATGATAGTCATTCGCAACTCATGCTCTTGGTTATTGGTTTCACAGAAACATTGACCCCTCAAGGTCATGTCTTGATAGGTGTGACTTCTCCTGTATCCCGTTGCATAATGTGGGGTGACTAGCTAGTCCGATTGTTCAGAGAGAGGGTGGGGTCGAGGAACTCATCTATGTCACCGCTGGATCTAACACTTAATGACGAGGTGCCCACCCGTAACCTAAATATATCAACAGTGGGAATAACTTTATGTGCTTCCAATCCTACCAACCTACCTTTGGAAACCGCAACTGAATCCGGCACCTCTGTCGTGGGGCTCCGCTGTCCGCTGTCCGCTGATACCTCCTAACGCTCGAGCAGAAATCTACTAAACACTTCGTGGTCACCCGTGTGTGTCTTATCGCAACTGACTTTTCTCACCTGGGTTGTGCCGAGTTGGCTGGCAGGAAACTACGCCATCATGGCTCTAGGTACGTAGTTGTCGTTACATCGTCAGTTAGCATGCTTGTCCCTCCTCCTGGTTAAGGCTTATACCCCCTAGCAGCAGTGGCTGGCGGTCTTGCTGCGGCTGCGTACCTCGACGGAAAGTACCAGCTTCGAAGAGACCTGTCGATCGTCAAAAGGGTCAAAGGGGCTGAGCATCGGTATAACCAAGTTGGTAAGACACCTGAGATAACAATGCCCAGTCGCAATGCTCATCATAACTAGTCAAGCAAGACAGAATATCGGCCTGGTACAACTTTGCTGAGGTATGCCAGCGCCATTCCCATGAGCAAGCTATCTGGTCACGCGCAGGTAACTGGACGTTCGGGGAGCTGCATGACCAAACGACTAGGTATGCGCAATGGCTCTTGGAAGTCGGCATCCGGCCCGGCGACCTCGTCGGTCTGTATCTTTTCAACAGCGCCGAGTTCATTATGCTCGTGTTTGCGTGCCACTGCATCGGTGCCGCTCCGGCTTTGTTTAACTACAACCTCGAGGGCAAGGCTTTGATTCATTGTTTGGATGTCTGCGAGTCTAAAGTTTTGATTGTAGACTCGGACGCTGGCTGCCAAGCGAGGATAGCGGGGGTCAGAGAGTACTTTGAATCCAAGGGGACCATCACGGTCACGCTGGATGAGAGTCTCAAACAGGATGTTTCAGCTCGGCCGGCCGTGGTACCAGAGGACACATGGCGCAACGGCGTGCAAGGGGATTTTCCCTTCTGTCTGATATTCACCAGCGGAACCACAGGCATGCCAAAAGGTTGTCCCTTCAATCTCGACCGCATGCACCGATTAGGGCAAGTCTTTTCTCCCCTTGTGCTCCTCCTAACTCACGCAATCTCAATCCTAGTGTCATTCTAACCCGACTCCCCAGAAACCACCTCGAACCCCCTTTCAACTGCAAACCCGGCGTCGACTGCTGGTACAACTCCATGCCGCTCTATCACGGCACGGGTCTTATATCTATCGCCGCCATGCTTTTGACCGGTGTTTCCGTCGCCTTTGCCCCGCGCTTCTCCGTCTCGGGCTTCTGGCCCGATATCCACGACTCGGGAGCCACCGCGTTTATCTACGTCGGCGAGACAGTGCGGTACCTGCTCAATGCCCCTTCGCACCCGTTGGAACGGAAGCACAAGCTGCGTCTTGCGTACGGGAATGGACTCCGGCCCGATGTATGGACGAAGTTCCAGACCCGGTTTGGCGTGCCTGAGGTAGCGGAGTTTTTCAACTCGAGCGAGGGGGTATTCGGCCTGATGGTATGGGATAGGGGACCGTACCTGCAAGGCTGCGTGGGGCATCATGGGGGACTGATGAGGATGTTCCTGAGGAATAGATTCGTGCCTGTCTTGATTGACCATGACACGGGGGATATTTGGCGGGATGTCAATACGGGATTCGCGAAGCGGATGGACTATGATGAAGGGGGTGAGATTCTGGTTGCAGTGCCGGATCGAAAGGCGTTTGGAGGGTATTGGAAGAATGACCAGGCAACTAACAAGAAGTTCGTTACCGATGTCTTCAAGAAGGGGGATCTATACTACCGCAGTGGTGATGCCCTGCGTCGGTCAGGGGATGGGCATTGGTACTTCATGGATCGACTCGGTGATACATTCCGGTGGAAGTCGGAGAACGTTTCGACCGCTGAAGTTTCCGAGGCCCTGGGAAGGTTTCCAGGTATTGCTGAGGCGAATGTTTATGGCGTTACGGTGCCTAATCACGAGGGCAGAGCTGGATGTGCCGCTATACACTTGGACCCCAAGGCGGGGGTCACGGCAGAGTCACTCGACTATAGCGAGCTTCTCCAGTTCGCACGGAAGGAGCTGCCTGGATATGCCGTGCCAATCTTCCTACGGATAGTCAAGGAGAGCTCGCATATTCATAATCATAAGCAAAATAAGGTCTTGCTAAGGAAGGAGGGGGTTGATCCAGATTCAGTGGGAGTGGAAGACCCGACGGGGAAGGGGGATGTGCTTTTGTGGTTGTCTCCGAAAGGTAGGGAAAAGTATGTGCCATTTGAAAGAAGTGACTGGGAGGCTTTGGGACGGGCGGAAGCTAGGTTGTAAGGGACTATTCTGTTGGATCATGTGAGCGTGTTGTACATCCAGAGTGTTTGAATAAGCCAGGGCTCAACAGACCGTATACTGAGCACAGTTGTAACTAAAATTGCAGGCTGAAGATGTAGCTAATCAGGTTTATTACCGCTAACATTAATCGAACCATTCACGAAACCAGATATAAATTTGCCCGCTCCCGCTGAATCGGGCCTGAAGTCGCTTGCTTCAGCAAGGAGATCTTACAGGCCTTAACGTAGTCCACGGTCCAGTTGCACACTTTGGCAGACCTTATACGACAATGTATAAGTTAATTCAACCACAACGCCTATCATCAATTGAAACTACTCAGAATCTTTATCTTCAGACGTCTCTACATCATTTCCACAAGTGCGCACATTATGTCCGGGCTCCCCGCAGATTCTACAGCGCCGTACACGCGCAATTCGCCGCCTCGTACGACCACCAATTTGACGAAATTCGTCATGTAACTGCCCATCAACCTCTCGTTGAGACTGTAGGTCCTGTCTAGCTTGTATACGAAGTGACCCTACACTCTGTAGCTGTTCTTTCTTCGCACGGCGACGTCGACTTAAGGTCTCATTTGCCTTTCGAAGTCATTCGACCTCGCCTTCTAAAAGGGCAAGCCGATGCATAACCTTCGTTGTACCTCGCGCAATCTGATCTATTCCAGCAAAAATTGACCTTGGTGAGCTATTTTGATGTCGTACAATCCTATTTTTCACATAATCGGTTTGTGATTGGGCTTCAGTTGGGTTGTTCGGAGTCTTTGATTCCCAAGGGACGGGGAGACCAGCCGAGCTACCCGGAGGTGTTGGCGTATGTAATTTCACATCGAGCTGTGATATGACATAATCTGCATCGTACGGAACTATTCCTACCCCTCGGAAACCTCCTTGGATATTTGAAACCGTGAAAGTTGCGTTGTACGCATTTAAAAACGCCGGTAAAAAGTCTTCTTTCGAGATATGACTTATATGTGCTCGCATGAGATCTTCGATTTCTTTTCCGTACGCTCTTTTTAACCCGCGAAAACAACCAGCATCAAGAGGCTGGAGCTTATGCGACGAATGAGGAGGCATACAAAGCGTGACGATATTGTTAGCTTTGCAATATACCTCGAAATCGGTCGAGTGATGGCTTTCGTGACCGTCGAGGATCAATAGGCGATGAGTACCTTTCGTACGAGACTTGGTGTGATGATCGAAGTGTTTTATCCAATCTTCGCCTCTATCGTTCGTAGTCCAGCCATTTTTAGTAACTGCGATAACCAAATCAGGCGGTAATGGGCTGTTTTCGTACCATGACGAGAGGTGGGTTTTGCCGGCGAAAATGATGTACGGAGGGAGGGCATAACCGGACGACCCAACGCCTTGAATAACTGTAACCCATTCCCAATTTCCTTGCTGGGCTGCTCTAGGCCTTCCGCGCCGATCAGAAGTCGTCACGACCATTTCGGACGAGATTTGGCCCATCACAAAACCGGTCTCGTCGAAGTTGTAGATATCCTCCTTCTGGATCGCGTATTTCACAATTGTATTCCGTACCAGGTCAAACCACGCGCGATACGCGTCGGGGTCTTCGCAGAGGGCTCTCTGATAGTCTATCATTCGATTTAAACGCGTCCGGAGGTCTGGTTGTCGTCTTACGAAGCTCGAGGCCCAGTTGACGCCGACGCGTCCCGCGTCGCGACTTCGAAGTAATCGGTTGGCCATATCTTCAACACCACTCAATCGGGGAGGAAATGCTCGCGAATCTAGGTCGGTTATATGTCGTACGATTGCCTCTTCTTTGGAAGGAGTCAACTTTTGCGTTGGTGATCGCGTAATCGCTCGAGCGGTTTTACCGTCGCGTCGATACGCAAGGGTTCTAAAAGGTACGTTATAAATCTGACCAGCGCGACGTACACTTAATTTTAGATCAGATTGAAGCGCATGTAATGCTAGAATCATATCACTTTAATTCCAAGAACCAACCATAGTTATGTGGTGAAAAACCGCAGGTCAAAGTGGTAGCGTACGAAAATCTGCCGAAGTGTGCAATTGGACCGTGGACTACGTTATTCAGACCATCTTTCGTATTTTTTGCCAAATATAACCACAGGATAGGCTCAGTGAGCACTTTTTTCTTCGCGGATCTGTTCCCTGTATGACGACGACATCATACTCTTTATGTATACGCTGATGACTTCACCAGCAGCGTATGTCAAGCGCGTAGTAACCCTCGGAGCATCTTGTTTTGCGAGTCGTTTGAGATCTTTGGCAAACCCAGGCATATCAAGCCGGTGGTAGTCATATTCCTTGTATAATCCGTGGTTAGGGGGATCTGCAAATGTCACAATGCCCTTATGTCCGTAACCTTTGATGGCGGTTTGCATTGGTGCTGTTCCGAATATTTGGTTTCGGCCACCTTTACGTACCGCAAAGGACGAAGGATCTTGGAACTTTTACTAATAGTTTAACTATCTCTAAGTTATACCCACGCATATAAGCCCCTATTTTATTCAATAAATCTTGCTTCAATCGGTTCTCCTTTCCCGTTCTAGTCTCGTCCGTATGGTATAAATCGTGTCATTTGTAACTTCGTCTAATACTACAACGCCGACATTCTCATTATCTTCCTTTGAATTTGTCTGGATCAGAACAGATTTTCCATTCTCGACGTCCTGTATAGTCTGCAGGCAATGTGTTGGATTGTGGGCAAAAGGTCTTGCATTGAAGGTGTCATGATCTCTGGACAGTCCTGGACGAAGTGGACGGCGGCCATAAGGGCCTTACATAGACAGGAATGAACGATGCCTGTCCCACAGGACTTGTGTGGTTCGATGGGTGGTGGTCATATTGGCCCATAACGTACGGTGCGTAGCCATATGTCCTTCCAAGACTGGCAGTCTTGATGTAGTAGCTTTGAAGGTCCAACACAATGTTTCTGGATGAATCTCTCGTCTGTGCATATTTCGTATGTTTTCTCACACTCCCTGCGGGGTTTGGTTGACGGCCTATCGATCGAAACCGCGACCATGAATTTCGCCGAATTTTCAATCTCTTATTTATTAGCATCATGCAAAGTCTTGTAATGAACACCCGCAAGCCATCAGGTTCATCATTGCCAATATAAGCCATAGTGACTAGTATGCACAAGGAGAAGATGCAGAATGCATGCTAGGCCAGCCCACCGATGGGCGACAACTGGATGTTTCCTGTCATCTTATTTTGTCCCGCTGAGTGATGTGATCGGCTGGGCCAGTATATAGTTGTAAACAAGGCAGGACCTTGTAGCATCCGTTGGATGTGGTCGCAAATCGTATCGGACTTCCGGCTCTTCAACATCCTTATTACTGACATAACCCCTGGTCTGCTGAAACATCAATAGGGTTTGAGCTTCATTTACAAAAGTTTTCCTTGAGTCAGTATCTCTCGAATAGGGAAAAACGCCGCTTATCGCTCGTACTTACGGCTTTGATGGCCACCTTCATTCGTTGCACTATTTAGAGTTGGATATAGACTACATCAAATATAACTATGCCATTTTCTTTTGGTATAGTTGAAGTCCAATACATCGCGAAATGGCCGCAGCCGGAAAATGAGGATGAGCGAGAACCGGATAACATAGACTGGCATCCACCAACCGGCGATACGTCTTTCCCAATCGAATCCGGAGGAATCTCTTGCGTAAAACTATGGCTCATACTCGCCTGACGAGACGATTTTGATAATGAGACTTAGCGCAGCCACAGCCAGCATAAAGCAAACAAAGCAATTCCGGGCTACGAGTTGATTTGTATTTACATTACTCAGCTATAGAAATACAAACCACACATTATACTTGGGTTGTTAATTTGCTTCGCAAATATTTGCGAAGTCTACCTTCAGGCCGGAATAAACCCTTCGGGACCAACTTTGGCGCTAACTAGGAGAGCCCCGTTGCTGTCCTACTTCAATTGAATTATATATAGCCTGTGGAAGTGGCTGCCTCAGGTCATGGTAAGTTACACTTCGGGTACTGGTACTCAGGGCCCCTGTGCGACTTGGGCCTTTCCACCTGTACTTCCCTTCTACAACTTCGTATGTAGCCAGAATGCCAGTATCGTTGTAATCTCACATAGCCACTGTACAGCCACGTAGCCACACATCAGCGATAATCCATATTGTGGGGCATCGGAGAAGCTATATCCACAATGGATAATAGCCCCAAGCATTTCGAGATAGCGCGACTGGGTCAAGCCACGCAGAGAAAGACAAAATGAATGAATAATTCTCTATCTTAATCCAATTGACCGGACACACGTGCAATGTATTTGTAAGCCATGCTCTGGAAAAGCAGCCCTCCGGTGGAGATTACATTTTTAAGCGACTCAGCCGATGTAACGGCTCTACTGTACGCTAGCTGCAATTCTCTAGGAAATGGCCGGCTGGCGGAGGATCTAGCGGAGAATACGCTACTCGGAGTTTTAGCCGCTTGGACGGCCGTATTATATGTACGTGTAACTGCAAATAATCGACGTTAGGCTACGTACCCCGTAACAACAGCTAATACTACTAGCCCTATAAGCCCCAATAACTTCATAATGCTACACTCACACCGTATGTGAGCAGATTGGACTTGTTTTATATCAGTAGAACCGCCGAATCAAGGGCTTTGAGCTAGGAAAAATACGCGTGTGAACTATATCGGCTTGCAGGTCGCAAGGGGCTATAGCGGCCGGTACGTTTGAACACCCCAGTTCGGGCTGAGCCCCACTTGCAATTGTCTGAACCATAGATTGATACTGATCAGGGTCAACTTCATTTTACCCTTTTTCTGTAGCGAAATTAAGGGCTAACGTCAGTAGCAGTTAATCCAGCGCCTTCTGCCGATGTAGACGAGCCCAAGAACGGCCGAAGACCTTGGAGTTTCACGGACTCTTGAGTACAAATAAACCGAACCAAATCGGATTTGCAAATCTATGGCCAGGGTATATTTGGATTGCTTTTCTTGGATTTGGTTCTATTGGTTTGCCAAGCCGGTGATTCATGTTCGGCGATGGCACAGGGAAACGTCGTCATACATAACCCGGTTCATCCTTTGCGGGTCTCCGAATATATCCGACCTCGAATCAATGGTCTCCTGCTAAACAGTAAAGGGCAATATGCATCTCCAGCCATGAAATAGGCCAGCACTTCTGTACCAATGGCTACCGCTGGCTGGACAGTGCGATGGCTATTTCACTAGATAATACTTTTGGGAGGTGAACGTGCTGAAGAAAGCGATGGTGCTGGCGGCGGCGTCGATGGCGATGTTGGTTACTCTATTGTGGTTGAATGAAGCTAAATTTAGTTAGACATTGAGTTTGATGTTTTATAGTATTTCCCAAGCTTAAGAACAACTTGCCAGATGCAATATAAGCAGCACAGTGGTCAAGTTGGACAATATGGGCCCTGTGGGCCATGTGGGTCCTATACTTGCCACTATCGCCACCTAGAACGGCGACCATCCCCACATACCTCTATTACGAGAAATGTGGCAAGGATAGAACATTCCCTACTTATCTATATGCTTCTACAACTTGTCTGAATTAATCAGCAAGTCTACCATTCATTGACTATATAAGAACCCTTTTGTTTCCATACATAGACCCTCGAAGAGAGGACCAGAGTTAGCTACAATACAGACAGGTTAGGCATATGTGCCCTCCTTTTGCTCCTTCAACGGGAACATCAAATCCAAGTGGTCATGTAACAGGTTTATTCTTCATGACCGTGACGTGCGCCCCAAAGAAGAGCTAAATATCCACCCTGAGGCACGTTCATAATGTAGAGCTTATGGATGTGATTGTCGTGAAGTCGTCATGACACCCGGACTAAAATCTGTAGATCGTATGGATTCATGTTTGTAGTGATCATGCCCACAACCTTATCTGGTACGACGGCAACGAGGAGAGAGTTGCTAGAAGGGGAGGTGGTCGATTGCATCACTGTTTTTTCTTGTTGTAGTGATGGGCATAACATTTGCAGAAGAACCCTCTCGTTAAGGATGTTACTATCGAGAACGCTGGTGCTCTTCTGCAGGGTGATGCGTGCACCTAGGGGGGAGGATGCTATAATGCAGCAGTGCGCAACGCTATAGTATCTAATTGAATGGGATTCACCTAACCAGTGGGTCCCCCTACCTTTTCGTATCACAGAGGTGGGAAGGTACGGCTTGGTACAGGGCTACAAAACCCCGCCTCAAACCAGAAGTAACCATCATAGAGAAAGAAAAAAAAAACATCTTTTTTTGGCCTTCATATAAATCTCACAGGGGTTCCGGCTGGATCAATTTGATGACAGTGTGGCGATAAGGCGACTGGCCGCATAAGAAACTCGGGATCGGTTTATAGGTATTACCTCTTCCAGACCACAGAATTCAAAGTACTAGGGATCTTGTGGACACCTTTTTTTGGAGTATCAATACCGCTTCAGATTCTAGTGGCGATCTAGTAACAGTTAAGCTTCGCACAAGTGTTGCTTAGTTGTTAATTATGAGAAAACGAACTCCCTATCCGTAGCATAGATATATAAAGATAAAAATGTAGGCACAGAGAGTTATACCCACAAATACAAACGAAATTGTACTAATTGAACCTGAAAGAAACCACGCAGTATTATTTTTACCAAAACAGCCCCCTTTTTATTCAAATCCTGGTGGGAACTACATTGATATATAAAATGTCGGATTCCGAGTGTTTGGTGCTGTATTGGTACTGCGGAGGTGCGTGGGGAAGAACTGCCCAATTACCCCCTGGGGGTCTCTAGATACACTGGTTTGTGCCTGGTTACCTTGTTCCACTCTATACCCGAGGCCACACTTGCCCACATAGGTAAGAACGTTTAATATACTCTTAGCAGGACATGTTTGCTACAAGGATTGAGTGCAGGGCAACTATATTTATTATATCCTGGGAGTGATCTCAGTAATAGCACTAATCGCTGGCTGAATCATTTGCCAAGAGAATACAGCGGTAAATGTGATGAACTGGGTCCTAGACTTCGAGCGACCCTGGCGTACACATGGAACCCAGGCTGCGTGAAGTGTCTCAGTTGCACGAGAGGTCGGTTCTTACTGTCGGCCCCAGAATAGCATAGAGTTTGCATCCTGGAGGAGACGGGAGAAGGTATTCCCCAGATGTCGACCATACAAGGAAGTATACTGTTGTGTCAAGGGATAAATATATATTGGGATGCCGAGATACAGTTAGTCATGTGAAAGGTTATGGTTTTGAGGCCGAACCCTCGCAATCGGCCTGAAGGTCTTAACAAGATAGTAGGTTCGCTGCATGGCCCGTTGGATGGTCTGTTGAACGGCCTGCATGATTATGCCATAATAACGTGGCCGTCAAGGTCATATTTGCAGTCTATTTAACCGTAGGTAGTCCCCTTAGCACAATCTTCGTACTGCAACCCAATCCATCATTTCTAAAAATCCACGGTCAGATCAGGAGTAAGTTCGAGAGGACTTCCCAGCTCACTGCTTCCTCGTCTCAGGAGTTCAACAATCATGACGTATGGTGATGATGGATGATGCCAAGCTACATGTATATAGCGACATTTAATCTTCCAGTCCCTATCGACGACTGCCCGCTACTCTATCTTATCGAGACACTCAGCTATTGGGATTAGAGTTGGGAAAAGGGATTGCAGAAAATAAAGTTAAGCAGGAATAGCCAATACTTTTCTTGTGAGTCGCTCCATATTGGTTTATTGACTGTGCTGCCCATACTTACATCTTCAGCAATCTGGAGGCCGCGGCCTTCAAGTTGGCGTAAATGTCCAAGCACTTGCCAAACTCTGGAATCAGCTTTACCTCCACTGAGCTTCTGACTTGGTTGAGTTTAGCTCCCGTCCCGAATAAGCGACTCTGTATCCACTGCGTGTTGCAAGCAGGCCAGGATAGCCCCGTGTGGACATTTCATGCGCTGGGGCTTGGCAATTCCCGAAACGCTAACATGGTACCACTTGTATCAGAAGATCACCAGGAGTAGGTGCGGCAATGCCCGTGCTGGCAGGCTGTAACGAAGGCAGCCAAGCAGCGGTGAGTCGGCGAATCATCAGTGGTCGGTCAATCCAATCTTTTTTGCGGAGGATTGGAGAAACCCAAGGGGATGTTATGCTTCTGCTGTCAGCCCTATGCCAGACGGTCTAGACGGTCTTGCCTGTCTGCATGATTGGAGTTGATGAGATGGGAATCCACTCTCGAACACGAGGTGAAGCTGATTGGCTCATACCCGATGTTACCATTTCTCTTTTTGCTGTACCTGATCTACCTGGATCGGGTTGGTGCCGGTCAGGGAACACTAGTCATGACTATCCGTATGATTGGGTCTTTTTTCTACCAGCATTGCGGGTATCGCTTCGATGGACCTGGCCCTGTTATATCGGCTACGCCAACTTGCGCGCAGCAGTTTGCCCAGCCATGCCCGCTCCCTTGTTCACCACACTCGTTTTACCAACTCCATCTCCAGTTTCCCGTCACTCGTTCTATTCACTCATTCGTCGCGCTGGCCGCGTCCTTTACAACCATCTATATCAGCCGAATTTACCTTGTTCTTAGCCTGACATCACCTTAAACCATCGTTCGATAAGGCTTTTCCAGGGGATTTCACGGGCTCTACGCCCTCTCAAGCTCTTTACCTCCCCCCCCCTCTCCCCTCATCCGAGCACATCGTTCTCTGCTGTGAAGACAAACACGGCACAGACAGCACTTCCAACCCACGATATGGAATGGCAGCCGATATCCAGCGCCCTCGAGACCCCGCCGCCTAGGCCAACCAACTCCGACGAAACAAGGCCACCTAATTTTGACGAAACGAGGGCGCCACCACCGGGAACGAATTACGATGAGAAGATGCCGCTTCCCAGAGACCCCAGAGATGATGCAGACAACGCAACTTACTCCTCGGCGGTTACTGGGACTAGCACATATTCAGGTTACGCCCCGGTGCCGAACAGGGTATACTCCGGAGAAGGCATTGAAACATTGATGGCGGACATTGAGAGAGACGCTGGAGTCAGCTTCGAGCGTGGATATGGGGTTGGCCCCGCGACAGGCACTGGCACTCACTTGAATGTAGGGTATGGAACCAACATGAGCGGAGGCTACGGAACGAACATAAGCGGAGGATACGGAGCTGTTACGGACAACACAGGACTCAGTGTCAACCAAGGAACCGGAACCGGAATTTACCAATCCCAAATAGCGTCCAGCACCGAAAGGGGATTTGGAGCCAGCCTTGAAACGGGAACAGGAACATATCGATCAGCTATACCGCCTCCCGCCCCCTCGCCCATGTTTTCACCAGCGCCTGCTTACATCCTCGTCAGCGCCACCGGTGAGCAACAACCTTTGTACACGAGAGACTCTCCAGCGGCGAGGTACAACCAAGACACAGCATCGATCCGAAGCTACCGCCCCATCAAGACCGATCACTGGCCCATGCCACCGCCCAAAGAACACAAGAGGATATGGGGCCTGTCGCGGGAAACCTTTGTAGCCGTCATGGCAGGCCTAGCCGTCTTTGTCATAGGTCTGCTAGCCACCGTTCTCGCCGTCACCCTCGGATCCTGGGGATCTTCAAGCACTTCATCAACTGTCAGCACGGGCGTCCTAAGCGACTCCAAACTAGCCGCTCTCAATTGGACCGACTATTCAGGTGTTGACCACACCGCCGTTGCCTACCAGCACAAATCCAACGCCATCATGATCTCGACGCGGAATTCGCTCACAGGAATATGGACCAATGTAAACGTCACCGAGAGCGTCATGAACGCCACTAAGTCGACCGGTCTGGACGTACTTCCCGGCACGCCGCTCGCTTACGCGACTAACAAAGGGCTGTGGAACTTGTACTACCTGACATCGGACAACGCGGTCGCAGAGCTCTACTCGACCAACCCCTTGACGGGCCAGTGGCTGATGGGTGAATTTGGCGCCAGGACGGGAGCTCAAGCAGTCGCTGGCTCCCGTCTCGGTGCTGTCTGGCAAAGCTGCCAGAACTGTTCCAACTCGCTTCTCGTCATTTGGCAGAAAGAAAACGGCCAAGTTCAGCTAGCCAACTACACCAATATGGCCTGGGAGCTTAGAGATGTCATTGCAGAGTCTGCTCCGCCGGGGACTGGCATGGCCATTTCGGCGTTTACGGACAGCAGGGGAACAGGCGAGTTCGGGACCGACACGAATTCGCTGCGGGCTTACGTCGCGGATGGGTCGAATTTGATGGAAAATCAGAACGGCCCCGACACAGATTTCACGTGGGACCTTGGAAACTCTGGTATGTTGAAGACCTATTTGTTGACACTTTAGTTCATGCTTCACCCTTATACAGAATGCTGACTTGACCGTTATTTCAGCCCAGCCAATCAGCTCCGGACTCTCGGTAACCCCCTGTCCCGAAGTGGTGTCCATTACGTATGGCGAGAACGGCTGGGACAACAATCTCGTCACCTACCTTTCCGCCGACGGTGACCTGGTCTCGAACATATGGCGCGGCAGCGCGTGGGACGTCCAAGCACCAGTACTGGCAGGCGCGCCGGAAGGTGTCGACACCTTCTCGTCGATAGCGACCACGCAGCAGATGAGGACGTTTGCGCTGGCCAATGGTGTGATCCACGAGTACACCACCACGGCGGCGAATCCGTTTACTTGGTTGTGGGTGGGAAAGGTGGTGACGGAGGATTGAAAGTCTCGGTCTAGATCCCATGGACTGAGGAACTGAGAGCAGTAATTTACCGGTGATGATATACAGAGATGATTGTAATTGTGAAACTAAAGGGACGGGCTTATTCTTTTCTATACTATTTAGCCTGCCACGAGTCCAAGAATTGAAAACGTTCAAATCACTCAGGCCGCTTCAGCGTTGGATAGACATCTCTCTTTACAGTCACGGTTCGCCTGGCGAGAAACTGGCCAGACGTTGGTAGGACAGGGGCTGCCAATGGCGATATATTTCCAAGTCAGCGCAGTCCAGCAAGATCGAAACAAATCTACGTGACTAGTTCGAAATTGGCGTGGCCATCGATCATGGCGCCGAATTGCCGTGAGAGGTTGTCCAAGGGATCAGGGGCAAATGCAACTCAACACAAGATATTTCCTACACACAGCACTCACAGTGACTTTGACTGTCGCTCCGATCGAAAACTTGGAAGTTCTTCACGCTTGGCGATCTACTAGTTGGGGTTCAGGGATTGGGGAAACGAAGGCATGCATCTCCGCACAGCGCTATCTTCGTCGGAACCTATAACAATCTGATTGTTGTCCACCTACAAGCAACAATTTGGAAAACTTAGCATTTTGATTACTGAAATGTCCTCGAAAATAGTAACAGCTACCGAGCCTATCCCCAGGACGCTCAAGGGAGGCTCAATACTCAATGCCGCCAGCATAGACGGCGGTAGGCCGAAGCGACGTCATGCGATTCCCCGCCCGGCGACCAAAGACATCGAGCGGAGGTGGCAACTCGAACAGATGGCCGGCGCATTTCGCATATTCGCCAAGATGGGTTTCGCGGATGGCGCAAGTGGACACATCAGTCTGAGAGGTTGCCCCCCTTTCCACATTCCAATCTACCTGAGTCTCAAATCCTCATGCCGAACGTATGGCTGACATCGACCAGATCCCGTCCAGCCCCACACCTTCTGGATCAATCCCTATGGCGTCCACTTCGCCCTCCTCACCGTCTCTGACATGGTCCACGTCGATGAGGAAGGCCAGCGCATCGGCGGCAACGATCAGCTCGTTAACGCAGCCGGCTTTGTCATCCACGCTGCCATCCACAAGCGTCGTCCCGACATCCACGCCGTTTGTCACATGCACAGCCCTTATGGAAGGGCCTGGTCAACCTTCGGTCGGCCGATCGACATGCTTAACCAGGATAGCTGCATGTTCTACGAAGACCTGGCCGTGTACGCCAATTTCGGGGGCGTGGTCTTGGCGAGGGAGGAAGGAGGAAGATTGGCGGATGCGTTGGGGCCGAGGAAGAAGAACTTGATTCTGCAAAATCATGGATTACTGACTTGCGGTGGGACGGTGGCGGAGGCCGCGGCTTTCTTTATTGCGTTGGAGAGGGCTTGTCAGGCTCAGTTGTTGGTGGAGGCGGCTGTTGCACCGGATGGCAGTCAGTTGAAGAAGAGGGTGGTCAGTCATGAGGAGGCGGTGTACACGAAGGAGGGGACGGGCACGCCGGAGATTATGTACATGCAGTTTGAGCCTGAGTATCGTTTGGTCTTGAGGGAGACAGGTGGGGATTTCTTGTCGTAAACAACTTTGGCGGGATTGATGGCCATGTTGATCTTGATATAACTGGAGTGCGAGGTGGTATGATTGAGAAGGAAAGGCTTGAACAGGTATGGCAGCTGCAAATAAGACGGTTAGAATATTAGGCGGATTGATGGCTGCCATACACATCGAACGCATGCAGCTGCGGTCTTTGGGGAGTTTCGCAAGAGTGGACTCCTCTTTGAAAAAGTTGAGCATTGTGAAGCATCAGAAATATGGAGAGCAATTACTCCGCAATTTTCTATTGTGTTGTGTTGCAATGAATAGATGCCCAGGGTCCCTTCTGGACATCATCCTAGACAACACCATTGTGCCCATCGTCCAGAAGCCGTGAGACCTGCCATTGAAGACTTGCATATATCCACACTTAATACTAAGGTCTTTCACAGGACATCGTGAACTCACCTCAGTCATCTGCCTTTGCCAAATGCCCAATCAACAAGACGCTTGATTCATGTCTCCTTGTATTTCGCACCTCACAACTACAATTATGCCTAGAACAGCAATATCCCCTCAGAAATCATTCAGTTCTCGACTACCACGATCGTTGCCTTTCAGGGCCAAATGACTTTCTCTACTATCAAGCTCTGCTGTTACAAGCGCATTCAGCCAATCTCGTGCGCTCGAAGGCTTCGGGAAAATGCTTGTTAAGCAGCAGAAGTTTAACGAGCACTCCATTGCAGCTCTGCGAGAAGGCATGCTTTACTCTACCCACAAGGAAATTTCGACCTTGGTCACACAAATAACAGGATGGGGCAGAAACTTAATTTAGGAGAATGGAGACCTTGGATAGACTGAGAGCCTGTGCAAAGTCTAAGACACTGGGAGTGGCTGGAAAAAGAGCCGAGCCAGTTAAGTTCTGCACACAACCCACATCTCTCGTCCACCACTAGAATTAAAGCAAATTTCTAACAATGTTGGTTGCTCCAAATTCCGTAGTCACAAGTTGTGTGTGTTATTTGTTCAATGGTTGGCCGATCCGTGATATATACACACAGAGCGGATCCAACACACCCGGTTCCCCGAACAATCAGACATTAAATACAACCAGGCAGATCTGCAAGGCTCGGCGACCAGTCCTGGATCATTTCAACTGAATAAAAAAGCAATGAGCACTCAAACTATGACTCAGGAGGGATAATAGGTTATACTTGATATACTACATTGAAATACCAAGCTATTTCCCGTGGTGAGCTTGCAGTTTTTCTGTCCCTTTCCCGTTGGTCTTACAGTATTAGTGGTGAATAGATATAACAAATATAGATTCTTGTCATTTGTAGTGCTTAATTAAGTAAGAAATCTGTGGACCTCAAATGGAGGTTTTAGCTGTCTGTACCAGAAACTCGACACAGCCTTTGACTATGGCTGATCAACTGACCTGGTCAACTAAAGCCAGCCAGTTGATGTTGCATGTTTTTAGTGTAAACAGGGCTAACTTATGTGCATTGCCAGGATCGGAGTCATATTCAGCTACATCCACTTGTTGATGTGGCCACAACATCTCCATCTCCATCTGCCACAGATGTCAGACCAAAGATACAAGGCACTCGGCACATTTTTCTCTCTCAGGATCACCCAATGATGCACCTTCAATCGACACAAGTACAGTTTAGAAGAAAAGCTTGTTCGCTGTCAACAAAACTGGAGCAGCCCGACTTGGCTCTTCCAATGCTGCCGCCGCCGTTTAGACTTTGAGCAACCAGTGAATTAACAACTCTGAAGCCAGTGATGAAAAAGAGGGTTCCCTGTTTTTAGTCCAAGTCATGGGAGCTTGATGACTCGAAAAGAGTGAAATTTGACAAGCTCATAATTGAGAACACCGTCCTGGCATCTTCGACTGAGCCAGACCCGAAATGACAGCACTACTTCCGAAAGAAATACCTGCTGCAAAGAATCCAGGTCTCCACCAGACCGAGAATCAGGATGAAAAAGCACTGGATGCTTGCTACTTCACCTGCAGTAGGAGCCTTTGCCACTTGCAACTCGACATGATGCCCTGACACGACGCAGATGCCGCTTTCCTTAAAGCACAAGTGAGCCGCGAGTGGGAAGACTACTGCGAATCGGGAAGTGCTTTCGAGACATACATCAATAACTGCCTGTGCTGCATCGGGCCACTTCTGCACCACGGATATAAGGCCATCGACTATCTCGCCCACGACTTCGGTGGCCAACTGAAGATCTGCGATGATAGGCCTCCCCAAGGTAAGAAGCTGCAAACTAATCTACCTTGCGGTGTCCTCTCGCGGCCACCTGCAATACCCATCACGATGCCATATCCGGCCAAGACGGTTTGGATTATCGACGCTCCAGGCGACTCGCTCTCTGTCGGGGTTTCCTACACGTACAATTTCAAGCAGCTGCGAGAAGGACACAATGACAGTCCCCCAAGTACTAAGGTTCCTGGCCTTGACAATATATCCACCTTGACTTCCAGCGGCATCCCCACCGCAGTCATCACGATTGTGCCGATAACGTTCACCGACGCGCTAGCTCATACCAGCATCTCGTCACGGATAACCACAATCACGCCAACTACCACAACTACAGCGACTATAGTACCAGTTTCCTCGAACAAAATTGCCATTGCCGGCATCGTGCTTGGTGCCGTTTTCGGTATTCTTTTGTTTATTGCGACCCCACTGGCTCTCTTCGGCCACAAGAGCCGCAAGTCCAGGAAGCAGCAGTCGTCGTCCAAGACCCCAAACGACGGAAATAACTCTGAGAAGAACCCTCCCGCTAAAATTGAGTTGCCCGCCTACCCAATCTCGCCACGCGAGCTGGAGGACACGGAGATTCCAGCGCCTGTGGAGTTGGACGTTTGGCCCATGGCTGAGCTGCCGGGTGACAACTCAGAGGGAAAGGCCGTTTCCTATCATCAGGAGACTGATAATTCGGAGGGAAAAGCCGCCCATAGTCAGGGGGAAGTGATTAGGAGCTGGGTGCCCAAGGGCAGAGTCGCCGAGCTGAAGAATCCCAACGCCAGGAGATTGAGAAGAGTCACCACTAGCTTGAGTGATGCCAGAAAATCCGAGGGGACCCTGGATGAAAGATACAAGGTTCTTGAGAAGTTAGCGAGGCTTGAGGAACTGAAGCGCCAGCGGGAGATCAGATTGGCTAACCGAGGTGTTGTTGATGTCGACAATGAGGATGGACTTAGTGATACGGATGCTGCGGAAGGTTCGAAGGGGAAGGGACTTTCTGCACCTTGAGGTGTCTGGAGATATCATGATAAGAGTGAGGATTACGGAATTGTGATATGCCTAATTGTGGTCCTCTATTATTATCATCAAGCGAAGCACGCATCCCCCGAGTCGCGCCATGAGCATGCGATTGTGATCCTGCATTCGACTTTTCGCCTTCCTGATATATTACGTCACACCTATCTCTCGCAAACATCCGGTGTCATGAACGAGGGCCAAACGTAATCGATAAGTCGATCGGCCTGCTAGAATCCCTCAACAATGCCTCTAGACTTTTTAACACAGTTTTTGAAGCCTGTAATCTGTATGTATTGTGAAGGATATGGAGGCTAGGTCGATCGCTGGCCGGGGCCCTTACCTCTTATCTATCACTACAGGGTGACCCCTCTCAGGGTCATTAAATGACGGCCTATAGAACCAAATCATACTGCCTCAATGCGTACGGCCAATGACTGGAAATGGTGCACACATGGTTGCCGCAGGCCGAATTCGCGAAGTTTGACAAATCGCTGCATTCGGAGGAGATTGGCCAAGTTCAATCACATAGGGATTGGCTCAAATCTTCAACAATTGGAAGATTACCAAAGTACCTCTGTATCACCACTGATTGTGCCAAATTTTCAGCTCTCTGCATGTCTGGCCCTGAAGGTCTTTTGCGGCCGGGATAGTTAACTTGACGGTGTGTACACTTGGCTCTAGGTTACAGGGGGCTTGGCATGGCCGGAATCTGACGGCGAAAGACTTGTCAAGTGTGAAAAGGATCGTGACGCTTGCTAGTTCTGGTGCTGGTGCTAATGCTGGTGCTGTCGGTAATGCGTGCCACTTGTACGGAGGTGGTCAAACAATTGATTTCTTGACTAAAGATTCTTGATACGAAAAGGTAGGGGGACCCACTGGTTAGGTGAATCCCATTCAATTAGATACTATAACGTTGCGCACTGCTGCATTATAGCATCCTCCCCTCTAGGTGCACGCATCAATTCTTGACAGCAGTGGCGGCGGACGACATGAATATGAGGGCGGCGGACTTTTTGAGTCAAGTGACCGCACTTCTGGCTGTTGAGGATACTTTTGATGACCTTAGCATTGACTCCAGTTGGCCATGACGTGGCTCGTATAGTTATTCCATGAAGGGAAGACTCCAGGCCACTGCTGATAGATCTGCTGGTGCTGGCGTTGGCGCTCTTCCTCTCGACGGTGGTTTCGATTCGGCTTGTTGGCGTTAGCGTTAACCCCCTTTATGTATGTGCTGCTTAAGTCTTTCACGTTGACGCCGATGGTTATATAGACCGAACTTGGCGGCCATCATGTGTGAGCTTAATGCGGTGCGCCAGATCAAGTTTATTCCACCAACTAAAGGCGGGGCCTTGCTCTGACTTGATTCTATCTCATAACGGCTATAATTCGCTGCTTGGAGTCTATGGCTAACCTAGCTAGCTTTATTATTATATTCACTTTATATCCTATATCCGCACACATCATCGTTCAGTAGCTGAATCTATTATCATTATAATATTCTAAGCTGTCGAATTTCGCTAACTTTATTAACTTGACAAGTGTTACGAACCGTTAGTTCTAATTAACGTTACAGACTGTGAGTAGGCTAGGTAAGCTCTGTAAGGAAAATAGGTTCCCGAAAGCTGGGAAAAGATTAATAAGGCTCCGAGGTTACGTAAGTAGGACCAATCGCTAGAAGGCTAGTATTAAGGAGTGATCCAACTAGTAATAGTAGGGATTACTAACCATTCGGTAATCTAAAGTAGTCTAAGTAGATTAGTGAAGCAGTGTAACGGGGATACCTGATGCGTGCACCTAGGGGGAGGATACTATAATGCAGCAGTGCGCAACGTTATAGTATATAATTGAATGGGATTCACCTAACCAGTGGGTCCCCCTACCTTTTTGTATCAATACCACACGTCTCACAACAATATTCAGGTAGTGCAAAGAGCGGCTGGTGGTGTGCTAATATTATGGGTGCGTATATTTTAAGTCTGATTCTTAAAGAAGCTAAGTTAAGTAGGAGCGTCTCAAGATCTCCTCTTTAGCTAGGACTGATTCGGAGTTCTACCGGATCGGGGCGAAACCCTCCCGACTCAGCTTGTCAGCTAAGACCAGCCCGCCATAACGACTCTTCCTTAGAAGAAGTGAATAGATATACAAGGGACAAGGTTCATCATGGCACTTGTGGCGGTTAATCTCTTCCGGTCATTATTTTCGCTTGCGCTCTTCTTTTTCTTCTTGTTAACTGTGGCGCTCCTTTTCTTGATAGCGACGGTTATATTGGGTTGCTATAACAAAAAGCCTCGATGCCTTGTGCTTTAGTCTGAGACCACGATCGCTACCGACACGTAAACCCCCATGCGTTAGTTTCGGCACGAAGTGTTATTAGCTAGTAAAAGAGTATATTCTCAGCAGTGATGCCTTCTTGCTGTCAACCGTGTTGGCATAGCTATTATAATATTAGGTTCCCGACATGATGAGAGATGATGTTCTACTCTTCAGGCAGGTCCCAGAGTTGTTTCATCAAATTCCAGCAGAGGAGCAGTGTAACCCCTTTTCCGACACGCAACCACATGGTTGACGCATACATAATGGGATGTAGTTGAAGTGTAGTTGAAGACGATAACACTACCATGTCGGGCAATCTGAAATCAAGGAGAACAGCTGGGTTATATGGAGGAGCTGGTAGCTGATGACTCGGCGCATAGATGACAGGTCGTTCTTGTAGTCTCGAACAAAGTCAACACTTACGTTTTGGTTTTCAACCTCACGGCAAGAAGGGACATCGGAATGCTACTATAAGTTACATTGACGAAGTGTTGTGATACGTGACCCCATGGGGGGTTACCCTATAGCTATAGATAAGATAGATAAGAGCTATAAAAGAGCTCTGCCAGGCCAGAATAGCTGACCTGGCCATCCTTTCCCAATACAACAATTCACACCCCATATGCACTTGCATCATGTTGGTACTTTGCATGAACAAAAATAACGGAACCTGCCTCGTGAATCAGCGGATCACATATTGATAACGTGAAGACTACGAGAATTGGCCAGCCAGGGACCCACTAGAGGATCCGACTGTCGTCGCTTATTATCAAATACTGGCTACACCGCAGCAACTTGGCCTTGTTTGAAACTAAATTTAATCTTATAGTTATTGTGTGGGCCTATTTGAGGGGGTCTACCTTCACCAACAAAGAATGCAATGAGACAACCCAACGACAACTTTTCTATCGCGTCGGTGTTTTGGGGTCAACCTGCAATATGGCTAATGTAACCCAATATCCAGTTACATTCAGGTAGCAAGCGAGCATCTGACCGAAGCTACAAACACCTGGAATTTGGGGGCCAGGAATAAGAAAAAGGCGCCCAATCAGCAGAGTAACCAGGTTCTTCTAGTGTCTATTCCAATTTACACATGGGAGCATCAGATTATCTCACGCTGTTCCATTAATAATACGCCAATCGTTGTGTCCTCCGCTCGGGTCTTTCGCTTCATGTACAAGCCTCATAAAAACCGCCCCGCGGCACACTTTGAACGAAACCGGCCATATAACGAGGATCGCGCATATGTAGAGCTTCGCATACACACGTTTGGCGGCATTGCGCCTCTAACACGGCCAGCCACTTAGAACGTCTGGTAAAGTCTCATATAAGTAGCCGGGGCCCAATCGACGCTAAGTATGATATTGCGCACGCATGGTTGAATCTGAAAACATAATGGATTCTCCGGCACAGGTTGCATTTCAGCATAGGGCTGATGTCAAAATCAAGTTGAACTCACTTGAAAAGAATGGGACAGATTTGTCCACTAGGTCACCTCCGGTCGAGTTGGTGTTCTTAACGCATCTTTGATGCATAGGCGCCCGGCCCCCTATGGGCAGTTGCGGCGAAGACTATGTCTGGGGTCTGAAATTGTTACTGGGACCTACAGGTCAGGTCGAGGCCAAGTTTCTCGGGTGTCGGCCGGTAGCAACGGATTGTAACCCCAGTGCCAACGAGCCTGTGCCCCATGTGCACCTCTGCTTGCATTCCAGGTCTACTGTTGTCGAAATAGGAATTTGTAGCAGCCTGTTAAATTTCATTTCGAGAAACTTTATGACGCAGTGCATCATTGCTGAGCATCTTTGAAATACGGTAGTTGTCATATATAATTACGCTTCCTTCCCGAAAATCGGAGTCTCTGCGTTGCCCGATTCAATGCAGTCAATACCGCAGAAGACACACATGAACTTGATCTAACCTCTCCCCTTAATTGAAACCCCGTTATGTCACGTTTTGATCTTGTACACCTGCCTATTAGGCATTGTTGACTGAAGTACTTTGAGAAAGCTGAGAATCCCTTCCCAAATTTTGTGTTGATTCCCACAGGGTCATAACTAGTTTTGCGTACCAGTATATTGGCTGACTATGTGGTAGATATTTATCTGGGCTGTGCTTGTAGCTTCTACGTGTGGTCTGCTGATTAGCCATGGCCCCAAACATACTCGAGGAGAGTCTTGGGCTGCAGTAATCGAAATCAGAGGCCACTCCAGGGAGATATAAGTCGAGGGTACACTCCCAGCTAAAACGCCAGCAGAGAAAGTGGACGCCGTTCCACAGAAGATTCAAGAGTCATCAACCCTAGAAAAACGCCGCAATCTCAATGATTACCAAGAACAAAACCCCAACAACCAGATCCCTGATTTTGTCGTATGTTAAAGGCCGGATGACAGACAATCTGCCATGTACTCTTTTGAACAGATCTGGACAGCACTGGAACGAGGGTATGATATTGTACAAGGCAGGCAGCCTTACAGTGGCTGGAACGGTGCCGATGTACCTCACCACTTTGGCGGCCATAACTACGCACTCCAATTCACGCCTGTTGGGGATGGTGATTGGGACAACATGAGGCTATACCTTCTAGTTCGAGGCCCGGGCCCTTGGGCGGGGCCTACCAGAAATCCAGGCCCTGATTGTGTTGTGTTCGATCTGCGAGGAAGATACTTCGGTGTTGTAACGCATAGGGGAGAAATAAACAATGAATTCCAGTAAGTCCCCCACAACACGCTACCTCCAGACAGTGAATTATTGTCTCATCTCTGAGCCTTTCCCAACCTACATAGTCTGATCCAGCTTTCTAACTCATGACCAATGCAGCTGGGCTACTCCTACGGACATCAACGCACGTGCTATCCGCATCCCCGGTGTGCCAGGAATCGATAACCTCATCGGGTATGACAAGCCTGGATATTGGAATAATATGTTCTAGGTAGATCATTTAACTAGTTTCGAAGGGAAATGGCCCATGCCAGTAGTGATATAGGCTGGCTGTGTTAATATGTGCAAGAATGTGATAATTGGGTAATGCAGCGGGCAACTGGGAACTGTCATTTGTTGGATTTCGTGTCAGCGAGGAAGAATGTACTGCATGTAAGAAGATAATGTGTCCTAGCTACCACGCACATCCAGGTACGTAACTGTGGTATTTGAAGTTTGATCCACTACTACTAGTCAGTGTAATAATATAGACCCTACGGGCGAGACTACTGTACACGTCGGTTATTCGCAGCGCGATCGCCTTCGGGGCGGCTGCGTGGCACACTATAAGCGAGGAACCAGCGGGACCAGCTAAGAGCCTAGTCGGGATACAGAATGAGTGCCTCCGAATAGTCTGTGGCGCCTACAAAGCGACACCGGTCCGACACCTAGAAATAGAGGCAGCTATCCCGCCACTAGACCTATATCTCAGTGCCCGGGCGGCGAAATTTGAAGAAAGGCTACGGAATAACGGCAAAAGGAGCCTGCTTCGGAGCGCGAGCGCGAGAGCGTCACACATACTCCGACAGGACACGCCGGCGAGACGGAAGCGGGCGTCACAATCGCTCAGACCAGCGGGGTACACGATAGATGTCACGACCTGGGTTGCATCGCATTGGTAGAGACCTCGATTAGGTGCTATCGACGAAGATTCTACTCTAAGGAGCGAAGGAAAGAAGATGACAACTTAGGTTTGAGGGAGCGCGACTAAGTCATCCACGCTTGGCGGGGCTCCTACAAGGGTTGACCTTCACAATAGAGAAGGAGGCTAGGGGCTCCGAGTGGATAGGCAAGGCGAAGGAAGTCCCGGCCGCCCTCCTAGACCACTGGGAGAAGAGATGGCTCTCCGAGGCAGCACAACACGACCGCCAGCGACGCGCTATCGCCGAGAAGCAGGAGGGCCCCTCGATGTGAATGCCGAAACAGGGCAAGTACTCAGACCTAAACCGACCGGAGGCGTCTACCCTATGCCAGATCAGGACCGGAAAAATAGGACTATCAGCTTTCTTATTTAAGATAGGAGCCTTCGGTGTGTACTCGCCGTTATGCCGCTGTGGAGAGGCCCCCGAGACGGCAGAGCACGTAATCCTCTTTTGCGGCCTGCTGGAAGAATCGAGAGAGCGCCTACGGGCCACTATCGCACCATGGTCGCTGCATACACGTAGAGACCTGGCAACGGCGACGGGGAAACCAGTAGTCAGCGGGACTATCACAAGGTGGCTACTCAGGACTGGCCGGATAGCGCTTAGGCCCGGATAATATCGATCGTCTCAGGGGGACTTTGTTAGTAGGGTGAGAACTAACATGGTATTGTGGTGGACGTAACGCAGTCGCTAATAGAGCGAACCTACGTAGCAGCGTATGTATTTAGTCCAGCCATTAGGGCACGGTTTGACATACGGGAGCACTTGTAGAGGTACCGGGGGCTTCGAGCCTACGGCGTATTTAATAATAATAATAATATAGACCCTAGTGAGGATTCTGCTCTCCTAACAATTGGATTCAGGAGAGTCAGTCCGGCCAACATATGCTCCATATATCATTAAGAAATGATCGAAAGAAGGATACTGAGCTCGTTTGAAGTAGTGTTTGTGTACAGTAAATAGGACATGCAATGATAAACCTGACGTAGGATCGTCAGTCTATTTATAGTGCTTGAATGCTAAGGCGCTCTGGTTGTAATTTGTCCAATCGGCATTGACCCTGCCGTGGTTTCGTGCGACTTAGCCAACCGACATTGAACTACTAAAGCAGATGAGACCTCTCTGTTTTGCCTCGAGCAGAGCTGCGCAAATTTTCCGACTCGTTCTTTCTTGTCGACCTACTTCATCGCACAATCAATATTGTCTACCATGGCGCAGTCTACACCAAGCAGGCCACTCGACTTGACACTAAGTCCTCTTTTTGGAGATCCTCCCGATGCCGCGACCAGCAACATTTGGCGGGTGGTGAACACCTACCTCATCAGTCCATCTGAGGACGCGGGCGCTGCGGCAGAAGGTTCGTATACTTCATTTCTTGGCTCTCCGGAGAACTTCAACCTCAAAGTTTTTAAAGCCCTACGATATTATCGTAACTTATCCATGCACTTACAAAACGTCATGTGGCAGAGCTCGCATCGCACCTTACAGTCTCCAACCTTGCTCTAGCCGAGGATGACCCTTTCAACCCATATCGGTGGGTCGAACTTATATTTGCGATTTGCTTTCATATCACGGAGCAAGTTCCCTGGGACCACAAATGGCAACATCGTCTCGTGTCATTAGTTGCTGCGCTTAAGATGCAGCCAGATCCGCCTGTTGAGGTGGGAGATGCGCTGATGTCTACGTTTAGCTTGCCGCAAGAGAAGTGAGTTTGTCCTATAAATCTGCAGTATCTATGCGTGATGCTTGGTCCTTCCACTCTATCCCCTGAATCATTGTATTGCCAAAGCCAGTCAACCATCCGACTGACCAACATAGCTTTTCCTGGAAAGACCTCCCAACCCGGGTAGTCGGCAACTTATGTGACATCAAAGGACCGTTCGAGCGCCACCAACCGCGCCAATACTTCAGACCCGAAATCAAAGACCGGGCCCTACATGCGGATGCGTTGGCCAGCGTCAACCGATTCCTCGCACTTGTCGTAGCAGATGCCGACGATAACCTCTGGCGGGAATTACTTGTCCGCGGTGTCAAGATTCTTAGAGATGCGCTCGAAGTCTCTAGGCGCGTATATAGTCTGGAGGACAACCTGCCTGCTGCCGCGGTGTGGATATTGACGGCGGGTCGAACGATATATGCGCAGCGAGGGCTGGATATGAGAACGCGGAATGATGTATGGGAGGAGCAGGGCGAGGATTATTATGGGCCGGATGGGATTAATGATGACAGATGGCAGGGAGTCTGGAGCCTTTCATGTTGGCTTTATTGCATAAATTCCCAATCTCTTTACGGCACATTTATCAAAAACCTCGGTTCCATCCGCGTGGCTCAGGTCCAACTTGGATTCTACGGCTGAAAGTATTCTAATATTTTTTCTAGTTTTGAAAAGAGAGTTTCTACGAGTTTTCCGAGACGAGGAATATTGGAGATGCGTCGAAAGAAATAGCTGTCAGGGCCGCGAAGTCCATGGATCAGATTAAGACTAATGCCTAGTAGAAAGCGGGTATAGCGCACATCAGGGGTCGGTTTGCAGTTCGTTCAAACAAGAAAGTAGACGTGCCTATTATCGAAAACGGCGAAAAAGTGAATCAAGCCGAAAATATCGTAAAATGTGTAGTCATGATCATAGAAAAATATGCCCTTTCCTTCACAATCAAGACTTTCTCCAGCGAATACGGGATTACTGTCACCGTCTCTTCCGACTCAGGCAACACCATCACCACCACAGGCACCTTACCATTTTAACCACACCAAGCTGAACAACCATTTTCCCTCCAGAGTAACACACTTCTCATTATCCACCACCCTCCAGTAAAAGTCCGCCGCAACAAGCAAGATGACCAAAGTCAACACGTAATTGACGTAGACGCTGGTAAACTACGTCCACCCCATAGTCCCCATCAAATCGCCCTAAAACTATATCCTAACCGAGAGATAAAATAACCAATGGAGCAAATAAAATGCATAACTAAGCTCGTCCAAATTCAGCAACGGTGCCGTCCACAACAATCGCTGAATCAACGGCAAGTTCTCCATCGAAGCTAGCATCCCAAAATCCCCTATATTGCGTCAGAATCAAATAGAATTAGGGTATTTGTAGGCTATATTGCATTTTACAAGTGCTAAAACGATTATTAGTGCAAATAAACGTATTCTGGGGCGGATGAGTGAAAAGCAGAGACTAGTTCCTACTATTTGATCCGAGGTTTTGGACGATATAATTTCCCGCAAAGGCGAATAAGCTAGTCTTACTTTGGATTAATAAATGGTTAGCTCTTCTGGTCTTCCTTTGAGTAACAGGACTTTTTCCACGAACGAGTTGAAGGTAGCCCAGCAAGCTGGTCCCAACCATGTAGATGTTGATCGTCTCGCTTAACAACGTCATTGAGAAGCTGGAAATCGAAGCTGACTAGTCGTGTCGGATAACAAACACAACCACAACATTTCCCCCCTCGCCGAGCTCCTCCTGTTTGTGTTTCCCACAGGCTGACACTCAACCAAACATGGAAAATACCCTTCACCTAGAAGCGTGGGCAAATCATTCCCACACTCTTTCCACTCTGGCCTCATTTGGAGTTCCGCCCTGAAAGTTTGAACCGGAGACGTACGGCTTTTGACCAGCGGATGTAAATGTTATCATCTGCGCCGCGGCGAACATCACAAGTTTGATCTGGGACAATGCAATGCAACTGAGTTAGCCATATCCCCTCTCCCCACGACCTGAAAAAGAGGACTCGAGATATACTGTAGCTGCATTGAGACCGAGGACCTTTCAGCCTTCTCCGCGGCTGTAAATGTATTGAATAGTACTGGTGCTCCTCGGAAGGGTCCGGCACCAAAAATACTGAGGAGGCCGCGGCGGCGGCCATCATCGCTGTCCCAACCCGGCCAAGTCGACTCTTAAGTACTTAAACCTTCACTTCCACGAAGCGCCTCGCTTGTAAAACCGGTACATTTTCTCGCGCTTGGACCCGGAGGATGAACTTTACATTACCGTGAAGGACTTTGAAGCCCTCGAGACGCGTAACCTGGCTATGGGTATTATTTGCATCCCCGAAGCCAAGCACAGCGCCATCGACGTGACGTTGTTCATACGCTTGCTCCCTAAGACCCCTAGTCTTTGGACATCATCGCGTTGCATGAAAATCTGATTGTGAACGCCCTGCAGTTGCAGTGAACGTGGCAAAGGAGTAACCTGAGCTTAAGTTTGTTGATTTAGATGTCAGCGCTGTTACATCTAGCCTTGGTATGCATGGGTGAAATCACATCATATGATGTGGCGCAGCAGGGTGGCATTCAAGCCGTTCTAGGTCGCAGGTCGGGGGGTGAAGTTCAACTTCTGCGGCCTGTCAATATAATTAGGGGTAAAGACAGTACGATACTAAACTAACAGAGGACAGACCTTAACCTACTTCACCACCTGACTTCGGGTAATCTACTAGCTGCAACTCCTGGGGACACAGGCTCCATATTCTTCTTGTCCTGCATCTAAAATGCTGTGGTTGCGTACTGCTTCGGTCACACGGGATGAAACTGTGAAGTGGAACAGGGACGTGTTGGAGCAGGATTGAGGCAACGATTGTTGTGCTTTAAAAGACGACGCTCAAGTTTATCATTGACTAACAGCTAAACAGAGTGAGATCTTGTACGCCCGAGGATAAAACCAGACATCTTTCGGTTACGATGGTGATGATTCAGGTACCAGACTGCTTGATGAGTCTTGCTAGGCAACATGCCACCGGGGACGGCTTCCCTTCCTACATATGAGACGGTGCTTGGCCTCCGCGTCCTCCAGTTGGTATAGCTTGCTTCCACGCTGTCTAATTCCACACTATTAAACCCATGGATATGGTGTTGACCCCGAAGATGGTTGTATCCATTACTCAAATCCCAATATCCGACCCTTCCGGCTGATGCCATCGTCAGATTCCATCAATATCCATACTATTCTTATCTGTAAGCTATAGAATTTTTTTTTTAAAAAAAAACCCTACGCTACCTAGGCACGCAGGATGAATTGGCTGATGTACCTGAGTTTGCGGGGTTAATGGCTTCAATACCACATGGCGCTCCGGGTTCTTACTCAGGCTGATTCCTCCAACCACATCAACCGCAGCTGACCCCACACTCCAGAACGATGGACTCAGCTGGTATGCTTGGGGAAACTGACTTTATTCGGTAATATAACCAGGTGTATTGTGACGGCGGATGCCCAATCCTTATAAGATGAAACAGCTGAGTCTTCGGCATTGAGTACTATGGGTGCACTCTCTGACTCAGATAATATTTCCCACCCATTGGAAACTTGAACTTGCATGCTCATACGAAATTTGACTGCCGGATACTGAAATACATCGCCATCTCGACTCATTCCTACCATTTACACGGCAATGCGGGTCTCTGAGTATTTCTTCACGGTCTTGGCCGTAGTGACTGCTGTGGTGGGCCAGAACGCCTCTCAGCCCGGACCGGATGGACGGTACACCATTTCGGCAGAGGGGATCAAGGCACAGGTAAGCCGTGTTGCCGTCAGAAGAGACAAGTTAGTTTTACTATCGCAGACTAACACCATCATAGTTTATCCCATACGGCGCAACTCTCACAAACCTCTTCGTCAAGGACAAGAATGGCAAAGACGTCGACATCGTCCTGGGATATGATGATCCTGCATACTACCGTGACTACTCATAAGAGCCAAAGACATCTTAATTCTCCTATCCTAACATATACACTACAGCTAAGGACCCCGGCCACCCCGTCTACAACGCCATTCCCGGCCGCTACGTCGCCCGCATTGGCAACGCCACGTACACGCTCGACAATGTGACCTACCACACGGAGAAGAACGATGGTACCAACACTCTTCACAGCGGCACCAACAATTGGTCATTCCGCGAGTGGAACGTGACAGCCGTCAAGTCTGACTCCATCACCTTCTCCATCCTCGACAAGTCCAACTCGTCGTTGAACATGCTTGGAGACGTCAAGGCCCAGGTCACTTACAGTGTTACCAATGGCACTTGGAAGATCAAGATGGATGCTACGTCGCCGGATCGGAAGACTCGTTAGTTCTTACCTGCTCATATCCCCCAATATTCAAACGGCGTGCCTCTTCAGCACGACGGCGACTAACCATGTTTCTCAATGAAAGCCCTCATGCTAACCCAGCACACCTACTTCAACCTCGACGCCTACAAAGACCCCTCCACGGCCAAAGTCTGGAACCACACTCTTTACCTCCCCTTTTCCTCCCGCTACCTCGACGCCGGCCAAGACGCCGTCCCGACAGGCAAGATCCTAACCGCTGCCCCGGGAAGCATCAACGACTTTGCCAGCGCGCCCGGGATCGAGCTCGGTCATTCGAGCGGCTCGCCCGAGTTTGCCGGGAATTGCGGTGCTGATGGCGCGTGCGAAGGGTACAATGGGTACTTCCTTATTGACGAACCCTCGCAGGCGGCGGGAAGCGGCCAGCAAAGCGAAGACGCGGAAGACGATTATGAATACATCGAAGTTGATGATGAAGCTGGCCAGTTGGCAATAGTAGCCAGTCTATCAAGCTCCTTCTCCGGAATCAAGGCCGAGCTGCGCACTGATCAGAAGGGTCTGACGGTGTACTCGTGCAACTGGTTCGACGGCACCTCGGCGCTGAAAAGCACGCAGGGGCTTGAGGGGAGGAACACAGTGGGTAGGAGCTCGTGTGTTGCGATTGAGGCGCATGATTTTCCGGATGGGATTAACCAGTAAGCCATTCGCCCCGCTGCCCCCCTTTCTTTTTCTAGTAGTATACGCATGAGTCAAGGCCTTAGTTCCAGATAGTTTTGTCCATTTTCTGAGACATGAGACTGACAACGACGGGGAATATAGTCCCGAGTGGAACCGCACCGATGCCGAGATCACGGGGCCGGGCGAGACGTACTCGTGGGAGAGCTCGTGGACGTTTAGTACATTGTGAAGAAGCTCTTAATAGGCGCGAGTGACGTTTCTATGGACGCTACTGGGGACAGAATAGTGATGTATATACGGGCTATGTTTATATAGTAGTGGCAGGAAAAGGTCAATGTATATATGTGAACGGGAAAATAACACGATCCGCCATTCGTATTTGCATGCAATTTCAAATTGGGCGTTGCGGGAAACATTGTTAACCCTAAGTTTTGTATTTCCATACCTTATTTATAGGCGTTAGATTGTAACCAAAGTACGTATTATTATCGTTCGAGAAAGCCTCACCATCCGGTAATCTAGTCTCATAGACAGTAAAGACAGTAACATCTCTTCCTGAAACTTCTGATTACTAGGCATGGCTAACACGAGCTGACCTGGTGCTCCTCCTAATCTTGCCCATGGCCCATGCTAGGAAGTGTCCTCAAGAGACGGCCCTCGATTATGGCGTCACCCTTACAGAGCCCAAGCCGAACGCTAACACCAGACGTGATGCTATCGCTTTTCAATATTGGCGGGTCTTTTACGCCTCAGTTTGCACCATGGCCTTGAATTTGTGCCAAACCTGAGGAAGCTTAGGTCGCCCCACTTTACAACTGTCAATGAGCTCTAACCTAGGCACTTCTCATCTCAAGGCAAAGTATGGAACGGTATATCCTTCAACGACTTAAGACGCGATCGTGAAGAAGCGACAAAGCTGCTAGAGATGGACAAAAAGGCCGAAGAAACATAGGTTCCGAAGAATTTGCTGGCAGGACTCAGGCACCTACTTCACTCTCTCTGAAGATCTTACAATCTCTGTCGCCTACCAAGTATTCGAACTCCGTTGAGGCGTCGCAGTCATCATCAATGCCAGTGACTTGCTCGGCTGGGTTGGCCAAACCTACTTGCAGAAGTTTGGGCTGCGACACGAGAAGACACTCACGCATTTCATTAGTGTCATAGTTGCATTGCACGCTTGCTCACGACGTAATGATGCGGATAAACAGCAGTCATTACTTGGCCGAACCACGATTATGCGGTAATATTCCACAGGTCCAGCAGAAATGTGAGGACATGGAACCCGAGAGGTTACTAGCACTTCGCTATTCAAGAAGATGTCCAAATGAACGGTCGTACGCCCTCATACCTGCCAAAGCCTTCATGAGACGTGATAAAAGTGCTTGAGTAATGGAAATAATAGCTCCCCGTCGGCGTTAGTATCACGAAGAAACACCTACCAGCATGTGACGTGCGAACCAGTGTCAGATCTAAATTAATACGTCTCATTTCAGATTCATGTTCGTGTGTGTGTGTTTGTGCTCTACAAACTGCTATACCAGTTACACCACTTGTTCTCTCCAAGAAAACAAACTTCCGGGACCAATGATCTCATAACATCGGAAGAAGCTCACAATCGAGCCTTGCTTGGTGGCGACGCCCGCTCACCTTGCTGGTCATCACCACCATCAAGTCACGAGGAAGCGTACTTCTTGAAAGCGCCAATCAAGCTTCCCGTGCTGGCATCGTGGTCACCACCGTTGCCGGGCTCGTCGAGCTCCGCAAGAATCTTCTTGGCCAGGACCTTGCCCAGCTCGACACCCCACTGGTCGAAGCTGTTGATGTCCCAGATAGCACCTTCGGTGAAGGTGAGGTGCTCATAGTAGACAATTAAAGCACCGAGTTCGGCAGGGCCAATGGTGCCACCGACGAGAATGGAGGTCGTGGGCCGGTTGCCCATGAAGACCTTGTGCGGCACCAAGTCGTCGGGAGTACCTTCGCTCTTAACCTGTTCGGGCGTCTTGCCGATCATGAGTGCCTCAGCCTGGGCGAAGTAGTTGGAGGCCAACATCTTTTGGTGTAGGTTGTCGGAAATGGGGTTGTGCGACTTGGCAGCCAGAATAAAATCGGTGGGGATCAGCTTGGTGCCCTGGTGAACAAGTTGGAAGAAAGAGTGCTGGGCGTTGGTACACGGCTCGCCAAAGAGAATGGGACCGGTCGTGTACTTAGCAGGCGAGCCGTCCGAGGTGATGGTCTTGCCGTTGGACTCCATGGAGAGTTGCTGCAGGTAAGCCGGGAAACGGTGGAGGTACTGGTCGAAAGGAGCAACCAAGTGCGTCTGGGCAGCAAAGAAGTCGCTGTACCACACGCTCAAGAGACCCCCAAGAATGGGAATGTTGTCCTTGAGGGGCGTCTCGCGGAAGTGCTTGTCCATCTCGTGCGCACCGGCCAGGAACTTGTGGAAGTTGTCGTAGCCGATGTAGAGAGCGACGCTCAGTCCAATGGCGCTCCACACAGAGTAGCGGCCACCGACCCAGCTCTCGAAGCCGAACATGTTCTTGGCGTCGATGCCGAACTTCGTGACTTCCGCCTCGTTGGTGGATAGAGCAACGAAATGCTTGGCGATGTCGCCCTTGCCGCCCGTCTTCTCGAGGAACCATGTCTTTCCGGTGTTAGCGTTTGTGGTGGTCTCGGCGGTGGTGAAGGTCTTGGAGGCGATCAGGAAGAGGGTCGTCTCGGGGTCAGAGTTGGCCAGGGCCTCAGCCATGTGGGTGCCGTCGATGTTGGACACGAAGTGCAGAGTCATATCCTTGGCGCCGTAGTGCTTCAGGGCCTCGGTGACCATGACCGGGCCACTGCAAAATGATCAGCAAGGTGCATTACATGGCGTTGGGGGGGCTTGCATGGGAGCGTCCCCAGGCGTTCGGGGTGTTGGCGCTACTTACAGATCAGAACCGCCAATGCCGACATTGATGATGGTAGTGAGCTTTTTGCCAGTGAAACCCTTCCACTCGCCGCTGCGGACCTGCTCCGAGAACTCTTTCATGTGTGCGAGGACGTCGTTGACGCCTCCCTTGACGTTCATGACATCCTGGCCCTCGACCTTCATCTCCCAGCCGCCGACATTTCGCAAGGCAGGGTGGTAGACGGCGCGCTGTTCGGTGAAGTTGATCTTCTCGCCGGCGAACATAGCATCGCGCTTCTCCTCGATGCCGGCCTCCTCGGCCAGCTTGACCAACAGGTTGATGGTCTCGGGTGTGACCAGGTTCTTGCTGAAGTCGAACAGGATGTCGGTGCTCGAGGGGGTGTTGTGAAACGTCTTTGACAGCTTCGCGTAGCGCTCGGGGTCGGATGCGAAGGCCTCCTTCAGCACGAAGGTCTTACCGACTTGCTTGTAGTGGTTCTCCAGCTCCGTCCAGGTGGAGAGTTCGGTAGGTTGAGGCATATTAGCGGTGCTGTATGGATATTGTTTGTGGAGATTATAGGAGGAAGTAACTGCGTCGAACAGCGAGAAGGTTAGTTCAAACAAAAATACCCAAATCGCTGGATGGAATGGGCAAAAATGGAGTTGGAGGGAAAAGCAATCACTCGACGATGACCAAGGTTCTCCTCGAGGTTCTTAAAGCAAGCTGTGTGACGCCGGGATCGTCGGTTGGCGGGGTAAAAACTTCGGTGACGGGGGTTCTATTACGGAGGCTTCAATGCGGTTTCACTTACGACAGCTGCTGTCAGGGAGCTATAGATGCGATATCGGTAGCAACAAGCACCCTTCAGACGGATGGCGTGTATCAATGCTTGGTGGCGGCTCAGGGCAAAACTGATGCTGTATAACACTCTGCAAGCCCGACAACATATGATGATGAGGGGCTGTCATCAATCTTTGGGCCGGGAAGCTGCCTTCAGACTCTACCCCGCGCAGCAGTGACGTGATGGGCAACATGTAAGGAGAAGGGGAAAGAACCTTTCGGTCTCAAACTTATGAATTGCACATACCTTTGACGATCAGTAGCGGTCAATTGATTGATGGACAAGTAGGAAATCCCTTGTGATGACATTTGGTAATGGAGGGCCTTTGTGTTCCTCTGCGCCGAGCTTCGTCTCGCAGCTTCCCGTTCGTCACGTCCGTGGGGCTGTAGTGGGCTGTTCGTTTGAAAGTCCACCACCAAGAACGACAGCCCCACACTGGCGTGCAAGCGAGCCGCCTTGGTAGAGAATTTGAAATCATATTGCACTTCGAGAAGTTCAGCCAGCAGCTTCATTGGCCCAGCCGACTGAGGCCTAGTCATGACACCTCATATCAATGCCGGACATATCCTAGCAGCCGTGTGACGTGAAATTGACTCTCAAATTCCATCAATTCATCGCTCTACTGGGGCGTATCTACATGTTTTTGTCTCAACCTCGTTGTAAACCTCGAGTGCAAATCAAAGCCCCTACGCGATGATACCAGACTCCTCTGAAAGCAGTTGAATTCCTCGTATGGTTGGGCCGCTGGCAACCATCGTTTGTCTACTGGAAATCGGGTCACTCCACGCAAACACGTCACGACACTCCAACGTGTCTAAAAATCGAAGCGGTTGCACACTACTGGACCTTTGCTCCGTCGTCTCGGAATACCTGGCAGCTTTCCGTGTACCCACATGCAGGCGGAAATTCTGCTTCCCTTGCCGTATCCTGACCCTACTGGGCAGCAGTCTATCTTCGGTCTTGAATGCTCCCCACAAAGCTGGGATCCTTGACACTACCACCTGCGTCACCCAAGCCAGCAATGGGCCGGTTGTAACTGAATCCTGCGAACTGGTTCTGCATGGTTTCTGATAATGCCGTGCCCTCGACATACGAGTCCTGGGGTGCTTCGGACGTGAACACGGTGTCAAAGTTATCTGTGTCGAGGGCGTCCACCTGTGCGATACGTATGATTAGAGACACATGCCAATCTTTGGACTTCAAAAGGAAACATTGCCAAAATGAACTCACCACATTGGGCTTGAACGTCGGTTCGTACTTGCGCTGAAGCAATTTGCGCCAGTCAATGGCGTGGAAGAAGGGATGGGCCTTGATCTCGGCACTGCCACCTGCTCCCAGTCTCTCCTCTGGGTTGCGGTTGAGAAGCTTGGAGAGCAGATCCTTGGCCGCGGGGGGCACGACCTCGGGACCTGGGAAATGGAGAGGCTCCGACAGAATTTTGCGATACATCTCATTAGTATTCTCGTCATAGAACGGAGGAAGCCCCGTAAGCATCTCGTAGAGAAGAACACCGAGCGTCCACCAATCGACGGTCTTATTGTACCCTTGTCCCATGAGCAGTTCCGGCGCCAGATACTCGGGCGTGCCGCAGAAGGTGTTGGTTCGGTCCTCATCCTTCATGTCCAGCTTACAGAGACCAAAGTCGCAGAGCGCAATGTGACCTTGATAGTCGAGCAGAATGTTCTCGGGCTTCAGATCTCGGTAGATGACATTGAAACCGTGGAGACACTCAAGGGCGCAGAGCAGTTCGGCCGTGTAGAAGCGGGCTCGGTTGACATCGAATCGTTGCTCCTTCTGTAAGTGATGGAAGAGCTCTCCACCGTTGACGAAAGCCAGGACAAAGTAGAGCTTCTCGGGTGACTGGAAGGTGAACTTCAGCGGCACAATGAACGGGTTGTTAATCTGGGCAAGGACGGAGCGCTCGGCCAGCGTGTGGGCCACTTCGGAACGTGAGATGATGTGTGCCTTGCGGATCGTCTTCAACGCGTAGATACGGCTTGTATCTTTCTTGCGGACTTGCATAACCTTGCCAAAACTGCCCTTGCCTACTACCTTCAGCAGCACAAAGTCATCGATCGTCAGTTTGCCCGCACGGTTTTCGACGTACTCGACGCCGATCTTGAGCTTACCGGTGCCATACTGGACGTCGGCCCACTCGACACCCGTGTGGCCCAAGGTGCGTTCTCGGCTCGCGAACTCGGCTGCCGCCTTTTCACGATCCTTTTTGCTGGCCTTGGGATCGTCGACAAAGGTGTGCTTTTCTTCAAATCGCGGGTTTATGCGGACTACGCCGATGAAGATATCCTGGCTGCGGCCAGATCCCGGAGGCGCGTTGGGGTTCCGCATGTAAATATGAACGGCGAGCTCCGTGACGCGGGACACATCGAACTTGTACTGCGTGTTGTCGCCGGCCCACAGCGGGTTCTCCGGGTTTCCAGACACCGAATTGACGAAGACCTGAACCTTGTCAAAATCCAACAAAGCATACGGCAGATACTTGCTGGAAATTCTGCCGTGGTTAGACGGGATGCCTGCGAAACCGCCTGCTGATGTCTGTGGCCGGCCGTTCATGAAGGAGCCGGGAGCCGCTCTTTGAGATGAACCGGGTCGCATGGAACCAGCTACGTTGTTGAGTTGACCGCCCGACGAGATGGAGCCCTGGTGGCCTGCAGCGCCGAAGCTATTGCGGTGTTGTTCGGGCAGGGAGAAATTTTGGCCCTCGTGGAGGGTGACGACGAGGATGCCGGGCTTGGGCGGCTTGATGATGGGCTGTTGAGCTATTGCTTCCGAGGCGGCTGCAGAAGAAGAGCGAAGACGGGGTCAGCACCGTGAACGTGAAGGGGGGCACAAACAGAGGCAAACAACGCATATACATACCAATTGCGTTGTCTGGAGGAGTTGGGGTTGACGAGCTCGTGGGCGGCGCTGTCATCTTCTCATCCTTATTTGTGATGGTGGACGTCGAGGGAGACCGCGAGAAGGTGTTGGAGAGAGGGCCCAAATGGGTCTCCTTCAGCTCTGGTAGGTAGCATGGCAGTCAGCACGGTATCAACAGCGTTTATTGACATCGCGTCAGCACCGCGATGAGGGGTTTTGGAGGTCTCGCTTCGAAGAGGAGCTGATGCTGTAGCCACAGGAAGAAACAGGCCGCCACGGGACGGGACGGGGGTGCATGTACGGATCTACATCCAATGCGAAATACATACTCTTGGTTAGCTTCCACGACATGATGGTCAATCTGAAGCCTGACGCGAAACGTCGGCGTTGGTAATCGTGCGCGTCAGGAGGCTATTCGAGCAGGGGAAGATGGGAATAGGATCGAGGTGACGGGTGATGAAGGCGTGGACGTGGACGAGGAGGACGAGGAGGGCGAGGAGAGGAAAGGTCGGGAAAGTAGTTCGCCCTGGCCGCGAGAAACGGAGGAGAGAAAGGAGTGATCAGCGGGATTTCAGCTAGGCGGTTATGCTTGCTCCCCAGGATTCGGATTGTTAATCTTTTGGATCAGAGTCCCTCTCGGTTAGTTGATCCGCTGCACTTTTGGGGGTTGTTGTGCTCAAGCTCAGGCAATCGGATAAGGGGGATACAATGGTAAGGAGGTGGTTTAAAGGAGGGGGCTCGGCCGATGGTGGTGCAGCACAACTATCGCTGAAACCTTGCACGTCTTTCAGAATTCAATTTATGGTGGAGACGGGCCCAAAGGGGGAATAATGCGACATTTCACCTCGGCCGTTGTTGTTTTTGTAGTCATCACAAGACGGTGTTTTGTTCCTTCTAGTGACCCAAAGGCACTGCACCATGGATACTTGAGAAAGCGCTATCACGAGCAACGGCCACTGTTGCGGTACTTGAACCCTTCCAATGTGGCGCAATGGCGCCCTTTGCCTTTGGGAAGGACAGGAGGCCTTGCTTGGATGAGGGGAATGTTTTTAGTTCACCGCCGCAGGGATTCCGGACGGTTTGAGGGGCAGTTGGATGGAGACTTGATTGGGGACAGTTGACTGACGGCTTTAAACAGCCCCGCACTTGACGTCTAGGTCCGAACCCACTCCCTGTTCTTGTGTTCTGTTCTAGCAGAAGCTAAACAGGGCTCGACAAGGGCGCTCACCTCGTACAGAAACAGCAATTGAAACCTTGAAATGGCAAAAATACACGACTCGAACAACACTTGCAATCAAAACAACAACTCATATGTGTTGCTGGGACTGGTTTGCCAGGTGACCTCTAATTTTGGCATTGCTGTACGACACCACGACACCAACAGTCGGCTGGAAATATAGGTACCCGACCGTCGATCAATCATCTTGCAACGTCCCGATGACCTCGAAGGGCAATCTTTCAACGACAAAGAGTGCAGAGGGCCGCGGCGGGTAGGGATTATCTAAGACTGCGTTTGGTCTCTCACTTCTCTTTCCAATGCTCCAATGTTCTCCAGGATCTCTTTTACAGCTGAACCAGCATGTTGGTCATCATGAAGCCCGACGTCTCCTTGCCTTTACCCGATTTTACCTGCCAGAACGTGAGCCCAACGCTACGGACCAGCTGTGGAGGCCAAGACCCATCTGTTTCCCCTTACCAAGTGGCAAACAAATGAATACCTCCTTCTAGAAGATTACCGGATCGTTGACAAGTCGTGTCTCGTAAATGGGGCGTTAGCTGAAGCAATATCGGCGATCAATCGAGCGGGTTGCAACGCAGTAATGCAGCTGAGCCACAATGCTCCGCGACAATCTTGCAGATAGGGGCTAATGTTGTACTGCCAAGCCGGAGCCGGCGAGCGGCGAGCGGACCGCGTTTTGGCCTCGACTGTGTGACAACCCACGCCATTTCCAGTGACCGTGGCGGCCCATTTTGAACACCTTCCAATGGATGCGATTTGCAAGTTTTGAGAACTTTACACCTTGCTGATGTTCTTCTTGGGATAGCCTCGAGGTTTGGAGAACTACACAAGTTGTTCATGACCAATGCCGCCGGAAATGAAATAGGGACAGATCCTCTCACCATCAGCCTGCCCGAAGCTGAGACTGAGTCGCTCATAGTGCCGCCCAAGTGTCCCCTTGGCGAGACGCGTAGCACATATATATCCACCCACTACTCTACAGTACGAGACTCCGGAATTGTCGATTGTTCATGTGAACTGCATGGACTAATATCGAAGTAAACATTAATGAAATACGCTGTGCCTGCTAAGTGAAACCCAAAACGTCGATATCTTCTTTCCTGACGATCCTGCGGGACCTCGCAAGATCTTGCCGGTCAAGTGCTATAGTAGCATGAAAACACAGGCCCAAGGTGCTTGTCGCTTACTTCAACCCGACTCGGTGTCATGCTTGCCGTCTCGGTAACGCCCAAAGCCTTCAGAGACCTGCGCAGTGCGCGTTCTTTGATCTCGTTCACAATTCTGTCTTCGAAATCCTCGATATTGTCAAAGCTGTCCTCCTCTTCTTCGTCGAGTTCCTCCCCTTTCCGGCGATGAGCAGCAAACCTGAGAGGTGTTTTCGTCGCCTTCACTTTTCTGACAAAGTCCCTTCTTCGAGAGTGATAACGGAGACTCCGAGCGCTCCAGAAGTCCTTTGACATCTCGCCTAGCTCCGAAGCCCGTGCTAAGGAGAGTCCTGCTGCAGAAATGTCCACGCCATCCTTCCACTCTCCTGAACGCTTTCCACTGGTGATAAGCTCTCGGACATGTGCTCGTATTGCCATGTCCAAGTCTCCTCCAAACCCCGAGACTACGGCGTCAATCAGGCCAATCTTCACGGCTTCTGTTGTTGAAATGGGAAGCATACCACGAAGTAGGCGGCGTGCAACTTCGTCGCCACAACGACCCGAGTACGATATACTGTGGAACTCGCTCCCATACAGTCCCAGCGCGCGGTAAGCTGGGTTCAATACGACATTCTCGCCGGCAACGACGACATCACACGCTGCAGCGAGCGCTACACCCCCGGCTGCAGCGTTACCCCGAACGGCGGCAATCGTGGTGATGCCCTTGACGGCGAAGTCTAGCAGAAGGGTTTGCACGACGTCGTTGATGGCGTTAATGTTCATCCAGGACTCTGTTGCCGGATCCGCCGCCGCTTCGATCACGTTGAGGTGGACGCCATTGGAGAAATAAGATGGGCCGCCAAGGACTACTGCTGCCAACGGTGCGGACTCGGTATGAGTAGAAAGAATGCTGCTGAGAGCGGAAGAAAGACGACGGCACTGGGTTGTGCTCATGGCACCATTATAGAATGTGAATGATAGGTAAGAAATGCGTTGCTGCGTTGGCAGCGTCTCATACTCGATCGAAATATCTTGGAAAGTCGGATGGGAGGCTTTGGCGAATAAGCGCGGGGGTGGTGCGAGGAGTCGCGGCAGCTTTCCGGCATCGAGAATACCCAGCTCTACGAGCAGGTCCATGGCCGGCACTTTGGGCCACAGCATAGCGTCAACTTTCCTCTTGATGCGGCGAAGATGGGTAATCCAAATGCCCTTGCCGTCACATGTGGCAACGCATACGGCTTCGTCGCGGCATGCAATGATGGTTCCAGGCACTGCTTGCACAGTTGCCATGCCCTCGCCTGCTTCCACGATACCTCCGTACAGGTATAAGTTCAAGCCGAAAATGCTGCTCAGGCATCCAGGTTGTGAGTCGGATGCACGAATCCTACGAGATATGTTGCGTGCCGTGTGGCGTCTGACGTCGAAGCCTCGCTGATTTGCCTTGAGCAATGGTCGGCAGCGCGTTACACCGCCAAGAAAAGGCTCCTGGGTGGTCACAGATGCACTCCGATAGTAACTATCTGCCTTCAAGTATGGCCCAATGAGATCCCAGAGTGGCAAGGACCCATTGCTGGTTGGTGTTGCGACGCTTGCAAGTGCTGCGAACTGAATCCTCTCAATGGCTGCCTGCACCGCTGTCACCGCCGCCCGAGTGACAGTCCCACGGTACACGCTTGACTTTGTGACTGCTGGGTCGTCGATGTCAATCGGGAACTGCTCGAAAGCCCACACAGGGCCAGCGTCGAACTCCTCGATGGCTTGGAGAACAGTCACGCCCCAATGAGAACGGCCGTCCTCACTCCACTTCTCGTCCCGCACGATCTCGTCGGCGTTGGAGACGGTGCCATCGTCCCCCATCAGCACCCAGTCCAGAGCACTGGGACCAGCATCGTCTGGAGGCCCCGGGTGCACAATCAGGGTCAAGTATTGCGAATAAACCTCCTTTGGTACTAGCGTGGTGAGAAAGGGGCAGATGATGAGGTGTGGTCTCGCTAGCCTAACGGCCTGTATCGTCGATTCGGTTGAAATGGCATACTCCACCGTCACATCATGGGTCTCGGATAGCGTGAGTGACAATCGCTGCGAGAGCGAGTTGTGCGCTGTGCAAAGCAGGAGAATTTTCATGACGACCGGTGGGGCATGAAATTGGACAACAAAACACGAAAGTTCACAGATAAATTGAGCCACCACCTTTATCTAGGAGCGCATGTTGCAGGGTGATATATATTCATAATGCCCGGACTCCAAAATGGTCAACTAGGTGGTGCCGGTCTCGTTTCGCCGGACTGCTTGACTCACCGTGGATCTCACAGACGCAGACCAAATACCCCTAGCAATGGGTGTGTTCCGTTTCAGAATGGTTGGAACGCTAACCTGCCAGACATGCTACTCGCCTTAGTCTTGACGATAATAATTCATATGGATCTACAGGGGCCGAGCAACGAAGCAACGTTTGACGATGCAAACCACTGCTAGCTCCATGGCTACAGCGCCACCAAACGGGCGACCCGTCATAACCTTTTGAACAACTGTATGCCTGTCGCACCTCCTCTTGCCGAATTCAAAGGTTACCGTTGCAGATCGAAAAGCGTCGCATGATCAGCTCTGTAATACATTGAAAAGGTAGCCCCCAGTCGGATGAGTTTCACTGCAGCGGTGGTGCTTTAGATGCCTCGGAGCGGCCGGTGGACCAGCAGGCTGCAATGCACCCACTTCAAGGTCCGTTGCAAATCGCACGTCCATACGCAAAGTCTGAAAGAAGATGGCAGCTTCGCGATCGAGTCTGCGAACTCGGTGTAATTAGATCCTGATCAGAATGGGTATTGAGCTATCGAACCGAATGAAACCTGATACGAGCTCACGAAGAAGTCGTGATGAGTCGGTGGCACCTGTCCATCGAACGTTAAAAGAGACTAATGGGCCAGGTCAGCAAGACCGGTGTGTCGGAACGAGCCCTGTGCAAGCTGCATTATTATTTCCACGTTTATGTCAGCATCTCGGATCCGACGCTGTCGTTGTTTTTGGCACTCGGCTTGCTTGGTAGTATGCATATCACGTTGTATAGAGGAATCAGCTAGACCACGCATGATTTCAACGTTGCCTTCGGCCTCAGGGGCTTGTGGTTCTTGTTCCTGGTCCATTGAAACTCTGTGTCTGCATGTAGGAGCTTGGCCTGTCAACGTGGCCGCCATGCTCCGCTCTTCTCTTGCAAACACTTACGCCACGGAAGGGGCGGAACTATTCTTGACCCTATCGTGGTATTTTGCTGATCTTTTCGTGTCCATCGTGAACATGCAACTCCTAACCCGACTCAACTACAGGTGCTTTCAAGCTGCCTGAGAGACCATAAAGTCCAGCGCACTTGTTACTCGAATGCCTTCAACCTTGTCGACCAGGTCGTTTTGGCGGCGCGGATCGCATCGGCTATCACTCGAAATTTTGGTCTCGGGACCTGTGCCTTGACCGTGGATTAAAGTATCCCTTTCCAGCTCGTCCAAATCACCAAGCTGGCGGACAGAGTCGGGCCTGGCATAATGGCGAAATGCAGAGATGCTGTTGCTCTTGTAGGCCTGGTTTCGCTGGGCTTCTCTTGACTTGGGATGCACGCTGCGGAACCCGCAGCTAGCAAAGTGGAAGATGGGGCGCAATAACGGGAGGCATGCTGTACTTCATAGCTCAGACTCGATACGACATGGACTGTAAAGGGGAGGGGGAGGATAAAGTTGCCTTACCGGTGATGATGCTCAGGTTGATCTCGACCGCCGACCAGTTTGCGGGGCCGGTTTCGAGCCACATGACATCGTTCGAGTGCGAGTCGTACCAGACGCCTTCAAGAATCATCATGATGCTGCAGATGCAGACACTACATGATCAGTATGTACATGAGATACGCAGCTGGCGGAGATACTCACACGCCGCCAAACATGAACATAGCCGAGATGCTGATCTTTTGGATGGTTGGGAGAGTGAGGGTGCGAATAAGTGCTGCAGAACAGCCACGTAAGCATGGCTAGGTTGACGTTTCGAAAGCGAACGCACAGGCAGGTAAGATCATCAGACAGACGTCGAGAATCAAATGAGTTGTAACGGTCCCGAGGAAGAATTTCCCCGTATCGATTGGGCAGTCTCCCTCGATAGACTTGTCCCATTTGGCCTGAGGCGGGTAACACTGGAACGTGACAATGAAGACCTGGCTTATTTCAGAACTCAGAAGCTCCCAAAGCTGACCCGAAGAAGACAAAGACAGGTAACTCACTCGGCAAATGAACCAAATCGATGAACAGCTGGCCAAGGCGATGATTATAAGCGTCACGTTGTGAACCGAGTCGAATGCCCGCCAGTACAGAACCAGGAGCGAGAGCTGGGATCCTGTAATAGAGACCGTGTAGGCATGTTCCATGATCCACTGGAACAGTGAGCAGTAGTATCTGATTTCAGTCATGCCAATGGGGAGGTCATAGACGTGGCGGCCGAGGCCAAGCTCCAGCCCTGTGCATTGCATGTTAGCATGCGCATTAACAACAACTAGTATTCTCAGCGCACATTTGTATTCGGCAGCATCGTAAGCTACGGCCGCAATCTGGGTCAAAGTTAGTTTGCCCTGGGCAACCCGCCTCTGCATATTTCTGGATTCAGTCACTTACAAAGGCGCCGATGATAAGCCAGTCATCATACCAGAGTGATATTTTCTTCAACCTCCGAGCGGTTAATCGCAGACACAAGGCGATAGTTGCCGCGACCAGTGTTACGGTGACTGCAGCATAGCATTCCGCTTGTCGAGTCTCCATTTTCGGGCTTTAATGGTGTCGGGGGTTGTAGCGTTCAACGCTCTTCTATCCCCTTTTCTAGATAAGAAATAAGTTGCACATAAGCAGGCGATCGTGATCTGGCGTCGAGTATCTAGCTCGAGTTCGAGGGACCACAATGATGACTGTCAGACATCCACGCAGCTGGAACGGCTGATAGTAGCACAAGGAGTCTTGCTTTTTAAGCCAGTCATTGAACGTCACGACATGCAACTTAGACAGGCTGTCTCACATCATCTTTCGAAGCTTTCGGGGTAATGGTCGGCTTTAAGCCAATTGATAACTTATATTTACCGTTTTACCTTTTCCCACTATAAATATACCCCTTGAAATTTGTTGTTTTCGTATACATAAACCCTGTGGCCTCCCTTGCTTCCATCCTCTGGCGCGCATGCAGACGAATTTGAAGCCCACCGCACGAGTTCCTCTCAGACAATTGCCGGATCTGCGTTCAGTCATACCACAAGATTCCTTCGATGCAACCATGATATCAAATCAGCACACCGCTAATCATGCTGATCGACCGGTAATCTTGGGGGTTCGCGACCTTTTTTGTTCGCTCTGTCACTGCCGAGCTATTGTGCATGGAGCCACTGCAGAACGCCACTATCTATCCCGCGCCTTTTCTACCGACAAACTCTTACCCTCAATTACATCTTATTGCCCGTTTATGTCTCTCTGTCTGAGCATATTTTTCAAGGCGAGTTAAGCTTGCCTGCCAGAGTAAATACTGATTTGTGTCAGATAATACGCCAGCACAATACAGAGGATTGGGTAAGATATAAAGGCCTGCACTTTGAGGTATATTTTGTCCTAATCCGGACCTCGCAAGAACGATCAACCTTTCAAGACTAAGCTGCAATCATACTATTGGGAAACCAGAGTATTCAGGCAGATCGAATCCTTCAAACTGTTGGCAATTGCCTCCTGCAACAGAATCAACTTTAATCAATGTCAAAATTACTGTTTTCTCGAGTCAAGCTCTCAATTCATCTTCTCTATCCTAGAATCCTTCATCCCTTTTTCTATATCTTTTACATACCTGCCGAATGGCCTCCCTTTACCCAACCAACAGTGTAAAATTGCCACATGCTATTGTTTTGCTGTTGTGTGGGAAGGGGGATGAAAACAAAATTCTTGTTTTGTACTGTTCTATGCAAGCCTATGGCTTATCAAGATAATGGCTTAATAACGTGCTATTTTTCACAGTGTAAAATGAGGTGGTCTAGGGTTAGAACACTTGATTAGTTGGGTCTGGGATGCTTGCCTTTATCTAGAGACCGCTCCGAGGGTTTGTACGACTCAGTGCCCCAGTCGGCCCGGGTGTCGTACTTGGAAGTCCCCTTTCGGTCATTGTGCCTCTGTCCTTCGGAACGGCTCACAATTTTCGAGTGACCGCCTTTGCTAGAGGAATTACCGGACGCGGAACCGTGTCTGTTGCCTTGAGTTCCGGACATTGTGTAATTGGAATTGAGTTTTAGGGCTTTTGGGAAGTTGCTGGTTTCAGTTGAAGCTGCTTTAGGGAGTAGGTATTATTGGTTTGTGGCTCTTAAGACTGGTGATTAGGCATATACATATACTCGAGACCTAGGAAAACAAAAACCTATATTATTGCGGCCAGCTGTTTCCTGGTATTCATCATCACATGATTTAGAAGAATGGCTTTTTGGAAGAGTTTATAGAAACGAGACAAAGTATGATTTTTTCAAATTGTTTGATGATGGAACACTTCAGTTTATATCTTGTCAACCTGGGAGTATTGTTGGCAACACAGAAATGGACTGTTTCTGTATGCAGTGAATTGCTTTGCTCTGCTCAGACAAAACATTTACTACCTCTTATGAAGTTGTTTCAAGCGAGTTGTTGGACCAAATTGACCGTCAAAAGACGAGGGACCCACTCGTTATAGAATGAGGTCTTTTTGGTAGTTATAAGGTCTGACAGGAGTCACCAACAAGGAAAAACTACAGTACAAAGGGTACATGAATTGATGAAAGTGGCATAAATTTTTGAATTCATTGTCCAATCCATAGTCCGATGTCTTCTACTACGTTGATGTGGAAGACAGACTTTGTGAGCTACAGTACCTAAACATGTGGGCAGAAATGGCAGTGTTCGGCCCCGCACGGACCACCCAGTGTAGCCACTGTAGATTAGCCAGAGCTTACGGCAAGTAACGATAGTCATAAGAACAACAATGAACGGTGGGCTGCGATTTGCCCACAAAACACTACCACAACCAATAAGGGAAGCCCGTTCCATGCAAAACGCAGGGCTTATTCTCTGATACTATCAACTGAATATAAAAACTGGGAATATATAAAAGGCATTTAGTCATTTATAATGGAAATTGGGCATGTCAACAAATATCAATATCACAGAGCCAACAACGGTGTCATACGCTCTGAGCGGCGATACTCCCATGGCTGACAACCCCAACCAAGTTGTAGTTGTCAAGGGGCACAAACCAGACCAATAAATACCGACAAAAAAATGCCAATTGGGGCCTGACCAGCCAGCCGGTTCGGATCTATCCACAAGGCTGGAGGCTGTATCTTCTGACATTCGTCGCGTAGTTTGCAGAGAAATATGTTTCGCAAGTCACTTAAAACTCCTGACGGTCGATCAGTACCAGGCCATGCCTTTGTCTCTTCCTGCCGATATTGGAGATGGTCACCGTTAGAGCCTTGCCATTTTTCATTACCAACGTCCTGAGCGGCTTCAAGCGCCACTGGGTCATCACGTCGGACCTCATCACCTATACTGGCTTCTTAATCATGTATGCCAAGTTCAGCGATATAATGGGCCGCAAGTTGATGATAAATGCTACTTTAGCCTCCTTCACTGTGTTGTCAACTGTCTGCGGCTCCATTGAGAACATAACTCTTCTGTTGCTACCTTCTAGTCAGCTACTGCATGTTTCCGTGACCAGCCCCATAACACAGGATCGCATCCCGTGCATTTTAAGGCATCGGGGCCTCTGTTATATATGCGATGGCCACCTTCATTCAGCCTCAGTTGGTCCCACCAGAGAAATGGAGCAATTTTCTGGCTGTGACATCGTTGGTATGTGTCTTGAATTCCACACTGGGGCCCGTTCTTGGTGGACTTATCATAAACATGGCTCGTGACGATGGATATTCTTCCTGAAGTGACTAATGGAATTTCGTTGCAGTTCATTTCTCGATGCTAATGTGCATAGTAGTGCTCCAGCCAGCGCAGCCGCCACGGTATTGATTGCATTCATCATGCCAATTGCTTTTCCCAACCTCAGGTCAAGTACGAATACGGCCAAATTCTCGACTACATAACTCGCTAGACTGGATGGCATTGGAGCGGCCCTCTTCGTCGGGTTTAACCTGTGTGGTGGCATATTGGTCGAAAGCAAGCTGTACAAGAGCCAGTCTTCCCCCTACGGCCTATGAAAGAACGTGTCTTCCCTGGACTTATACCGTCAGTGACATATCTAAATTGCCATAATCATTCATTGGATACTCAACTAACACCTCACAGAATGGCCTTATTAACTGGGCTGCCGTTTGTAACAGTAATTATCAATTTCAGACCGTCGACGGGGAACCTCCTCTCCGAACTGGTCTCAGGTTACTTCCCCTAGTACTTGTATCCCTCATAGCCACTGCGGTTTCGGGACAGCTAGCAATGAAAGCCAATATTCCACCATTCTAACTGCTTGCTTTTGGCACATCCATGCAGACTTTAATGATTGGATTAACGAGCACAGTGAACTTAAGTAGAAGGAGCGATCTAAGCGGTTATGAAGTCATCATGGGATTTGGTTTTGGCATGGGAATAGCAGTGCTTTTGATCTTCATGCCATTGGTGGTCAGCAAATCAGATATGGGTAACTTAGGTCACGACTTGGTCCCTAGCGTGAAGCTGCTGTAATAACACACCGGGTTCAGCCGTCGCCATGGGCTCCATCACCTAGATTCGCGTACTGGGTTGCACTACTGGTTGGAAATCGGCTTAGGGGTCCTCAAAATCACTCTACGTTATAGCTGCGGGCAATTCTGAGTGCTGGCGACTTACAACAACCATTGGATTTTGTTCCATTCAATTTTGGGGACTTCAATTTTAACCTACCCAGAGGGATGGGGACTCGGAGGAGGGGGGGATAGGATAGCCTTATTCTATATTCATAGCGACCCATTCATTCACAGCAATTTTAACCCATCCAGAGGGACGGGGGCTGAGGGAAGAGGGGAAGAGTCCTCGTTCAAAAGAGAAGATGGTGTGGTAGCTCCGATAAAACAGCAATTTTAACGGGAGGGGAACTCAGGAAGAACACAACTATAGCCGACAGCCTTAGGTCTGTTAAAGTTCGTTCAACTTTATCTAATTCTTTTGATCTCGTTTATTATACTAAGCCTATGGCTTATAAAGATAGGAGGTCTAAAGACCCCCGTCTGGCAAGTATTCGCCGACGGATACAACTACCAGCTAAGCGTTATGATATACTTCAGTTTTATTGCCTGGATATGCGCCCTGCTTGTCTGGGAGAAAATATCTGGAAGAAAAGACTGTGAACAGTGACCGATGTGGTGCGCTTCTGATACATGGTCCGGGAGTCTCAGTTGTCTCGCCAAATGAGTTGAAGGGGTATTTCGATCAGAATGGGTGGATTAAATGGGATAAATTGAAATCGCCAACTGAGAAGGATAAGCTTGTTTCTGTCTGCAACGAAAGTTATAGGTGTGCCCTATCAAGTGTTTGAGTTTGATCCAGAGCCAGCAGCAAGTGTTCGTCCGCAAAGTGTGCGCGTTTGTTCCATGGCTATTCCGAGTTTGACATACTGCCAGAACTATCGCTATTCATCCCAATATTACTCGAATCTTTTTTTGCCGACAGCAACGAGCTACCGTCGTCTACCAGCGCATTAATTTCCTGCTCGATGAAAGTGGCGTTGAAACCTGCCCGGCGGCCAACTACCACGTCCGGAACATGTACAATCACGATGTTACTCTCCAACTTTCCCCCTTTTTTCATCTTTCTATTCTTACTCTCCTTTGATCCCCTGTACGCTAATAATTCGACGGTGTCTACTGAGAAGGGGGCTATGATGAAGAACTTGATGAACAACCCATCCTGCTTCACAAGCTTCAGGAGGTTTCGGATTGTCGCTTGGTGATGCGAGTGCATATGGGGTGTGAATTGTTGTATTGGGAAAGGATGGCCAGGTCAGCTATTCTGGCCTGGCAGAGCTCTTTTATAGCTCTTATCTAATCTATAGCTACAGGATAACCCCCCATGGGGTCACGTATCACTTGGTCTTCATCCTGCAATTTTCAAAACAAAAAGTCAATGACGTTATGAAGGTCTTCGCTTTACGGTAGTCGCGGTACAGGTTTTCTGAAGATAGCGACTAAAGTCTCTGTGTCATGCTGAACTTCCTTCAAGCGGCACTTCCTTCGCCTGAGAAACTCCACATCTACCTCAGAGCCCCGGTAAAAATGAAAAAGTGTTTGAACCACAAGAGGTATCACAAGCCCGATACTCCCGCAAGCATGTCGTCCTTTGGATGGCTCGCCGGCGGTTTGAGTTGGACGCATAGATTAAACTGGTTGAGGTTGAGTATAGTGAAGGGCAGGCGGGTCGAAGGTTGAGGGAACTTCATTTTCTCCAGAGATGCCTGGCCGGGGTTAATGCCGCACTTTTATAGCACAGCCGTGGCTCTAGACTTTACGCCACAATAGCTGATTGCATAGAATACGAGGAACATAAGAGACGTCCAATAATGTTGAGTGAATATGTACCTCGACCTCACTGGCTCGTCTTAATGTATTCCTATGTGGCAGCTTTTATATACATGGCTGCTCATCACTGCCATACTTTAAACCTCACGGCTTTCAGTCCAATATGCCGCCGCTATTACCGTGGTTCGTGTTTGATGCTGGAAAGCGAGCCAGGCGTGTGCTCTTCCCGAAGCAATCATTCCTGTAATAGGGGCCCAAAACAGCCAGCAGAACGCAGAGCCGTCACTTCCTTATCTATATCCACCCTAGGACCATCATGTACAGAAGGACCAGGAGACATTCATATTGTATACGCACGAGATGCCACAATTTCAAACGTGTTCTTTTGGAGAGCCCATACTTGCCCCTACCCCCGTTATGTGTATCAAGTCTCCTATTCCCTAGCATAAGTACTATCGGACATCTTGCATTATCTTATACAAGAGTATCCATCCATCCATCCGTCTATCTTACCGTCTGTCATATACCCGCCATGCTTGCTTGCGAGCCAGTGATGCAGACCTGCATCGCTCTTTTCATTATCATGTCGTACTAATACACATGCCTACGCCATCTAAATTTTATACAAGAGAAGAACCCGATGCAGATGTGCGCATGCATACCTACCCAAGCAAAAGACACACATTGTTCATGTCTCATGGCAGCAGCTTGTTCCATCACATAAACGACCCGTTGGGGCCTTCGGGCGGCGTTCTCCGCCCAGGTGCCGGCCGTGGTGGCGACGATTTTGGCGCCGTTTCCCGTGATTGGGACCGGCTATGATCCCAACGCCTTCGGCTCGCCTCGTATTCGGCTGCCTCGGCCTTTCTGTCGGGGCTCCCATAGCTGCCGTTGCTGTCAACGCTTCCTTGTCTCGGCGGACTTCCAGTTATACCTCGACCATACCGCGACGCCCGCTTATCGTCCAAGTATAAAGTTGCGTCTTCTTCGTCGTCCAGGTACGCACCGCCACCGTATGGCGGAGGCACCGGCATCGAATTTGAATCGCCCTTAACCAGCCCGAGTCTTTCCTCCTCGGTCGCATTCTTCACCTGTGGGCTCGCGTACCCGCGGCTGCCCATCCCGCCGCGGCTGGACGGTTTCAACGACCCTGGCTGGTGGAGATCCTGTGGCGTGTCAGCTTGGTGCCGACGGAATACATTTTGGAACGAGAACTGCCTTCGGGCTGACTGACCCTCCTTGTGTGGTGGAGGTGTCGGTGGCACCGAGAGAGAAGTGCTACTAGCATTTCCCGTGTACAATTCGCCAAACTGTATCCGTCGACCCGTGCTGCCAGACGCAATGCTCGCGGCCCCCAGCGCAATGGAAGCTGCGCCGCCATATTCGGTCTTTTGGTGTCGCAGAGCGTCCGGTAAGCCATAGACGTGCTCGGCCCCGTAGGGGCTGGCCTCACCGCCGAGTTTAGTTTGCGAGGGGATGGCGATGTCCGTCAGTTGGACAGGGTGCATGGGGCTTCGCGCCTTCGGATCGTGTTGATCGTGCTCATCGCGGAAATCAGGATGCCCGGGAAGAATCACGCTCCTGGTTCGGCTGCGGATCGTACCCGCAATGCTCGACAACAGGCCTGGTGATCTCTGCCTTGTCGTCTCATCCTCCTCTTGCTCCTCCTCATCCGGCCAATGAGACATGCCCAGGGGCGGGTGAGGGGTTCGCTCGGGCTCGTTAAACGGGTTTGGCGAAGTCATCGCCCGGCTTCGCTGACTGTTGCGCAGCAAGGTGGTCCTCCTCCTCCTGAGCCCATCCCATTCGTACTGTTCAGTGCCATCTTCACTGACAGTTGCGAGCCGTTCCCTCTCTTTCTCCTCATGCAATCGTTTCAGTTCTTCCGCTTCCATCTTCTGCCTGGCAAGAGATATTCTTCGGACAATCGCTGCGGTACCGCGGATGGCGTCGGCCTTGGGTTCCGTCTCGGGCTGTTCCTGCTCAGCGATAGTTTGAATCTGGTCCAAATCCCCCTTGAAGACGGCAACATCAGGAACGTCCTTGGCCGACTTGGACAGCTGCAGCAAAACGACCCCAGAACAGATGGTAAGGAATCCCATGACAACCGTGATGATAGAGCTCGCTGTGCCCTTGAAGCCCTGGAAAAGTACAGCCGAGGTGACGATGGTGGTACTCGTGAAGTAAACGTAATATGTAGGCGTGACCATGGCAGCATTGAACAGATTCAACGCTTTCTGCGGTGGTCGTCGTCAGCAACACCCAAAGTCAAACAACAACGCCCATCACTTACATTCAGGAAGATGATTTCCGTGAGCAAAGTCCCAATGACAAAGACGAACAAGACATAGAGGAACCATTGCTTGAACTGGTTTCCGGATGTGCCTTGGACCTGCGCAACAATGGCCGAGCCGAGGCCTTGGGTGGCGACAACGCTGAGTCCTCCGATCCAGCTGCAAATGGAAATGTAGACAAGCATGTTCTTCTTTCCCCAGCGCGGCCCAGCATAGTAGGCCGTTATGGCGGAGCCTATAAGGATGACGCCCGTATAACTCAGAAAGCCAGGGGCAATGACAAATTTCTGCATTTCCTGGATGTTGGCCACGGAAGATTCTTCGGGTGCGTTCATGACAATCACAACCGACCCGACGATACAGAGAAAGCAGGAGACCTTGCCGACCATGCTCAATCTCTCCTTGAGAAAGATAGCCGACAGTACTGTGGTAATAACTACAGACAGGGCACCTAGGGGAGTGACGAGAATGGCGTCGGTAAAGGCATAGGCGACGAAGTTACAGATCTCGCCTATGATCATCAATATCATGCCCGACCACCAGTAGACGTTCTTGAAATAGCCATAACCCTCGCCCGCGACCTCGTTATATTTGTCGTTGGCTTTCAGCAACCCAACCTTCTTCAGAACAAAAGACGTGCCGATGAACAAACCCGATGCGATGGCCAGAGATATACCGATCACCTTGTATATCGGGGGCCTTTCTTGTGTCGTTGCATCGGTCGAAGATGTTTCGTTCGCTCTCGCATAAACATTGTGGGCGACCTCGAGCGCTTGCGCTGCTGTGTTCATGGTGGTCGCGTGGATATGGACGTGAGCGACGGCGAGGCGTCGCCGTGTCACGGGAATGGGAGCTGGGGCTCGTCGTCGGCGTCAATATGAGCTGGAGAGATGTTGCCGATATTTCGAGGATTGTTTACGTCGGACAGGATCGTGTAAGTCAATCAAGCCGGGGGCGCTTTCAACTGGGCATAAACATTGGAGCTCGGCCGGTTATGAATGCTTGTTTTCCGTTTCCCACAAGTTCCGCAAGTGCCGCAAGCGGGTCGCCCAGAGTTAAACACGAGATCGTTTGCGAATGCCCCAAAGGTTTTGTTGGGACGGTAATCGTATCGAGTTGCTCTCTACAGGACCTGGGTCGACGGGACATAGAAATCGGTGTAATGCCGCAGGTTACCTTTTACGGAGTATTCGTAACGAAACGGCGATGAAGTAGGGGGGTGTCCTGAGACGTTAATTGTGGGAGCTGTCGCTGAGTCCCTGTGCCTTCAATGCCGCCACGATACGGCACGGAAACGGTCAAAAGCAATACGAAGATGCTGAGCGTAGTAGTCAAACAAATTGCCCATGAAGCAAATCAATTCAATCCAAAAGATAGACGGCGATCGGGAGGACAACCTTGTTGTTGAGTGGTATGTTTGGACCAACCCAAATAGTTCGTGGTGGGCGCAGCAGCTGAATGTGGGTGCGGGAACACACATCGTTCACGTTCTAGCCCGAAGTCCGTTGTCCTGGGCAGCCACGACCTACTACGTACCTGCACTACCAATAGTGGGGGCGGGGGGGGGGTGTCTTCCTATTCTAGATTGATGAGACTTGTTACACGCCATGCAGGGTTTTTTTTTCATAAACTGCACCATCAGCAACTCAGTGTTTCCAACCGCTGGGAACGTATGTTAAACTGCACGCTGCTTATTGTGTGCCGTTAGATCTGAGATACCATAGTATGCCTAGCCTAGCAGCACTAGCTAACGGGATCGTTATCTCCATGTGCCATGAACAAGACGACGGGATGCTGCAGCCCAGAGCGAATGTGCGCATGTGGCCATGCTCAGTATCAAAAGCTGAAAGAAGATCTTCACATCATCAGTGATTGGTCGACCAGCCGCTGACAGCAGGTTGACCAACTTCCTCACAGTCGGCCCTGTCAAGTATGATCTCCGTTTCACAGGTGTGTGCCCTAACCAACAGCCAGAAAACCCAGGGTGTCGGAAACATCATACGTCAACTATTGTCGACTCCGCTCGTCGTTAAACAATGGTGTGGTGCGTCGTTTTGGCACTATGCAGCCATCAATATTCTCCTCGGCACGATGACGAATCCCAGGACTGTCGCCTTGCGGGCTCTTTGGGCGATCCTACACCACTTGAGCATTTGCAGCAGTGGAATACGACCCTACTAGAGTATCTCGCATGAGCGTGAGCATTGACCCCTGTTGGCGATGCCAGCATACGAGCGCCACAAAGTTGCGCTTCACGTCGCTGGTGATAGGATGTCGTTGTTTTTGAGTGTGACAGGATCGTACCAGAACTCTGGGAGGTTCCAACCCACGCATCACAGAAGGTTTCTGCATGTGGAGTTCTGCGGCGACATTGGGGCAGAATCTCCAGGGTTGAGATAACCATCACCTACCAAATGCTCTGCGCTCGTTGATCACCAGTTTCGGCTGTTGTTCGATTTTCTCCTTCGCTCAACTTCACCGATGAACCTTGCAAGGCCTTTGGCAGCCCGTTGATGGATGCACCCCATCGCTGCACTCGGAACGCTGCGCCGCCTTTCCCTTCCATTCCACACATTTAGCTTTACGAGTACTGGCTGTGAGTACGACACGCAACAACTGCTGTTCGAGCCGACGACTGTGGCCAGCTGAGCCGGGATTGCCATCAAATGGACAATTCACAGGCTCTCAGGCTCTCTCCTATTGGCCACGGCGCCCGTGTTGATTGCACGATGAGCGTGGCTTAGCCGCTGGAAATCTTGACATCGGGTAGCTTGAGATGCGGACGAGACAAGAAACCCAGCGCGATGCAACGTTCGATAAATCACTTGTCGACAAGAGGCATACCAAGAACAGGTAATTTCAAAAATCTGCAATGTTCCTGGCTACGTCGAGGACCTGACTGACTTATGCCTCCTGGAAATCCTCCAATGCCGATCGGAGTATTCGCGAGAGTGAGTCCCTGTGTTCAACCCGGTCCTTTGCGCTGGCCTCCACTGGTAAAAGCACCCAGGCCAGATCCGTGAGAGAAATGGTCAGCACATATACTTCAAACTAGCCAAGAGAACTAGCCAAGAGGGCACAAGACACGATGCCGCCCCGTAGTCCGGCCCAGGCGGCAGTTGTGTTGCAAACAAGGTTTGACGGATTGCATCTATTTCGAGTTCTACACAATCTTCCAGTCGCATACCAGAAAGCCTAGTGATATAATGCTCGCACTTTGAGCTGAGCATGTCAATGAAGGCTCGTTTTCGTTCACTTGCCATCTCAGTACGCTTGTGACCGCCGCGGCCGCTTGATCTCGGTGTAGTCCGCAGCCCACCGTCAGTGGGTGGACCAGGACTTCATGTCAAGCTTTGGCTTTATCACGATGAAAGGGGTAGTCCGACTTCACGGTCGTGGTCTGTCAAAGTCAAGCTGCCATTTGTGCCCAACGTTGACAGGTCCGCGACCTGTGCACTGGCAGGCACCGGTCCAAGAGCCATGTCACGCCTGCTCCAGGGCGACCAATGCTGTGTGCGGTCGCCCTGCGGCATCGACGTTCTAGTGAGACCTCGGAAAAAGCCAGCCCTGACAGGAAATGAGGGAGATTTGACTTGTGAGACAGTTGGAACTGATCTAACAGCGGCAGTGCGACCAACGAGGTCGGAATGCCGCGGTTCCAGTCGTATCACTCTAATCCTGTACACTCATGAGGAGGAACACGTCCGCAGCCCCAGGAATCTAGGCGACGGGAAGCCGAGCTCGCAATGTCCGATTATGTCACAGGCCGGCGTCAATATACACACGCTGCTTTGCTTGTCTTTGTGCCAAACAGCACGGCCGCTAGGAAGATTACCACGGCGCCAACCGAATTATAATGATGCTGTCCGTGCTAATGCCAAAGAACAATTGGAGGTCTACCTCAGGCCGGGCACGTTCTCCTGGGCAAACTAACACGGAATGCCGCTCCGTAGCGTAGGACAGACCATCGAATCCATATAAGTGAGGCGGTTAGGCAACATGCAGGGCGTTGGGTCTGTGATATCTGTGATGTGTGTGCATGATACCAAGACAGGCCTGCGCATTCCTCGTCCATCATGATGGCTCCAACATTAGCTACTGTGTGCCTACTCGCGGCGGTCCTATCTTTACCCGCGCTTTCGACCTCATTAGGAGCACCTGGTACTCACTCAAGACCCGCTCGAGCGATATCAGCTCTGCACTTGAGTCTTCGAGAGGCATCCGCTGGGGGGAATTGCGGCGCCGCGTTTGGCAACGTTGTGTGCGCGGCCGGCTTGTGTTGCTCAGGTGCTGTGAGTCTGCTCCTCGCCCATGGTTTCGAGGATATGCATAACTCACGAGTTGAATAGGGCGTATGTGGGACGGGACCTCCATTTTGCAGCGCACCCGACTGCCAGCTTTCATTCGGACCCGCCTGTGACGGCAATCAGGTACCATTCGGGCAAGATACCTCCATCGTACCACGGCCCGCCCTAGGCAATGTGCCGTATGGGGTGGACATCAGTCGCTGTTCGGTGATGGGCAAAGTTGCCCTGACGTTCGACGACGGGCCGTACATCTACACTAGTGAGCTGCTCGACATTTTGAAGAAGAACAACGTCAAGGCGACGTTCTTCGTCGTCGGCGACAACGGGAGCAAGGGGCAGATCCAGGCCGACTCGAGTGGTTATCCTGCCATCATCCGGCGCATGCACGCCGAAGGTCACCAGGTCGCCAGCCACACGTGGAGTCACCAGGACTTGGGCAAGATCACGGCGCAGCAGCGACAAGAACAGATTATTAAGAACGAGGTGGCGCTCGTCGACATTCTAGGCTTCTTCCCGACCTATTTTCGCCCACCTTACACGTCTTGTCCAGGTGATTGCTACAGTGACTTGCGGAAATTTGGCTATCATATCGTGAGTCCACCTTTTTGCATTTTCCCCGTGGTTGAACTTGCTCATGGAATGAATGACCGTAGGTCAATTACGATGTCGACACTGTCGACTGGAAGGGTGACTACACGTACTCGCAGAACGCATTCACATCCGCCCTTTCCAAATACGCCCCTGCGGCATCCTCATGGATATCCCTCGCCCACGACATCCAACCCAACACGGTCCACAGCCTGGCGCAATACATGATCGACCAGATCCGCAAATTTGGGTACGAGCCCGTCACCGTTGGCGAGTGCCTCGGGGACCCCGCCGCAAACTGGTACCGCAACCCGGCGAATGGGCAGGCATGGGGCGGCAAGAGCTTAGCTCCTGCAAGCACGACGAAGACACAACCCTCAGCTGCGCAACCTACTGAAACGCCGTCTTCATTTTTGTCCGGGAGCACTAAAACTAATGAGGAAACCATTGGTTCTGCCGCGTCTACGGAAGCTGCGCCAGCTGTGACACCGACACCAGCGCCTGAGGGAAGCAACTTCGGAGCTGGAACGGGAGAGTGGGCCTCGACGTCCGAGTTGGGTGCGCCGGGGGCTACGACGTTGTCTCATGCTGGCAGTGCCGGACGCGTCGCCCCTTCGGCATGGGGGCTGCTTTTTGGGCTGCTGGGGCTGTCAGTTTTGTATTCAACATTGTTATCAACGCAACAGACCGTTTCATGTATCATTGTATCATAGCCGGACGAAGATGTCTGTGTAAATGTATCATAGTGTATCAATGTGCATAATAGCACTGTATTCCTTCCCATGAGTCGAAAGGGCCAGCTGCTCTCCAGTGCGTTGCAGCTCATCAATCACCCGCCCCATCCTCTGCTCGGCCCTCCTGAAAAAGGGGTCACAAGGCGTCACGGATCCTCTTGAAATCTTCAAAATATTCGGTGTTGGCAGTGTCTTGATTGCCGTCCTCCTCTTTCTTCTCGTTGTGCCTCTCAGTATGGTACGGAAACATGCCTAGCCGAACATGGCCACTGAGGACAAAATGTCAGATTCTGCAGATCAACGAACCCTAGCTTATGGCGCATGTTCGTGACTACTTGCAGGATTATCGAGTTATGAAACGATGGGTACCTATTGGACTAACTGATTCAGTCCTCTATTGATGACTCTGCCCAGATCCTGTCTTGATTGGGCACCACCTGTGGCCTAGGGCATATTTGTGGCGCTCAATCACACACTAATTGTACAATTGTACTGCTTTGAAAATCCAACAATAGAGACGGACATTCTGTCCGGGCGGGTTACAACAGAAAAGACCAAGAGCCTTGTCGCTCTGACCAGGTCAACAGAATTGCCTCAACAGGCAGAGCAACAGAACAGGACCTTAGCAGGTCACTCAACAGAATCACATCAACAGGCGCTAACAACGAAAAAGATTCGAAAGATTTGATCTGCTCTTCCTTCTTCTCCTCCTCCCTTTCCACCTCATCTGCGTTTATGCTTTGCTTCTCTCCTTTCGAGAAGCGAACTCACTGCATGAATTATCCGGGAATAACCTTCAACCCCCCTGTCCCTAAATCAGTACAGAAAGTAATGTATATATATATATATTACAGTGTCCAAACTGTCCCTGAGTAAATATATAAAGTAATTCATATATTATTCTGCAGTATCCAAAACGCTATAACGTAGTCCACGGTCCAATTGCACACTTCGGCAGATTTTCGTACGCTACCACTTTGACCTGCGGTTTTTCACCACATAACTATGGTTGGTTCTTGGAATGAAAGTGATATGATTCTAGCATTACATGCGCTTCAATCTGATCCAAAATTAAGTGTACGTCGCGCTGGTCAGATCTATAACGTACCTTTTAGAACCCTTGCGTATCGACGCGACGGTAAAACCGCTCGAGCGATTACGCGATCGCCAACGCAAAAGTTGACTCCTTCTGAAGAAGAGGCAATCTTACGACATATAACCGACCTATATCCGCGAGAATTTCCTCCCCGATTGAGTGGTGTTGAAGATATGGCCAACCGATTACTTCGAAGTCGCGACGCGGGACGCGTCGGCGTCAACTGTGCCTCGAGCTTCGTAAGACGACAACCAGACCTCCAGACGCGTTTAAATCGAAGGATCGACTATCAGAGAGTCCTCTGCGAAGACCCTGACGCGTATCGCGCGTGGTTTGACCTGGTACGGAATACAATTGCGAAATACGCGATCCAGGAGGAGGATATCTACAACTTCGACGAGACCGGTTTTGTGATGGGCCAAATCTCGTCCGAAATGATCGTGACGACTTCTGATCGGCGCGGAAGGCCTAGAGAAGCCCAGCAAGGAAATTTGGAATGGGTTACAGTTATTCAAGGCGTTGGGTCGTCCGGTTATGCCCTCCCTCCGTACATCATTTTCGCCGGCAAAACCCACCTCTCGTCATGGTACGAAAACAGCCCATTACCGCCTGATTGGGTTATCGCAGTTACTAAAAATGGCTGGACTACGAACGATAGAGGCGAAGATTGGATAAAACACTTCGATCATCACACCAAGTCTCGTACGAAAGGTACTCATCGCCTATTGATCCTCGACGGTCACGAAAGCCATCACTCGACCGATTTCGAGGTATATTGCAAAGCTAACAATATCGTCACGCTTTGTATGCCTCCTCATTCGTCGCATAAGCTCCAGCCTCTTGATGCTGGTTGTTTTCGCGAGTTAAAAAGAGCGTACGGAAAAGAAATCGAAGATCTCATGCGAGCACATATAAGTCATATCTCGAAAGAAGACTTTTTACCGGCGTTTTTAAACGCGTACAACGCAACTTTCACGGTTTCAAATATCCAAGGAGGTTTCCGAGGGGTAGTAATAGTTCCGTACGATGCAGATTATGTCATATCACAGCTCGATGTGAAATTACATACGCCAACACCTCCGGGTAGCTCGGCTGGTCTCCCCGTCCCTTGGGAATCAAAGACTCCGAACAACCCAACCGAAGCCCAATCACAAACCGATTATGTGAAAAATAGGATTGTACGACATCAAAATAGCTCACCAAGGTCAATTTTTGCTGGAATAGATCAGATTGCGCGAGGTACAACGAAGGTTATGCATCGGCTTGCCCTTTTAGAAGGCGAGGTCGAATGACTTCGAAAGGCAAATGAGACCTTAAGTCGACGTCGCCGTGCGAAGAAAGAACAGCTACAGAGTGTAGGGTCACTTCGTATACAAGCTAGACAGGACCTACAGTCTCAACGAGAGGTTGATGGGCAGTTACATGACGAATTTCGTCAAATTGGTGGTCGTACGAGGCGGCGAATTGCGCGTGTACGGCGCTGTAGAATCTGCGGCGAGCCCAGACATAATGCGCGCACTTGTGGAAATGATGTAGAGACGTCTGAAGATAACGATTCTGAGTAGTTTCAATTGATGATAGGCGTTGTGGTTGAATTAACTTATACATTGTCGTATAAGGTCTGCCAAAGTGTGCAATTGGACCGTGGACTACGTTAGCGAGGGCTATTAAGTAGTGTAATTTTCAAACGTATAGAAATACCTACACAAAGTTATGGCGGATTAAGGCTGCTTAGACATTGGTATTCGGAAGTGTAGCTTACTCTACCAGGTTGCGCGATTATCTGAATAATGCTGATCGGCGACAGCTTTATCCCACCATTTCTCTCTATAAATCTAATGCTAACTATACTACGTATAAATTAATCTCACTTTTCGACGATTCTGATAGACTTCTTTACGGTTAGAAATCCCGAAGTTCGACAGAACTTGAAATTCACGTATATCACAAAATCGGACTATACGGGTTATATTTGCAAATATATGCGCGAGGCATGTTTGATTCGCCTGTCAAGTATTTTCTTTATGGTGTTCGCTGCTCGTATGACGGAACATGGTATTCACTGCTTCATTTTGAAAGTGCTTGAGTATGATAAGTAACTGTTCTGCGGGCTTTAGACGAACCCTAGAAGCCGCACCGTTCCAGGAAACAAGACTAACCTGCCGATTAGAGAATGAACTTCGCCAAGGACGTCTTGACTCGTTCGAACTATGACTTCACGTTAGTAGACTTCTGGGAACGCGACTCCTGGATAGCCCGTCCAATGTCGAGTCAAGCGCGGGGTTAATCCTTGAGTTATCGGCCTAAACGTAAGCCAATATCGTTTCTAGAACGAATAGTATAACGTCCTCCACAGATAAATCTGAAGATAAGCTTTGCATCTGCCCTCACCACTTACATAGCTGACGCACAAGGGCATCGTTATGGGAAGCCGTCTGGAAATTGTCTCGCATGCCAAGCAATCCACAAACCCCGAAACCATGCGCTCTGGGAATGCCACCCTCTCCCCAATCTACATCACCAGCCTGGATCCACGAATGGCATTTGCGCCTCCAAAGTTTATGGAAAGAGTTGGCACAGCAGCTCATGGCAGATACGAGGATGCACATAATTTCGACACTGCATACATACTCATGCATCCACAGGCGGACACGCTAGACAGTGGCATTGGCATTACTGCTAACCCGGACAAAACCAGCCAAACGTTACAAATCATCCAGGCCTGTTTTCTCGCGCTCGCAACATGGAACGTCATCGAGATGATACCCTCCGTGCTGTTTACCTTCAAGCGCCGTGGCGGCCTCTACTTCTGGAGTATCGTCACCTCCAACTTGGGTATAGGCCTCTCGTCCATCGTCTTCTTCATCAATAACTTCCGGCTCTCGCCTAACATCTTGGTGCCGTCCGTGTTCGGAATCATTGGTTGGATAATGATGGTTACGTCACAGTCACTCGTGTTGTACTCGAGGTTACATATGCTATACTTCGACATGCGGACACTTCGCTGCGTTCTGGTAATGATCATTTGGAACGCTATAACACTGCACTCTATCGCCGCCGTTCTGACCATCGGCGCCAACTCACACGCGGCGGAAAAGTTCCTCTTCGCATATAGCGTCTTCGAAAAGATTCAAGTCACCTTGTTCTTTATCCAGGAATCCATAATCTCGGGGCTGTATCTATGGAAGTCCTTTAGCTTCCTCGGCTTCCAGGAATACCACGAGAGAACGGCAGCCGAAGTCAAGGGGATTCTACAGTACCTGATATTTGTCAATATCGTGGTTATTCTGCTGGATATCAGTGTCCTAGTCCTCGAATTCCTTGGGCTGTACCTTGTTCAGGTTACCTGCAAAGTCTTCGCCTACAGTGTAAAGCTCAAGTTGGAGGTTAGCATTCTGAATCGCTTGGTCGATTTTGTCAACCGAACGAGAACGCTGAATTCCAACTCGGGTTTCATGATTACGGAGCAAATGCAGAGGGAGTGGGAGTCGACATTGCAAAGAATATTTGGCCCTACGCGGGATATTAGTCCTGGGCCCGAAAGAACCACGACAACGGTGGGGAGTGAAGCAGTGGCAATATCAGATCAGAGAGCCTCAGCCGTTAAGGCAACATCTACAAGGCCATAGGCTGGGTATGAAAGCAGACCAATAGACATACAGTGTATCCTGCTGGCTTGTCTTTCCCATCCTAAATATGAAAACGTCTGTACAGAATTGTAGTGATATTTGAGATTTGGCCACTATACGCCAAGAAGAAGGGAAACCAATCTCATGATAATGCAGTTAGCTACAAAACGAGCAACGGGGATGAATTATTCTCGTTCACCCGGACGGAGCTGACACATAACCGTGAAATGAAATCCCTAGCATGCAAATCAACTCGTCATCAAACTGCGGTGAAGTTAATGCTAGTTGCACCGTTTCTCAGTCGTTTGGCGTCATAGGCGTTGGATGATTGCCGTGATTAAAGAAAGCGTATTGGGAACGTAGCGGGAAAGCAGTCAGGTACTTGTAGGCATGGGACTTCAGAGAAATCCTATATTCCGGACCTATGAACCGTTCCTGCCACAACCAGCTCCCAGCCCTCGGAAAACTATCTGATACCAGTTCAGCTCCCGCCATGTCCGAAATCTAACTTTCAACACTTCTTAACAATGTTCACTGCAAACGTCTGCCCCCAGCCCGCCTCGGGTTTCAGCCGTCTTTACAAGTCAAGCAACAAGCAAATCACTACCACGAAAGTAATAGAGTAAACCCAAGGGAGGGCAATAAGCTAAATTATCGCCTGTAAGTGATCCTCATAGACGAGCCAAGAACCACCGACAGACAACACGAAAGTAGTGGCTACGCCAAACGATAAACCAACCAGAAGCGCAGCAATTCGAGTGTGGCGCTTCACATTGACGAGGCTCACGACTTGCATACACCTCAGGGAGAAGCCTTGGATGCATGTGATTGTGCTGAGCCACAGAACGACTTGAATATTCTAGTTTGGGAGATGATCTGTAAAATTCGTCCTCTGGCAAGCGCAAGGTTCGTGGACTTAGTAAACATATTAATAGTAACGTGGTTTAACACCGAGTCGCGCACTTTTTCAACTTTTCCAACCTTTTGACTTCAACACTTATTTCCTCAACAACAACACCATGTCAGTTCAAACCCAAGAAGCCAAAATCAATCTTGCCATCGAAGCTATCCGATTGACCAAAAATATGAGCCAACGTCGAGCAGCAAAGCTATACGGTGTACCCGAGTCCTCACTCCGTGACAGAATCCACGGTCGCACCCCACGTACCGAAATCTGGCCGAATAGCGCACTACTCGCCAAGATAGAGGAAAGAGCTATTGTTCAGCATGTACTTGATCTAGATTTGAGAGGGTTTCCTCCCCGGCTAGAGGGTGTGGAAGATATGGCCAATTCCATTCTTGCGACGCGGGGTACCCGACGCGTCGGCAAGCTCTGGGCGCATCGCTTTGTAAAGCGAACCCCAGAGTTACAGACGCGTTTTTCTCGCTCGTATGACTTCCAGAGGGCCCTCTGCGAGGATCCAAAGATTATTGAGGACTGGTTCCGGCTTGTATCGAATATGAGGGCCAAATACGGGATCCAGGACTGCGATATGTGGAACTTCGACGAGACGGACTTTATGATGGGCGTTATTCAACGCTCGATGGTCGTTACCTCATCTGAACGGAATGGGTCACGGCGATTACCTGTGTCAATTCGGAGGGTCGCGACATCCCGCCATTTCTGGTAATTCAAGGGAACTATCACCTTGCTAATTGGTATACTGAGGGGGACCTACCAGCCGATTGGGTAGTCAAACCGACCGAAAACGGGTGGACGAACAATGAGACTGGTCTAGACTGGATCAAAAATTTCAACAAGCACACTATCTCGACCAAAAGAGGCGTGTATCGGCTGTTAGTATTGGACGGGCATGAGAGTCATACATCGGCCGATTTCGAGTCTTATTGCAAGTCTACGGCATTATTACTATTAGTCTGCCCCCGCCCTCGTCTCATCTAACCCAGCCACTTGATGTAGGGTGCTTTGGGGTCTTGAAACGTATATACGGTCGAGAGATTGATATATTTATCAAGTCCTATATTAACCACATTATTAAGGTCGAGTTCTTTATCGCCTTTAAGGAGGCTTATTTAAAGACAATAACCGACAAAAACATCAAGGCAGGGTTTCGAGGGGCCGGCCTAGTCCCCCACGACCCTGAAGCCGTTATCTCGAAGCTGGATGTTAGGATTCGGTCGCCTACACCCGTTAGCCCCTCTCTTCTAGATGCTGACCCTTGGGTTTCGCAAACGCCAATAACCCGACAGAGGCTCTCTCGCAGTCCGATTTTGTCAATCGCCGAATCGCCAGACATCGGGGAAGCTCTCCGACCCCAATTTTTGATGCTGTTGGCCACCTTGCGAAGGGTATAACTCGATTAGCCCATGAGAATACCCTCTTGAAGGCTGAGTGCTCCACCCTTCGCAAGGCAAATGAGGCACTAAGCAAGCGTCGGAGGGCAAAAGAATCGCGTGTCCGGCAAGGAGGTGCACTTACTGTCGAGGATGCCCTGGACATTTTGGCCCGGAAGGACGCGGAGGCCCAGGTAAAGGAGGACAAGCGCTCTAGGGGGGGTAAAGAAAAGGCTGGTCCGTCGACTGTACGACCATGTAGTAAGTGTAAGAAGACGGGACATAATGTAAAGACTTGTCAGGTCGAACTATAATTGTCAGATGTATATAGCTCTGAATAAATTTCAATAAACTTTAGTCTGTTCTGGCTTTTTAATTGAACTTGAAATTATAGTGTGGTAAAAAGTGCGCGACTCGGTGATATGCGCGACTCGGTGTTAAACCACGTTATATACTAATTCGATGTAGCGTACGTTCATGGAACCTCCCGCTCTAGATGACGATGAGCAGGAGACTCCTAGCCGGAAGAGAGGTAAGTCTAAGCACTATACACACTCCTTACATATTATACTAATATATGATAGTTTCTCGCAAGCGTGGTGGTAGAGGTGGCAGAGGTGGTAGAGGAAGCCGGTCGACCACTCGTAACTCTGGTATGACATATGTTGAACTTAGGCAGTGCATAAGCTAATACGAAATAGCTTGAATCATCAATAAGCAGCAATCAAACGGTACCTACTGTGCATATGTACGACATATGCTTGTGAACTGTTGTTTTGCTTGGTCTGGTAATTCGGTTCTATAATGCAAATATATTGCTTGGTGTTTGTTTCGTATCAAGTTTCCACCTCATATGCATCATATATGCTCAAATCCTATGTGACATGTTCTATTCTAGGTTAGGTTATTACAGTACCTAATAAACTATTCGTGCTTTTTTCTATTATCTGAGCCTTGTCAGAATATGCCTCGCATATGTATACCAGACAGTTTGGCCCTATGTATATGCTCCTATATCCTGCATATGCGCCGCATTTTCTCCGTGTACAAGCTTTTCTCTGATACTGTGGTGATGATTTATTTGGTTAGACTAGCGTTAGCGTTAGTTTGGCAAGACTTGGCCAGGGTTAGAACATTTCTGACCCTGATCAACTTTGCTGCGCCACAAAACTTCTAACCCTGGCCAACTGTAACCTGCCTTTATGAACCTTGCTACGCCACAAAATTCTACCCCTGGCCAACTGTAAACTGTAACCTGGAGAGACACAACAATCTAGACAGGATCGCCACAGAGTCATCAATAATCAATAGAGGATTCAATCCCTCAGGTTTTAATAAAAGTAGATGATAATATTTCAAAAATTATAAGTTATTTTTCTAGTAATTGAGGGATTCAGTCCTCTATCGATGCTCTGTGTAGATCCTGTCTTGATTGATATGTCTGCTCTACGCACCCATTGTGGTGTGTTGCTTTTAGCACTATGGGGAAGGGTTTGACCCCACCAGACTACACCTGCCGCTACACCGCCTTTGGCCTAGGGCATAATCATGGCGCTCAATCCCACAGTAATAATAGCTGGTTGTAGGTGGGGACCAAGATTCCTCAATCCCTGCCCAGTTACCCGTGCCACACCCCACTTATTTCGGATTCGCTTGAGCTCACCAACCTAAGTTGGTGCTCACCACCAACTTGGCCAGCTTTTCGACACTTTCAACTTCAACCTATCCTATCTTCGTCAATTCATTAGCTTTTTCCAATCGCAATGGAATCACAGCTACAGGAAGCCGTCCTCTACATGCAAGAGCATCCTCAAGCCAAAATTGCCAAGATTGCGCGAGAAAGCGGCGTAAAACGCGAGACCCTCCGATACCGCGTCAAGCAAGCTGGGAAGACTAAGAACCACGGAGGACTCAACAAACTACTATCTGAAGCCGAAGAAAAGGCCCTCTGTAATTACATCGACCGCCTTGATAGGATCAATCTTGCAGTTCGCGTAGAGTTCGTTACCGACGCTGCAAATACGATATTACGTGAGAGTCCAGGTTCTACCAAATCAGCCACCACCAACAGTCGGATCAAACTGGACTACACGTTTCCTCCAGCGCCATAGCTACTTCCACGCTTCCCAGCGGAAGCTCCATTCAAACCGCCAGACTGCTGAAAACCTCGACACTATACGAGAGTATTTTACACGGCTTGAGAGAGTCCTCCGGGAAGAAGGAATCGATCCCTCTGATCTCTGGAATATGGACGAGACTGGCTTCCGGATTGGTGTTGGTAAGGATCAACTTATCATCACTAAGCGCAAGAGGGCCCATTACTTCGGCCTACCAGAAAATAGAGAGACAGCGACAGCTATTGAAGCTATCTCTGCTGCTGGCGACGTAATACCAGCTTTCCTCATACCTCATACTCACGGGGACTATCCACTCGGCTCAGTGGTACGCGCAAGACCTTCATCCAGATACGAAGCTACGGCCGGTCGATACAGGCTATTCGAATGACGAGATCTCTCTCGAGTGGCTTATGCACTTCGAACAACACTCTAAGAAAACGCAGAAAGGTTGAAAGCGACTATTGATCTTAGACGGCCACGGCAGCCACCATACGAAGCAGTTTATCCAGTACTGCAACGACCACGATATTATACCCTTCGGCTTGCCTCCCCCCCCCCCCCCCCCCCCCCCCCCACACACACATCTTACTCATCTCTTACAGCCACTAGACGTGGTTGTTTTTCAGCCATATAAGCACTGGCATGCGAAGTCCCTCTGATACGTGACCCCATGGGGGATTGCCCTATAGCTAGAGATAAGATAGATAAGAGCTATAAAAGAGCTCTGCCAGGCCAGAATAGCTGACCTGGCCATCCTTTCCCAATACAACAATTCACACCCCATATGCACTCGCATCACCCTCGATCAGCTAGTACGGGATGGATGTACCAATATAACCAAGCTCGAGTTCCTCTCAATTATCAAAGATGTACGCAAAAAGACCTTCAAAGCGAGTACTATCCAGTCAGCCTTCAAGAAAACCGGTATATATCCATTTTACCCTCATCCAATACTACAAGAGATTGAAGAACGTATACCAAAGACGCCATCACCACCACCAGCCCCTTCATCTTCGTCATATGAAGGCACACCTACTACTTTTCGACAAATTAATAAAGTAGCTAGCAAGATTACGAACTGTCTTACTGATCCAGAGCTTGGTATTAGTCCAGATCTAGCTTATCGACTTAGTCACTTTGTTAAAGGGTCCCTCGTTAATGCGACCGAGCTTATACAGACTAAGCGCGATCTTAGCCGTACAAAGTACGCCGAACGTATATCAAAACAACGGCGCGCTATGAAGAACTATCATCTTTAATCTGGTGGAGTTTTATCCGTTGCAGAAGGTAGAGAGATGGTGAAGAGGAAGGTTGAAGATGAGGTAGCTAAAGTATAGAGAGTTCTTGCCAAGTATCATGAAGGACTTCGTAGAGTAGCCAAAAAGAGCTTTTCTGATGCCGCAAAAGAAGCTAGAAGACGTCGATTGACAGGCCAATTACAGCCTACAGATGTCTTCGAGACAGGCCTTGGTTGGCGGTTATTACGTAGATTCTAATTGAAGGTTGAAATCCGTCGAAAAACTGGCCAAGTTGGTGATGTGGCCAAATTGGTGGTGAGCACCAACTTAGGTTGGTGAGCTCAAGCGAAACCGAAATAAGTGGGGTGTGGCACGGGTAGCTCGTCTCATTGCTCTACGCGACGGAATACGTCTCTGGATTGTAAAGTGGCACGAATAATATACTAGTCGCAGGTCTCCTTCCTATTTCCACGACGATGTAGCAGAAGGCGCGATGCGGCTGGCTTTACGATGGCTGGCTTCAATTGCCATTTTTTGTCTGATCTTGTACCACGTTAGTCCTCGAACTGCCATCGATCTGGACGACATACCAATCTCTCCGGTCGACAAGTCCGCAGCCCCAGACCCAGCCCCCGATGCCAAACCTCTGCTCGAAGAGGAGCGACCGAGAGGAAGTCCTAGGCCCAGTGACATCGGCGCGTTCTGGAAGAAATGGAGCCAGGCAATGTACGATGCGCGACCTAGGGTGTTTGCCATTTCCATCAAAGGCCAGGCGACGACACTGCCGCCCAACACGGACGGACCCCGCAAACCATATCGCGATCTGGTCCGCAATCCCGAAGCCGACCTTGAACTGATGCGTAAAGCGCACGCTAAGTTTGTTGAAGAGCTGGAAAACATACGCGCCGACGAGGGTATTTTCAAAGGCCGGGGTGTCGTCATGGTGGGCGGGGGGGAGTACTTTGGGCCGGCCATCATCTCGATCCACATGCTGAGACGAACAGGCAGCACACTGCCGGTCGAGGTTTTTGTTCCCAATGATGAGGAGTACGAGGTGGACGTTTGCGAGGGGTACCTGCCCAAACTCAACGCCAAGTGCGTGGTGCTCGCGCATGTCCTGTCGCAAAGCGATGCAGAGCTGGGTATCTCGCATTACCAGCTAAAGGCACCTTCTCTGCTGTTTTCGTCATTCGAGGAGGTCCTGCTGCTGGACAGCGACAGCATTCCTGTTGTCGACCCGGACGAGGCTGTGTTTTCTCAGGAACCGTACCTGTCCGACGGGCTGATTGTGTGGCCCGACTATTGGGCGGCGACAGAATCGCCGCAATTCTGGACTATTGCTGGATTTCCTGACTTCCCTAGTGGTCTACCTGCGACATCGAGCGAAACGGGCCAGCTGGTCGTGAATAAGAAAACGCACCTGGCGCCTCTGCTTTTGGCGACGTATTACAATGTCTTTGGTAAGGAACACTACTACCCACTTCTCAGCCAGGGCGCCCTGGGTCAGGGTGACAAAGAAACGTTTATGGCGGCAGCCGTCGTCCTCAACACGACGTACTATAGGGTCAAGACATCGGTCGCGTCGCTGGGCAGACACGACGGCTTCAAGCAGAAGGCCACAGCCATGGTGCAGCATCTGCCGTACGATGACCAGGCCGGGGGGCCGGACAAGAAGGTGACGGTCCGTCCGGCCTTCTTGCACTCCAACACGCCCAAGATGAACGCTGGCCATTTGGTCGACGAGGGCGATCTGCTTGGGGTCGACGGAAGCACAAGGCTTCGTTTACTGGGGTCTAAGGCGGAACAGGAGAAGCACTTTGGCTTTGACGTGGAGAGCAGCATCTGGGATCTGCTCATCCAGACGGGGTGCGAGCTGGCCGATATCATCAAGGAGTGGAAGCACAGAGACCGGTTATGTGAGAGATTGGAAGAGCACCACGATCAGCTGTTTGGAGAGCATCGGTCAGGTATGGGTCAGGTATGGGAGCAAAAGCGAGCCAATCTGAGGACGCAATAGAATAGCACAACTACTTTCCCAGTAAGAATAACTACGGTAACATCGCTAAATCCTCCCCCAAGTGACCCAGCAACTAAATCCAGTGCTTGCTCTTTGTCTTAAATACAACTCCGTAACTCCACAAACAAACAAGAAACCAAGGTGTCGATGCCAACTAATCCAGCTCGCCAGCCACATACCCAATCTGCCTCCTGGCGCCGGGCCCATTGCCCAGATTCGCCGCCAGGCTGGTCTGACTATCCACCAATTTCTTCTGCTCACGTATCCTCTCCTTAAACCTCCCATCAGCACTCGCATCCATCCTCTCAATCTCCTCCCGTTCCTGCAGCCGTATACTACTCAGCTGCGTCGCATTCCCCACGCGCTCGTTGCCCAAGTCTCTCTCCCATTCCAACATCCTCTGCTGGCGTTGGGTCTCGAGAGCCAGCTCGGCGTCGCCCACCGTCTGAGCCCGGTTCAGAGAAACTTCAGTTAGGGCATGCTGGTGCGCAATATCCTGCCCCTGCTTGGCGCGCTGTCGCGCCAGTGCCTTGGTGAAGAGTTCCTCTTCAACGAGGGCCCGCTCCTGGATGGCGGTCAGGTCGGCGTTGTGCGAGCGTTTTTTGCGCGCGTCTTCAAGTTCAGCTTGATCGGCCAAAATCTGAGCCTGCACTGCTGCTAGCTCGCGGTTCCGTTGAATGGCCAGAGCATGCTCCTCGTTGGCCCTCTCCAGGCGGGCGAGCCGTGCCTTGCGCTCCACCTCCCCTTGCTCGACGTGGGAAGGCATGCCGACGGCGTCTTCGGGTTGGGGACCCGAGTTGGCGTAGTATACGTCTACAGCGCGATTGGCTTTCAGCAGCTTGATGAGTTCCGGGGTCGTGTCTGATTGTGGCAACACGCGCGCCACGTATTGCGTGGGCGAGTAGATGAACTTGCCGTCGGTAAAGTGGTTAAAAGGCTTGTTAATGTATTTCCACATGTCCGCGCGGAGAAGGACTTTGGTTGTGGTCAGGGGGTCAGCCGACTCGAGGGCTAGTATAAGCACCGACTTCCCCTCAGACTGCAACGTAATGTCAGAGATGGGAAGGAGGAAGCTAATGGCCTTCTCCATAGTCTTCTCTCGGACAGCCGTGATCTCTCCTGAATCTGCCGTGTGGAGGCAGAGCTCGCCAAGGGCACTCCGGCCGCCGTGTTGGGGGCTTGGGAAGTCGGGATCGTGACGGTACTCTACTAGGATCTGCATTGCCTGCAGGTTTAGTTCCCGCGCGGCATTATGCAAGGACCCATCGTTCCTTGAAGCACCAGCTGCCAACAAGTTGGACATCATAGTAATGGCTAAGTCACCGCCAATTGCTGAAGCCATGGACAGGGGCGACCTTCCGGTAACATCCGCCACGTCCACCTCGGCACCAGCAAGCAGCAGGGCTTTAACAATGTCCTGCCGCCGTGACTGGATCGCAAACATCAGGGGTGTGACGCGGGAGACACGCGTCTCAAAGTTAACCTTCGCTATGGTCGTTGTCAGTAGCTTGAAGGCTCAATGGATTAAATGAACTTACACCCTCGGCCAATCAGCATGGTTATGACTGCGCTGCTGATCTTCTTTTGCGGCTGCAGGAGGGCCCACGCCAGAACCGAGACTTGCTCCACATCTTCGACTTGCTCCAAGACTTTGCACAGAGTCGTCTGCTCGTGATAATAACCCATGTCCAAAAGTGCCTGTAGAATCTTGGTTGACCTCGGATACTGCGAGAGTGCCCGAATTATGACCGGTTCCGATCCTGGATATACAAAGATGACATCTATTTGATTCGAACTATCGCTGTGCTCTGAAAACAATGTAATAAGTTCGTGGACGTCATCTTCCGGTACGTTGGAGTCGAATATGCGAGGAAAAGCTAAAGTGAGGGATTCTGTATTGGGCATCTGCTGCAGGAGTCGCGACAAGAGCCTCAAGTTGCCCTGAGCCGCTGCAGTTTGTAACGCTTCGCCATGGTTATAGTTGACGTCCGCATCATACTTCAGGAGCAGCTCGGCAAAGGCATAAGCAATATCCACCTTTTCAGCATATTGACCAAGTACGGCAACCAAGACAGAGCCCACTGCGTTTCCATTGGCGCCTTTTCTTAGCAGGCAGCGGGCGATTTCGAGTCCTCGTTCGGTGAGCCAGGCATTGATATGTTCGGGCACAAATGCCTTGCCAAAAGCCACTGATGCTTCCTCGGGCGAGACCCTGGCTTCAAGTAGTTGCGAAAACTGCGATACCGACAATGTCCGTGTGGCGTCAATCAAAGTCTGGCAGCCATTGGCAGCCGGGGACGCTCGATTCGACACGAGCAGCTGAATTAGCCTTTCCTCGGGCTCCTCCTCGTTGACAACCCGTATCAAGGCAGCGTGGATAGCACTCGGCGCAGGCTTGCCCGCTTTGAACAGCCACTGCAATACGGTGAAGCGAGTATCCCGGCTGAGATCCCAGCATGAATTCAAAGCTCGAACCAAGGTGCCCGATGATGGCTTTTTCTGTCGGCCGCCGACATCCACGATACCCAGAAGCATCTCGAGGTTGCCGAGGAAGGCACTCGTCGTCGCCTTCTGCACGGCCTCGCCGTTGTTGTAATCCGGGCTGGCGCCATACACGAGGAGGAGCTTGACCAGCTCCGATCCAGCATCGCCGTATCGTTCTGCTGAGACTAGTTGCGCGTCGAGTATTTCTCCGCCGACCCCGCGCTGTAGCAGCAGCTTGAAAATCTCTGCACGTTTCCTCAAGTCACCTACTTCGGTTGCTGCTTGGAATCCCCTCTGCAATGTCTGCTGCGTGATCTCCTTATCCCCAGATAGTAACATGCCCAATACACTGGCCGACCCGGACCGGCACGCTTCGACAACAGCCTGGCCATCTTTGTGCTCGACACTTCCGCCGTTTTGCACAAGGATGGCGCCGAAATCCAAGTCGCCGTCCGAAGCCGCGGCCAAGAGTGCGTCCGAAACCACTTCCCCTGAGGCGCCAGCCTTTAGCAGACTGTTACATGACATGCTACGCTGTCGCCGGTTCTTGCCCCTCGTCGCGGTGGCAAAGCCGTGATTCAAAACATCGGGCGAGAACTTTTTCCGTTTCAGAATGAGATCGACAATGTCCTGTTTTTCGTTTTTGATGGCTTCCATCAGCGCTACCCCGTCTTTGGTGTCGGCGTGTGCCAGGAGGGTGTTGACCAGCGGTATGTCCTCGGGGTAGGTGCTGACAGTAAACACCAGGGCACGGTTGACCTCACTGGCCGGAATGCCACCGCGAAGAATTCTCTTGGCAAAGGTAAGCCGGTCCATGACATCTCGTATTCGTAGCGCATGGGGCATGGCAAACGAGAGCGAGGCGGGGTTGGGATCAAATGTGAACATGAGGTCGACAAGCTGGGGGTTGGACGCCGCTACGGCTCGACAGAGCGCTTCGGCGTTGTACGCATTAATATCGGCACCGCGGGCCAGGAGCGTCTTGATAACAGCAAGGTTACGGTGCTCGGGTGCTACCTTGAGCAGAGTCTGAACCTCTTCAACGAGCATTTGACTCATGGTATTTGGGGAAGTTGAGCGCCGCAATAACACATCGAGCTTCTCGGCTTTCGTGGACGTGGGTGGAACTGCGCTGAGACTTTTTATAGCACGTTCGAGGCTCTCGGGGTTCGGCTCGCCCATGGCCAGAACCAACTCGAGTAGTTCGGGGTCGGCACTCTGCACTGCATACGTGATGGCATCGCCGCCATTGGCGTTGACATCGGCCTTGCCCCTTTCCAGTAACGTCTTGACCAGGTTCTTGTCAACCTGATTTGCCCGCAGCGCCGTCGCCAATGCAGTTGACACCTCGACCCCCCCTGGTGTCGCGCCCGCCCCGAGAAGCAGCGTCACCATCTGTGACCTTTTCACCGCATCGGGCACCTCCATGGCTCGGGGCACCGCCTTAGCCGCCACCTGCGGTGTGGGTTTGCTCTTGAGCAATCGGTTCAGGAGGTGTACGTCTTTCTGCGCAATGGCTGCTGTGATGCCTGCCCCTTCGTTGAAATTGACGTCGGCATTGGAGCGCAGCAGAAGTGCGACCAGGCGCTCGTCTCGATGCGGAGGTGTCTCATTGATGACGTTCTGCAGTGCCGAGTGCACGCAGTCTCCCTCCAACCCGGCCCCTAGAAAAGCTTCCGTCATCTGGAACCTTTCGAGTTTCGCGTGATTCCTGACGCTAGGAAAGATTTGCGCCATGGCGTTCTGCGATAGCGGGCTACTTAGTATGAGCTTGGTGATGGGCACATTGCCATTCTTGACTGCAAGTTGTAGCGCGAGTGCACCTTTATGGTTTGTCGAAGCTACGGCGTGTCGTTCAAACACCATGCTCCTCGGCCCCTTTTTGAGATCCTGGTTTCCCACCGTCTTGCCGCCAGGGAATAGTGGAATAAGGAGTAGCTTCGCTGCCTCAACATCTCCCGCTTCGGCCGCGTCGACGAGCGCCTCATCCAGCGGTGGTCCGTTGGCACCCTTGCGAAGAAGCAGCTGTAAGAAAGAATGCCGTTCCTCAAACCGTAGCTTCTTCGGGATCAGTTCAACACATTCGGACGCGTACACCGAGCTAAAGGGGGCAGCCCCATTTAACATGATCTCCACCAGGTCGATCTTGCCTGTGGAAACGGCTTTCCGCACGGCGATGGCGTCTTGGTATTCAACGGATGCACCGTAGGAAACCAGCAGATGAACCATGTCCATGTAAGAGGTCGCACTCGCCTGCACTAGAGCTTGTGCTACCGTATCGCCCTCGGCGCCGGCGCAGAGTAAAATTTCCGCCATGGCAATCTTCTCGTTGGGGTTGATGTTCTGGTGATTGCTGAGTTGCTCGAACGCCTCATTCAGACCAGGCTGGCCAGGGGGTTCGTTGCCGAGAACGAGCGCCAACGCGATATCCCTGCGCCCCAACCCCACGGCTATCTTCAATGCGGCAGCGTTGTCGTGGTTTGCGTCTGCCGTAGACTGGCTGAGAGCCACCACCGTATCCAGGCACCCCGCCCGTGCGGCTTCAACCATAGACTGCGAGACCCACGATTCCGGAGGCCGTCCCTCTGACGACAAAACCATGGACACCAGCTCTGCTTGCCCTCCTTCGACACATGCCTGCCGGAATGCATCCTGTCCAGCGGCCGTCTGGGCCACACTCGCGCCGTACCTGAGGAGTAGCTGGACGATGGCGTGATCCCGGTTCTCGATGGCGATGGGGAGTGCCGTATCCAGACTCAGCGCGTCCGCAAAGGGCAAGAGCACTTCCACCATCTCCTTGTGCCTGTTTTCCACCGCGCGCTGCAGAACCTGACTTCGTTCAGCCAAATCCAAGCTCTTCCTCCGCGTCAGCAGGCTCGTTCGGCTTTTCTGTGCAAGATTGAGATTGCCGCCTGCGAGATTCAGCTTGGCGATGAGCGCCTCGGCAACGCCAGGCGAGCCCTCGCTGGAGATGTGAGTGACGAGGGCATTGTAAATCTCTTTGTATTCCCATGCCTTTTTCTTGGTGGTGAAGGCTCGGGAAAGACTGCCTTTGGGGTGGGCAGTATGCGCCTCCACCGTGCGTTGTCGCTTGAGAAGCTCTTCCGCGTACAGATCATCCCCGTCCGTTCGGAATGACGGAGGCTGGCCGGGCCTGGACAACGGCGACGGCGGTGGAAGTGAGCCGCCCATGATGCCCCACTCTTCGCTGAGCTCATTGAGCCGGGCTTGACGTCTTTCCTGGATCGGTGAGTGCTCCATACTGTCGGCGACGAGACCAGGCATTGTAGATTAACATCCAGCCTTACACCTTCGGCCAAGACTGATGAAGTACGATGAGCAGCAGATCAAAATAAAATATAGGCTGGGTATTCTGATGTGCCTTGAGACTGTCGATCATCAATGGCATACACTACAGGCGGTCCGTCTGAGCCCAATTCCGAAGTGCATCTCACAACCGCAACCTCACCGCGGTTCTATCAGCCTTGGGCTGTCTGCGATGGGGGATAAAGCAAGGGGGGCTTGACACGGCCCGAGGCGAATCGAGAACCAACTGGGGTTATCCAGAAAGGACTGGTGCAAGGAAAGTAAATGAGAGAGCGCTGATTAGGCGGGCATTCAGGTCGATGAAACGAATGTTGATGGTAATGCCGAGAGACTAGAAATATGAGATGAAAAACAATCGCCCGCCCGCGGACACGCTGAAGCAGTTCGAAGAGTCGGTCGGTCGGTCTTTGATCTTGAGACAGGAGCTTGAGCCAACGGGGTCGTGTTACCTTGCTCGCTGCTGGCTGAGTGGCAGGGAACGTTGGGACGGGACCGGGATGCCGCACGAAGATCCCTGTGCACTGCCTCCTGTGCTAGCCTAGCTTTGCGTAAATTCTAGAGGGTACTGTGAAGGTCAACCCTCGCAGACTCACTACAACCAGGTGACTTACAGCTGGAACACCTGCCGTGGCAGTGTCAGATGGGAAGCCAATCATAACCCTTGTAGGAGCCCCGCCAAGCGTGGATGACTTAGTCGCGCTCCCTCAAACCTAAGCTGTCATCTTCTTTCCTTCGCTCCTTAGAGTAGAATCTTGGTCGATAGCACCTAATCGAGGTCTATACCAATGCGATGCAACCCAGGTCGTGACAGGTACAAGAATACGCGCGTAGAGGGTTAATTAGCCAGGAATTTAGGCAGCTTATAGCTTACTAAAAGAAATATCTAGCCCAGTCGAATTTACTAGCCTAAGCGTTAAGCTGTACAAATAACATATAAATTTATTAAGTTGATACTATTATGATTATTCTTGATTAAGTAAAATACCGCTAATAGTATTAGAATTCGTTTTTAATAGATAGATATATAAGGTTAAGATGAGAAAATCCAATACTAAATTCAGTACCAAATACTGAAATAAAGCTCTACATTCAATTTCTAGCTAAAAACTAATTCCCCTGACCCCCTTACGTTAGGGGCTTCCGTAACGGCCAGCCGATCAGGCCCTAAACCTGTTCAATTACGCGTCCTTGGCATCTCTTGACGCAGCGCCGAGTGTTAAGCTCAACTCTGTACCGGACGGAAGCAAGGTGCCAAGTCAGTTAATTTATCAACCGTAGCGCATTTAAGCACTACGACAGGGGCCAGCAAAGCTGAGGCAAAGTTTCGTCAGGCCGTCGGGCGCCTCCTAAAGATTTGCAATCTTTTCTCTTGTGCCGAATGGCGTCGTCCATTTTAAGGACGATCGATCCACTGAGACAGATCATGAAATCGCCAGAGGCTACGATCACGTGAGATTCAATTTGAACATTACACCGCTAACAGCTTTCACGCCAACAGTGTTCAGTCGTACGATTGCTGAGCTCATGTATGGCCCGCCGAGTGAAAACATCGTGTATAGCGCAAACCGGCAAGTCAGGACTACAAATATCTCGATTAGTGCAACATACAGGTTTCGTCTATCGAGTCTATAGCCATCCTGCCGTGACGAGGGCCAGTTTGCGTCTTGTCGAACAGTCTCGTCCGCCCCAGCACCAGTTCCAGCATCGAAAGCTCGTCTCATGTTCGAAATCACGAAGTTTTGGCCTTGACAGCAGACAGCAGCTCCGGTGGTGGCTCTTGCCTGTAGCCTTTGGGGTTATTGCTGACCCAGCGCCACAGATCCTCGCACGCGTTTTCCATGGTGAGCTCCGTCTTCCAGTTAAGTTCCTTATTCGCCAGCGTGGGGTTGGCAGTCAGGTCCAGCACGTCGCCCTGTCTTCGCGGCACAATTTCGTATGGCATCTCACGACCGACAACCTTGCTGAATGCCTTGATCATCTCGAACACGGTACTTCCTCGGCCTGATCCCAAGTTCCATGCCTTGACACCAGGCTTCTGTTCCCGTAAGTAGTTAAGGGCGACCAAGTGGCCCCTGGCTAGGTCAACGACATGGATATAGTCGCGGATAGCAGTGCCGTCGCGGGAGGGATAGTCTGGCAGGCTATGTGTTAGCCAATCTCGTCCCCCATCGCCTTCACAATATCACCGCCACACGTGCTCACTTACCATCCCCAAATACCAACAAATTCGGTCTGTCGCCCGTCGCAACCTTGCCCAACAGTGGCAACAAGTTGTATGGCACTCCTTGGGGGTCTTCGCCCATGATGCCGCTAGGGTGCGCGCCGGCGGGGTTGAAGTAGCGCAGATTGGCACCGTTCCACTGCTCGTAGGGCTTGCCCGCCTTCTTCAGGTTCTGGCGTTGTGCGGTGATGTGGTCCTCGATAATGTTCTCCACCATGGACTTTGTCCGCCCGTATGTGTTTGTGGGGCCGATAGGGCAGTGTTCGGGGATAGGAATCATGTTAGGGAAGCGAGTCGCGTCGCCGTAGACGGTTGCCGACGAGGAGAAAACGATATTGGTGACATTGTGCTTGGTCATGGCGCTCAGGAGAGACATGGTACCGGCGACGTTGACGCGATAGTATTCGAGAGGGATCTCGGCGGATTCACCGACAGCCTGCATTTCGCCGTCAGCAACTCGAAACTCCAAACCAAACCAAATTGACCAATGGCGTTGGGGTCGGATCGCAGGAGATGCTCACCTTGAGCGCGGCAAAGTGGATAACGCTGTCGATGGCCGGGTGCGTTGCAAACACCTTATCAAGCTCATCCTCCTTGGTGACGTCGACCTTGTAGAAGATGGGCCGCTTGCCGCAGATGAGCTCAATGCGGTCGAGGGCGACTTCTGACGAGTTGTAGAGGTTATCTACGATGACGACCTCGTAGCCATGTTCGAGCAGGGCCAGAGAGGTGAAAGAGCCGATGTAGCCGGTGCCACTAAAAGCCACAAGTTAGAGACCTAGAAGACGTTGAAGCTGTACTGGTGCTTTTGTGTAAAGGGGCGGCGCTTTCTCATGGCGGGGTTTAAACGGATTGGATGCGACAATTGGATGAAAGCGACTTCGTGGCTTTTTAGGACGAGCTTACCCAGTGATCAAAACGGTTCCAACGGCCATGATGAAGATGCTCCAGAGAAATGATTGAGTTTCGAGGTGTCGGGAGAGAGTGATCCAGGGGAAGAAGATAATTGAGAGCCACAATCAAATGGCTAGCAAAGCTGGCGTCTTAACGCAGGGCGGTAGGCTTTAGGCAATAGGCGGGCTTTAAATGAATTGGAGGGGTGATCGTCGTCATCGCAAATTGGTCTGCGTTGCAGATTTTTGGCGGGGTTGGTTTCTAGTAAGAATCCCCTCTTGCGCCATCAGCCGTCCGCTGTGTTTGCTGACCATACCCCTGGAAGATGGCCGACCACAGTTCAAGGGGGGGATGCCGACGGCAAGCCACCTTGCATCTAGTTCACCGCTTGTGATAGTCGTCGATTGGACGCAAGGTAATTGTCCATATGTGCAGGATACCTAGAGGTTAATATAAACGTCGAGTTACCCAACACACCACCTGAGAAACGTGATCAGATGCTGCGATGCGAATAGGCACATCCAAGACACCCAGTTCCCTCTGGTGGGGCCGTCGATGGCTGCGTTGAATAACGAACAGTCGAATATGCTACAACAATGGGGGTGATGGGCCGGTCAATTCGATGCCAGACAATCCTTGAATATCTTGGAAGATCGCCGCTACAACATCAGTAAATACAGAACTAGCTGCTGTGGTTCCTGTGGTTCGAAGTTTTGATATCTGTGCATTGTTCCAAGAGCCTCATGGTACGGGTTCTGCAAGTTCCTTTCCGCGTGCCAAGTGAAAGTTGGCATCTCGAAGGCAACGGCGACCCTGCAGCCCCGGCAACCCCAGCTTGTCCAGCTTCTCGGGCCGCAACGGTCCAAGTTCCTCCAAATTTGAGGCTTCTTTCAGGTCGATCACGTGCTACCTCCAATGCTCTTGGCCGCTCCACCTTTCTCTCCACTACTGTAGGCAAAACGTGTTGGCAGGAACAATCGACAAGAGCCAAAGACGCGACACGCGATCTGTGTTGTGTGAGAACCTGAGCCAGCGCATGCATTCCTCAACCGGTAAGAAGGATAAAGAAACGACATCGGGGGGACACTATGGTCAATTTGCGAAGAATAGAACGTGTTAAATGCTAGTTCATCCTGCATTCCATTCATTTCTTTGACAACCGCAGCGGCCATCCTCGACGACGCAAAAAGAACCTTCGCATCGCATCGCACCCATGTCCCCACCCGAAGGCGGAAGTCGTCGCCAGTTAAACTCACATGGACTTTGCTGAGCTTCGACATCGCCGGCCGCGCTTTGTTAAAACCACCCCATCTTTGGATGCCGAGTCCGGCGTGCATTGCTATTGATGGCCGTTTACAGCTCTCGACTGCGCATTCTTTGAACGGTTTCGTCTTCGACAATCTGACACCAGACTGCTGCAGTGGCTGGCATTGTCATCCCATTCGTCTACCCGTTAATACCAATTGTCACTTCAACCGGAATTATCATCCTCTTACCACCACACATGCTGCTCATGAGTTCATAATACTATCTCATACCTTCTGCCTGAAAATCAGGTCTGGGCATTGTTGGTTGGTACGTACATCTTCGCCTTTGCGTGTCGCGCAATCGGTTCGAGTATTGTCGCTCCAAGTCCTGCTCATCGGCCTGTGGCGATTTACCATTTCCCAAATATTGGTATCTGGCTTGCGCTTGTGACGCACCCCGAATTCGCAGCCCACCATAATTTCACATTTCGCCTCAGCTGAGAGTTCGTCTAGACTCATCCTCAGTGTTGCATCATTTTGTTGCTGCTAAACAAAATGCCAACAAGGCCAGCTGCCAGAAAGCCTACTCGGCGCTCCACGCGAGCGTCGACGGCCAAGTCTCCGGAGCGACCACCAGAACCCAAAGCCCCTGTTGTGGAGGTACTGGAGAAGGAACGAGAAAAGGCGCGGCAACGCGGACAGTCAGTCTACGATGAAGAACCTGCTAGTTCAGATCTCCCAGGCCTTTTCCCGGCACATGATGGCTCCTACGGCATCAACACCTTGGTTCCGAACCAACGCAAGAAACGCAGGGGGAAGCCAGAATTCGCCAAGGAAGATGAAGAAGACCAGTTGTTCATGCGAGAAATGCTCGGCCGCAAAGGAACAAAAAAAGCTCGTATAAACGCACCAAGCAACCAACTGAGTCAAGCAACCCAGGCAAGCACCGGCTTGACGCTGACAAATGCTCAAAACCTCCTTGATGATGCTGAAGACGAGCTGAATGCAGTGGAGGAGGAGCTCAACGAGCTTCCTGGCGCAGAGGACGAAGAAGATGATCCAGAGCTATTTGCCGCAAAGAAGGCCACCGTCCGGGACGAGTTTTCCGATGAAAATGATGAAATTAACCTAAACCCGACACCGTCTCGACCTAAGCCAAGCAGGGGAATGCCGCCTACCAGAGATCTTTGGGACGGCCCTCTTGGCCGTGTCAGAAACCCTTTGGAGCCAACAAATTCTCCGTATAAGGACAACACATGGGGAGAGGAGCCGCGACAAATTTACAAAGCATCTCTACCCAATCCTAATATCACGCCATACACACAACGAAGACACCCATCAGAACCCCCATCGTCTCTGTCTACCAAGTACGGGATCCCCACCGGGCGTGCTTCCTCGGTGCCATTGTCGCCTGTACGGCCAGATACGTCGAGGAGTTTCAATCACGAGAGTAACTTATTTGGGGATGCCAGACTGCACACACCTGCTCCTGCGTTTACCACACAACCAGTCCACCAAGAAAACCAGCAGGCTTCACTGAACAAGATACGAGAAGAGCCTGGAAGGATACTACCCATAGCTAATTCCGAAAGATTCTTTGAGCCACATCCGCCGCGGGGTATGCGGGGAAAAATGCCATTCCGAGAACACATCGGGAGTCTCAATGTTCCAGGAGCTTCACTTTCTCGTGAACCGCTTAACGGACGTCAATATGTGCTGGGAGATGAAGAAAACGCACGCTCCAACGAGGTCAGGGAGAACAATCAACAAGGTCCAGCCAGCCTCGTTACGGTCGAGAATAAACCGAACAACGTAAGCTCCGAAAAGCCACCCTCCACTGAATCCCCGAGGAAACCCATACCACACGGCGTAGGGATCGACCCGAAACCAGGCTTGTCTCCTCAAGTACTCACTGATGCTGTTGGAAAAGCCGCTGAAGGCTTGCGCCGTCGGACCGCACGGCCAGGCGCGGACACAGAGGAAAATAAATCACCCCGTTCGGAAAACCTGAGCGGAGACGACCGTCGCGATCGTTTGGAGCGTGGTGCAGCTCAGCCTGTTGGCCACGCTAAACACTCAGACCGTGAGCCTTCACCAGTGGAAGTAGACAACAGCTCTGATGGGGTCGATTATCTCTGGCCGGGCCTAAAACTGATGGTTATATTCCTAGGAGGGACAGTTGCGCTTCTCGTATTGTTCAATGTTGTGTCGATGTTGACCAGTGCAGAAGCTGACCCTCGACCTCAATGGTACGGAGTGACTCACTGGAAAGAGAACATATTCCAGTTCTTCCCCACTGCACTTCTTCATCCTTTGCAGTCATTGGGGGATGCTGATGCCCAAAGACTATTTGGTCAGCTTGACGCGCACGATGCCGAACTTATTCTACTACGCAGGTTCAAGGACACACAGCAAAAGAAAATTGCTGGTATTGAGGCTGAACTGCCGTCTGTGCTTCGGGTTGAGATGGACAGGAACGGCAAGCCCAGAGTGCCGCTTGACTTCTGGTACGCGCTCAAGGATCTCATGACAGCGGACGATGACATTCTCACCCTCAAGCACGCGAACACAGCATCGCCCGAGATCTCCAAGCAGCACTGGCTTGCAGTGAGGCAGCGTTTACAAGCAGACGGCTCTCTACCATCCTCGGATAAGAAGGGGGTTGCTCGAACAGAAATTGAGTCCGCCGTGGACGAGAGGCTGGCCAGTCGCTGGAAGTCCTTCGTCCGGCAAAATGCCAACGCCATCAATGAGATTTTAGGCCACCCCACGGCCAGCAAGCTCACTGGCATGTCGGACAAAGAAATCAAGGCCGTCATCGAAAAAACGATCAAATCGGACAAGCACGACATGTTCGTCACGCGCAAGGATTTTGCGGACCTAGTAAAGAAAGAAATGGTTAGTCATGAGGCCGAGTTCCGCAGCGAACTTCGCGACATAGCCGCCCGCATAAAGGAACATAGCGCAGAACTCGCAAAGCTCCAGGAACGTACCCCCGGTGGAATGTCGCATGCCGAGATCACCGATCTCGTCCACGCTGCGGTAGCCAAAGCTAAGAGCAACGCCAAGGTAGAAGCCATGGCCAAGGCTGGCATCCGATCACAGCTCGAAGAGCTTGAGACTCAGGTCAACTTCTTCAGTCAATTTGGCGGCGCCGTCATCGACCCCACATACTCGTCGAAAGCATGGATTCCGCAAAAGAAAACCTGGAAGGGGAAATCGTGGCTTGACCAGGACGGGTACATGTCTGGGTACCGGCCCAAGAAGCCAATAGAGGCCCTGCACCCGTGGCATCAGGAAGGCGAATGCTTCTGCGCAGATGCCGGCCCGAAGGGAACGGGCGTAGGCACCAACAACATATCGGTCAATATCCCTCGTGATGTCATACCGCAATACCTCGTGGTCGAGCACATCCTCCCCGGAGCCACCCTTGACCCGGGCGCCATGCCCAGGAACATTGAAATCTGGGCCTCTTTCGATGAGGTGGATCTGCGGAAGACGGTATCCGGGTGGAGCGCGAACCAATGGCCCCAAGCCCAGGAGGAGAAGACGTTGGGCAGTGACTTTGTCAAAATTGGCCATATGGTGTACGAGAAAAGTTATACCGGGGACGGGGTGCAGGTCTTCAAGTTCAGCAACGCGCTTCTAGAGATGAAAGCGGCTTCGAGCCATGTGCACGTGCGAGCTATAGACAACTATGGCGCCGACCATACGTGCTTTTATCGGCTGAGGTTGTTTGGCAACATTCAAGAGCGAGAGGGGCTGAAACAGTAGGATGTAGGGAGGGGATCCTCTAATTTTGTATGTCATCTTAGACGCCGACTGTGGACGCGCTGGGCACGGGTCTAAATCAGAGAGAGCAAGCAGTTGGCCGGAGTTCAAGGGTTGAGGACAGGATGCATGGGTGGATGATACCATTTCTGGTGTAGATTATTCAATCGCAAAATCATTTGACGAATGGAGATAATTGAGCCATTCCGCTACTGGCATATGTGTTGGGTTATTTTTCATCTATGTCTTATAACTTGTATATTCAGACTGGAAGAGAGAAATTTACCGCCTGCATGTTCTATCGTCTAATGATGTGGCCAGCCAATGTAGGGTCCGGGTAGTACCAATGTGAGTGTAATTTTCACCGGTCTCCAAAATAGCATTCACGTGGTCCATCTACTCACCTCCCTCGCATATCTTCACGCCCTCTATCAGGACCGACAAGTGGAATTGAGAAGCGCCTTCCTTTGACAAGTCCCGACCCCCAGCGTTACCGGTCCCGTCCCAGTCTTTCCTCATCATCCTCCGTTAGTTCGTACGCTGGTCGGAAGGTATCTTGCTTCCCATCCTCCACTTTGAGCGCAGGATTAGGATATGTATCGTCGGTACCGCCAAGAGACGTGTAGCCCATGTCGTAGAGCGGGCAGTATGGAATCTCCATGGCTCTAATGAACTATGCAAGTCACATGTCAGCCACCTCGCTTTCAACCCTCAACCGTTTGCATTCCATACTCTGCAACACGCAAATCACAGACAACGAAAAAGGGCAGGGATAGGGGGAGAACGCACGCCCCAAATCTCACGGTAGTGCCAGTCAATGACGGGATGTATTCTCATAAACCGCGGCCAGTCTCGATCCGTTTCGTCGAAGAAGGTCAAGCGCGCGCCATGCGGATCCGTCCTCCGCGTGCCGACAAAGACGGCCTTGATGGTCTTCCTCTCGGCTAGGTAATCCGATAGCGCCGGCTTCATGGGCTTATTGGACACAGATAAGTCGAGGTGGTAGGCGGATGTCGATGACTCAACAAAGGCGTCGACCTCCGAAAATGGAGACAATGGGCGGATGTACAGCGCCTGGAGGGATGTTGGGAAAGCGGAGGATGACGAGGAGGCGGGAAAATGCGTTGGTAGGGAGGCGATGATCAGGAGTAGAAGGACGAGGCAGTCTTTGCCGCCGTTGTAGGAGAGAGACAGTTCTTCGGGGCTAGAGAGGGGAGAGAGGCATAGGTCAGCTTGGTCTGTTTTCTATCCAAAAAATGCACGAAAGGTAGCAGAGACGCACCGGTACCGCCGCAGGGCATCGTCAATGACATCCCTCGCGATGCGCACTTGGCTCTGGATCGCCTTGACCACCGTATCCCCATCTTCTCTGTCCAAGAAGGCGTCGACTTTGCTTTTGAGATGTACACACAGCTCGCGCATCTCGGTGGTACCATTTGTCCTGCTGATGCCGTTCAGCTGTTTGGTCGCGGCCTGTGTGTGGTCGTCGGAGAGCATATCGGAGACTTGGACCGTCATCGTTGTGGAGGCTTTCATAGGATGTCGCATTCCATGCTCTGGGGGATCTTTGATTTATATACACCTTACGTAACAAATGGCCGTTTAAAAATCGAATGTTCGCGACTACAATTAAAGAAATTGAAGAACAGACCTGTAAGACAAGGGAAAACCGGATGGGGCTGTTGGCAGACGCATTGCCGCCTTGCATGGGTGAGAGATGAGGGGTCCTCCAATACCCCTCGGCACCCTTTGGCTACGGATTAATGAGTTGCGTGCTGAGAAGATGATGGAACATGCGCATAAAACGCCACTTTCAAAGCAGGCAGCAACATGTGCATTTCGCCAAGGTTCCCAGCTGAGCGTACGATGTGCTTCCTATCAACACTGGAGTTAAAATACCCTGTGATTCAGTAATTCCTCGGCTCCGGTAACGAACCATCTTAAAAATGAGTAGACGGGATCGGGCCTGTCTCGGTGCCTGTATTAATGGGGCAGATGTCTTTCCTGGCGTGGGGCACTTATTTTACTTAAGTAAGCATACACTGGTACCTAGAGCTGGGCGGTGAACAATACAGCCCCACTTTGGTCCGGCAGAACAAAGTCCCACCCAAAATTTCCAGAATGCGCATCGCCGCCAGTCTTCAAATTGTTGTTGGTAAAATCTTGAAGGACTGATCAGCCACTACTAAATCTGGGGTGCGCATTCGGATCCCAATAAGCCCTTTTCACCATGCCTACCCGCACTTCGCTTGCGCAAACATCTGCGCCCAAGGACAAAGCCAAACAAAAGCCTAATGGGAAGGGGAAAAGCAAAGGGAATGCACCAGCAGAATCCAAGACTCTGAAGAGGAAACGGGAAAAGGACGACTTGGAAAAGCTTCAGGCTGCTGTCAACCAACTCGACCCCAAGACCTCGGCCCTGACCAAATTCTCGGAGCTGCCCCTCTCGGCGCCCACCGCATCCGGCCTCGACGCATCCCATTTCCAAAACCTGACCGACATCCAGGCTCGAGCCATCCCTCTCGCCCTCAAGGGTCAGGACATTCTGGGCGCCGCCAAGACGGGCAGCGGCAAGACCTTGGCCTTCCTTGTTCCTGTTATCGAGACCCTGTATCGGAAACAATGGACAGAACTGGATGGGCTGGGAGCCCTGATCATTGCCCCTACGCGCGAGCTAGCCGTGCAGATCTTCGAGGTCCTGCGCAAAATCGGAAGATACCACCACTTTTCGGCCGGCCTAGTGATAGGAGGCAAGAGTTTGAAGGACGAGGCCGAGAGACTCGCGCGAATGAACTTGTTGGTGTGCACGCCCGGCCGCATGCTGCAACATCTCGACCAGACGGCCGGACTCGATGTCGACAACCTTCAAATACTCGTCCTGGATGAGGCAGACCGTATCATGGACATGGGCTTCCAGTCGGCAGTGGATGCTCTCGTGGAGCACCTGCCCAAAACGAGACAGACAATGCTCTTCAGTGCCACGCAGAGCAAGAAGGTGTCCGATCTTGCCCGACTTAGCATGAAGGATCCCGAATACGTCGCTGTCCACGAAGCAGCCACCCCGAGCACCCTGACCCAGCACTACCTCGTCACGCCGCTGGCCGAGAAAATGGACACCCTGTATGGGTTCATAAAGGCAAACCTCAAGAGCAAAATCATCATCTTCTTATCGTCTGGAAAGCAGGTCCGTTTTATCTATGAAAGCTGTACGTATCACTTCCCTCGCCTTTGCCCTGTCCAGCAATAACTGGGCTCTGCTGATTTCCCTGAAGTTCGTCATCTCCAGCCCGGTATCCCTCTATTGCATTTGCACGGTCGGCAAAAACAACTTGCACGCATGGAAATCACCAGGCGGTTCACGTCGGCGCAGCATTCGTGTCTCTTCGCAACGGATGTCGTAGCTCGCGGAGTCGACTTCCCTGCTGTGGACTGGGTCGTCCAGGGAGATTGCCCCGAGGACGTCGACACTTACATACACAGAATTGGTCGTACCGCTCGCTACGAACGCGTGGGCCGCGCAGTCTTGCTCCTGGACCCCAGCGAAGAAGAAGGCATGGTGCAACGATTGCAACAGCGGAAAATCCCCATCCAGAGGGTCAATGTGAAGGAGAAGAAGAAGCAGTCCATAAAGAGCAAGATTCAAGATATGTGTTTTCACCAGCCGGACCTCAAGTATCTGGGCCAAAAGGCCTTCATCTCTTATACCCGGTCGATTGGCCTGCAGAAAAATAAGGACGTCTTCAAGCTGGATGCACTAGATCTGCAAGCATATTCGGAAAGCCTGGGTCTTCCTGAAATGCCGCCGGTGCGGTTCCAGAAGGCCGAGGATATCAGGAGGCTGAAGAACCGGTCGCGGGCTGAGCTGTCGAGCGGATCAGAAGGCGAGGGCGAAGGAGGTGAGGGCAAGAAGCGCACGAAGGATGAAGTACGGACAAAGTACGACCGCATGTTTGAACGGACCAACCAAGATGTACTGTCGAGTCATTACTCGAACCTGCGCCCCGCAGCAGAGGATGATAATGACTTCTTTGCCGTCAAGCGTGTGCTGAACGAAGACGAGTTTGACCCCGAATCCAAGTCAGGAGGTGGGCCGAGGGTGGTCCCCATATATGGTGGCCAGGAACTCGTAATCGATTCCAAGAGACGCGAGAAGCTTCTCACGTCTAAAAAGAAGATGTTGAAGTACAAGGGCCAGAGCACCAAGATTGTGTTCGATGACGACGGAGAGGCGCACTCTCTTTACGAACTGCAGGGCGAAGAGGACTTCAGGCAGGCAGGAGACGCTGAGACGCAACGGCAGAGGTTTGTGCAGGCCGAAGCTGACCGGGTGCGCGAGGCAGATCTGGAGGACAAGCAGTTGGCCAAGGAGAAGAGGCAGGAGAAGAAGGTGAAGCGCAAGGAGAGAGAGCGCATGGAGGCCAATGATGAGATGGATGCGGCAGAACAGCCGACACTCGGTGGCTCTGGCGATGCGGATGCTGCTCTTGATTTCTTGAGGTCACTACCGATTGCTGGTGAAGAAGCGCAGCAAGACGAGGACGATGAGAGGCCACGGAAGAAGCCGAAGAAGTGGTTCGAAGATGATTCGGATGACGAGAAGCCCAAGAGCAAGAAGGGCAGGAAGGTGATTGAGGTGACGGATGCGCCGGATACGTTAGAAGACTTGGAAGCATTGGCCACGGGCTTACTTGACGACTGATCAGTTACGTACAATGATATCCTATTATTCACTGTTATTGATGGGCCAGGAGGAATGCTTTGCAATGACTGTTGAATAATTTTCTCGATCGATCGATACTTGTTTCTTCATTGACATCAAAGTTTGACAACATTGAATGGCGCAAACACGATAATGCCGCACATAGCTGAATATGAGATTATCAATTTTGTGCAGAGATATCCAACAACCGTAGCACCATGGACCCGGGACCCTGGCCTGCTATCAATAAATGTATGGCTCAGCAGATAGTAGGAGGTTCGACAGGAACGACCCTGTTGAATGTATCGCCTTCCTGAAGTGATATGGCTAGATGTATTGGCACTTTACAACATTCTATGGAATTGTACGACCGGTGGCCTCACAGACGCAAACGCAAATGTAAACAGAGGCATCGTCGAGGGCTTGGCCCTTTCACAACTCTGCCTCGTGTTAAAGCAGTTTCTGCGCATCGCCCAACCGTTGCTCTATCGCGCTTTGCCAAGACCGATCCCCAATGGCAAGATTACTTCAAACCCTGAGCAGCTATCAATAGCTGGCTGACACGTACGAAGTCTGAACCTGAATGCCTGGCCCAAAGCCAGGAGCAAGCATCTGGAGCTCCAGCTACGTCATCAATTTCGGAATACTCAGACCGCCTTGAATTCAGCCAGACAATGTCTCCACCAGTCGGCTTGGTTTTTCCAATATGTTGACTATGCCCTGCATCATCAATCTGACGATGGGAAGCACTTTTCCTGGCGCTGTATGGTAACCTCGAGACACTTGAGATGGTGTCGCAACGACCACACAAATTGATACCACCCCCGGTTCGTGGTGCCAGTATCGACGATGCTGCTGCTCCACTGCCCTGCCTGAAAGAATTGGTCTTACTGCGATTGTACAGTGCTAAGAACTCAATACGCTACATAAACATGTTGCTCCTCCACCCGGATCTGGAGACGCTGCGTGCTCATGCAGTCAGCTGGCGCTCTTGTGACGTCGAATAGGTACACTTGACCCAGGGCCCATGCAGCCTGCGGAACATACATCTCACGCACTGTTTGATAGAAAATGCGGGGCTATCGAACTCTTTTCATGGTGTCCAAGACTGTAGACGCTGCGAATCCAGTGACACATTTAAACCTGGATCTCGGTCAGATTGGTGATTCTCTGAGGAACCGTCAACAAAACCTCAAAATTTTGGAGCTGAACCCACGGATGAGTTGAATTACACTGACATCACTAATTGTCAACCTTGATCGGCTCCCGTCAAGAGCTCAACATCCTAAAGCATCTCAGTCTGCACCAGCACATGCTTGTAAGGGAGAGGGGGAGAAGGGGGGGTTGGGGTTGCAACACCACAACACTCCCGACAATGCGAGAAAACGCCAGCAACTCCAGTGCTCTCCAAATTCTTGCCTGGATTGTTAGAGGCTTTGGTTTATTCTATCCCGAGCCAGCAGGCCCATTAATTTCTATTGAAGTTTAGAACAATGAACTTGAAATAACGTTTCGAAACCTTCACAGCCTAGTAGTCTTGGATTCCCGACGGACTACACTTCAAGAAATATGAGTTGAGCTCTCGATATGCGCACCATCGTTAACGAAAGGTTTCGATGGGCTTGGCTGGGCGGTAACTATGGATGATGGTGTGACGTTGAGGAGAACTTGGCAGCCTGAACAGAGGCTGTCAGGTTAAGATCCGGCACTTTCCCGCCTAGCACGGAATATGACCTGGGGATAAAGGATAGATTGCTGTTCACGTATTGCAAGGGGGTGTGAATACTCAAATAGTAAACTCCCAGGTGACGTAGAGTAAATATAAGGGGCATAACGAAGAGTCTGGAGTGGAAACACTAGATTTATCAGAGTGTGTTACTACTTATATCTCGTATCATGCCGCATACTGACAAAGGTGCTGAAAAAGTGTAGCAAATGATATATTCCTGACATATAATTCGTCGAAAATGAAAGAAACCATTTGTACGAAATTTGTTACAATGAGCTACCACTAGATATTTTATTTACCTAAAGAAACATGTTCTACCACCTGCTTCAACCAAACCCAAATTGCGACGTGGCTTGGAACATTGGGCCATCCCATTATCAATCACAAATACTCACTTCTCGACGTTTCACAACGTTTTTCTGCACCTTGGGCGTTGCGAAGTCGGCGGATGTTCTGCGTCAGTATCCCAGCGACGATGAAACCAAGGACACACAACAATTCGGGAACAAAACTGAGCACCACCTGCACAGCCAAGTTTCCCGTGACCGGGTTGAGTGTTGGGGACTGTGTGGCCATAGCGATGAGAGAGTAGATGACGCGGATGCCAAGGAAGAAAAGGGCGGCCAGTACCGAGCGTAGGAGCTGTGAGACATGACATGTTCAGTATTTCGCGTCGAATAGCCACTGTATTGAAATAAAAAAATGGGTTCAACTTACCGTAGTCCCCGTATCATACGTAACAGTGTTCCTTTCACGCTGTGACGGCAGAAGCGAGGCGAAAGCCCAGCCGCTCAAGAACAGCCAGGAAACCGTCAGGATGGCGATACCGACTTGGGCTAACTTGAGAGCGTTGGACTTGGGATGCGGAGACGCAAGGGAGGATGCGCCGGCGGCGACGATGGCAACGCCACCTGCGACTATGAAATGGAAGAAGAGGGAAATGGTTCATTCCAGGTCTTTGCGCAGGTGGGGGTTGCGGAGGACACAGCTAGAGTATTGGTCAGCGACTATTCGAACATACTACGATATTACGGAGAAAGACGACTCGGGCAAGGGGTAATATAGGGAGGGGGTTTGAAAAGGAGGAAGGGGGGCAAGAGGAAAAGATGGGAAAGGCTCACGCGTCATGTAGGACACCAGCAGCGGCGAGTATCAGTGGTGAGATCCCAACGTTGACGAGGACAGACGATGTAGCGGCATGTGACGGGGAAGTTGCCAGGGCGCCGCCCATCAGACGGAGGGTGCAGAAGGCAAGGAGAAAACCCAGCCTAGAATCGAGGGCCAGTGTCGGACCAATACGAAGATGATGGGGATTGCGAGGATGGCGTATATGGCTAGGCTGGCGGTGGAGAGGGAGTCGACGTTGGTGGCCATTATAATTCGTACGGTGGAGGGGGCTCGTCGTGGACGTTTTGTCTATGTGGTTCTGGCTGTCGATGGGGTTGGGGTTGGTTATAGTTGTGGCTGGAATGGGATAGAGTCTGACGATATTCAAACGTGTCGTCGCCGTCGCCGTCGTCGAAGAGGTCTCTGCCGCAGCTATTTTGGGACTTCTGGTTTAGGATGACGAGGGCGACGGTGTATATAAGAGCGCGGAGGATTCTAGCCATCGGACAGGGCTTCGATTTTCTGGATGGATGGAATATTACAAGAAGAAACAAGAACGATGAAAGCTGATCAGTTGAATGACAGGAAAAAGGAGGGTTATATATGTATTACTGGCTGACAATCTCCAGGCGCCGAAGGGAGTCTACGAGGGGCTTGCCTTGAAGTTTGCTATTTTAAACCAAGCTATAACCTAGGATTGTCTCGTTGTGTATAGGCAGTGCGAACCAACACAACGGACAAGCTGCATGCTCATATCATTCCAACTCGGTTGGGTACTCTTCTGGTATGTTTCTGGCACTTTCATGATGGACAACCACATGAATCCCAGACCCAATTGGGCGCGAATGCAGGTGATTGGTGGCTATGCCGGCGCTAGTGAGCGAGAGCGAGCATCCCGGTTGAGCGTCAGTTCCTGGGATCATTCATCCAGATGGTCTCCATCTGACCTGTGCCGCCGTACCTCGTTATCTTTACTTACTTGCCAAGCAACGATCCTGCTTACCTCATCCCGTTTAGTAGGCAGGACGTTCGATTTGCGTTATGCGTGAGCATTTTGTCGCCTTCGCCACTTCTTCGCTGTACAGGTAGGGTGCTCCAAGACTACGTAACTTGTCAGCCTGTTATTTCCCTATTATTTCCATGTCGGGGCACAGGGGTGATCTGTCTAAGGCCATGACCCGGTCATCACGAAGTCGACCCCGGCTTGGGCACACTAAGTCCAGGACGGGCTGCATTCGTTGTCGAGGGCGTCGTGTCAAATGTGACCAAACCAGGCCAGTTTGTGTAAGTCCGTCTAAAATTTTTAGATGATGGTGCGCTGATCAAGCCCACTCCCAAATTGCAGCAGAATTGTCAGCGCCACAACGTAGAGTGCTTTTATGACCGGGTAGCAGAAACCGTACCGTCGCCGGGTGCGCCCCAACACGGTCAAGTTGCACTTACAACGACCCGTTCAGAGGTTTCCCCTTCTTCTACGTCCATATCCCCCATGTCAATACCGGTGCTACTTTGCAGTGAGACGAAAACACATCCTCTTCATGCATCGTCGCCCTCATCGTTACCATCATTATCGTTTGGCCCTAGCCAGCGCATGCAACTTCTCCTTTTCCACAATTTTGCCGTCAATACTAGCTCCACCCTGGCCGGGACTCACCTCCCGGACCTGTTACGCTGCTGGTCCGTTCAAGTTCCTCCGCTAGCCCTCGATGATGAACCCCTATTTAACGCCCTGCTCGCACTCTTGGCACTGCACCTCATCACCACCACCACCACCACCACTACCGCCCCAGATCCGGAATTGCTCTCTTGTCGGACTACCTGGCATGGCATCGCCCTGCAGCAGCATCGGGAGTCTCTGCAGTGTGGGCCTGAGACCATGAGCCCCAAGACGGCCAACGCCGCGTTCTTCACCTCCATCCTCCTCATGGTCTATGCACTGTGCACCCTCAAAGACCGGCCATTGACTCCATACGAACCGCCGTTATACTGGCTGCGCATGGGCCAGGGGGTGCGGTCCGTCATGGCCGCTGCTCTGGAGCAGGTGGCACAGGATCCTGGTGCTGCTATCTGGACCATCATCAGCGCATCATCAGATCTGTACCACCAGGAGCCTGGGTCGCCTCGTGAAGGCAGTATGCCGACTTTCCACTACCTCTTGCCTTTGACCACCCCCAGCCAAGACGCAGCAACATTGGATGCCACGGAAAATTTGACGCAAAAAACCATCGACGTCTACAACAAAACCATCCGCCACCTCGGCCGCACGCAAGCCGCCATCGAGTCTGGGGAGCATGCCATGGGAGTGGCCCGCCGCATCACTTCGTTCCCCAGCCTCATTCCGCCAGAGTTCCTAGAATTTCTTTAGGAGCAACGACCCAGGGCCATGCTCATAATGGTGCGTTTGTTTGCCCTGAGTCTGCCGTGTAAGCACTTGTGGTGGTTTGGGACTGCATTGGGTCGGGAGATACGGGCGATTCGCGACAATCTGGCGCCCGAGTGGCAAGGGTTGATGGACTGGCCGTTACAAGCGCTTCAACGGAGTGAGGAGTAGACTAAATGAAGGGCAATGATGGTAATTTGGGTGGGTTGTGGTCTTTGCACACTTATTCGCGAGCACTTGACTCTGCTCGAATTGTCAAAATTTGGCGTGTAGCTGAAAGTGCCTAGTCGCTATTGTATCGATTATCGCAATACGATTTGTTCTTGACATTCTTGCTACGGCTCTTCAGCCAAATGTGACAGCCATATGTGATTGGAAGCAGATATAAATGGAGTTGCTAGCCTGATCCTCAACATAAGAAAAAGGGGCGAGGAGGGATGGGTGACGGCTGTCTGGCACAACGGATGGTCACCAGCGAAACTGTTTAAGAGTGAAACTGGATCAGCAAGGCATAGAAACAAAGCATCATATTTTACAAAAAAGATAGGACAAGGTACAGTTCATAGCGACCTAGGCCGGGTTCAGGCCGTAAGCGCCGACTCAAGCGGCAGCGGCCAGTGAATGTTGCTATGCTGATGCGGACCAAAACGGGTCGGCTTCTGGCATGATATGGGAGAACTGTAAATACTATAGCCTTTCACTCATGTGGACACTTCAAGATCTTGCAACGATTGCGTTTTCCCCAAACACGTGAGTTGGTAACGCGTGAACAAAGTCTGCCAACCTGCTAGAGAAACCGCCGACACAACTCCGTCTTCCCCCATTACCTTAATCAACAAGTGGTGGCTTCCACTTCACGAAAGGAGATGTCCCTGTGCATCGATGCAAAACCCGAAAAAGAGTCACAAAGTAACCACGACACTGTGTATTACTTCTTCCACGGCACTTCCACCCTGTACTCCATGCTACGATACATGCTCGGTATTGAATCTGAGCACAAACTCCGCTAACCCGTCATTCATGACTACACGCCTTTCCTCTGGGTGTGGTACCGCGGGCTCATGCCAGTAGCCAAATGCGTATGAGACACCATGTATGATTTGCCTTACGGATGGGGAGGAGCCTCGACGGGCCGGTGGGAGAACATATGTGTATGCGGACATACCACGGTCCCTAAACGGACGGTGACCTGCCAGAATGCTTCCAGCGATGCGAGTGTTACTGACGGGTAAGTTAGTCTTACACCCAGCTGGAGACAGGTTTACGAACAATAATAATAACCACAGCGACAAGAACCTGGACTGGATGATGTATAGGCAAATATCAATATAAACGCTGGCTGAAAAGCTATAACTCGACAAGAAGACGCAGATTTCACTGACAAAAACCGCCGGTAGCTCTGTATAAGGTAGTCAACCAGCAGCGTCTATTTATGTGAGATTGGAGATAACGCGTGCAGACAATACGGATTGTCCATATATCTCAGAACGATCAATAACAAAACTCCTTCGCAACTGTATTTGAAGACAAGAGTGAACTACCCTGCAAAGATATTAAAATGCATCTTGACCTCCCCGACGGCCTTGCCGGTACTCTTCACGGCAGTTGCAATTAGTGGAACACGGTTATGCCCAATCGACGCGGCTCGTTCAAAATCCCGACCATGCCCTGATTGCAAGGATGTCAAGCTGGCAGATCTTTCTATTCCCGCAGAAACTGGCGGGTTGGGTTCAACTATACCTTTTACCACGTGCAGACCAGAGCGTAGTCAATAATGGTGTTTCCGTTTCCGTGGGGAGCTCAATGATTCTTTGTTCAAAATGGTTTCTACGACGTTGATAGACTGGTCCGTGCCCGTGACACCTAAAGTTGGTGCCTTGCGCTAAGCCCCAGCCTTTGACCTCAATTCGAACTCCAGAAGCTTTGCGACAACAGCATTCTCCATCCATCAATCCACATCGACACGGGTGGGCATCATCGTCTGCCAAGGCCTACCAGCACACACTGCAGGGTCAGTTCACAGGTACTCGCACTCGCGGGTAGCCGCGCACGCCATGCTCATGTTCTATCGCGAGGTGTTTCCAGTCAGACGCGCCTAAGGTCATACCTAACTACCGGCTTCTACTCATCGCCCACGGCCGATGAAAGACCCGGGGCCTTGGGAAGGGGCTTCTTCTTCCTGTCAGGAAAACAAGCCGCCTGTCAGCTCTACTCGACCCTCGACGGCGGCCATCAGCCGAGGCGTGCGGGGACTTCTCTCAGTGCTCTCGGCCATACACCTTTCGAGTTCTCGCAAGAAACTTGCCTGCATCGTAGAGGGACCAAAGAGCGGCCAAGCTTTCAATCCCGTGCTCCGTATCTCCCTTTCTTGTGTCGTCGGTGCTAATATTTTGCAGCCCAAGGCCCGCCATGGTCGCCTCGTCGCAAGCCACGACCGACTCGGATCCGGATGCGAGTCCCACTTCTCCCGATCCCCTCACTGCCACCAACACGACGTTGGCCCGGCCAAACAAGCATACGGGGCTGAAAGCGCTCGTGTCGTGGCTGGACAACGGCCAGACCCGTAGCCTTGATGGCAATGGCAAGAGCCACCTTGAGTTTGACCTTCACTACAATGCGTCGGACAAGACGGCCTATTTCAAGCTACGAGCCGAGGTCATGCTAAAGGACTCTGGTAATTCCAAGCCCACCCCTTTGTATGTCTTCATCGCCCCGGAACGCATCCACGAGCTATCCCTGAGCAACAATCATGGAATGGCCCTTGGCCCTGACACCGTCTGCCTACGGTTTGAGCTGCGACGTCCAGCTGCACTCATCGGGCCCTGCCAGAGTCCGGTATGGAAGAACAGGGCCTCTGGCGACGTGGGCGACTGTTTACGGTCTTTGGCCTGCGCAAATAGATTCGAAGTTTGCTGCCAGTTGCCGCGCCGGGAGATGCCACAACTTCAACTGGCGTCCATGTGCAATGCCGCATCCAGCTACCAGTTGACGTCTACGCCACGTCAGGGTCATCTTGCCACTCTGTATCGGGGCAAGGGCGGCAAGCTGATCAACGGCAGCCATGCTCACCCTGACGTGGTTGATAGGAGCAATATTGCTCCCAATGACAGCCCGCCTGCATATGATGAGACCGAACCCGGCCCGCCCATGCCCTCTGCACTACCGGGTAAACACCATAAGCAGACCCCCCCTCTCTACCCTTCGATTAGCTTGCTGATGAGTGTTGTAGATAATACATCGAAGAAGCGTCGCCGAGGAAGCTCGGATACGGGACTCCAGAAGATGCTTTATGATCCAAAGGACGTCTTGGAGGCCGTCATGGCCCAGTTCAATGCTAGAGTGGAAGAAATGGAAGCCACAATAGCCGAATTGAAGGCCAGTCGAGCCGAGATCGCGGCCGAGCTGGGGAGGGTCAAGGTCGAGCTCCAGGTGACCAAAAAAGAGCTCAGCGACGTTAAGGTCGCGCTTCCCGAATTGGCGAACGAGCTGAGAGAGCAATACGGCGGTTTGGAAAAGCAGGTGGATGAGTTGAGCGACACTGTAGATCAGAGAGTAGATGATAGGGTAGATGAGAAATGCGACGACATGAAAGCGGACATCTATGAATACATTGATGAGGAGATACGGGGGGACCAAGTCAGGGAAACGATACAAAATATTATAGCAAATGGTCGTGTATCTTTCGACTGCCAGATTTAGTATATACCCGGTTTCAGTACACTTGCCCTCCTTACATTTCGTTACTGTATCCCTTACTTGTCATGCAAGAGGATAGGACAGTAATCTGCAGCAGCTAACTGTCTCATGACAAATGCATCATTCCCTTATGTTACCATACCTGATAATTATCACCGATCCGGAACCATCGAGCTATGGAAGCATTCTATCATTGGTTGCATTCCGGTGTGTTCCTCCCACACTCTTATTTCTCTTAACTATCGTTTCCCATTTATTTACTTTCTGAACATAGAAGAGGCGTGCTGATTCCACACCATGGCTACCCTGAAAAACTATGGAAAAGTTCCGGGGCGGTGTCCAACCTTACACAGACGCCCGCCGAGAACAATTTGGATCTTTTCAGGGCTATGCTGCCGATGACTCGTTTACATGCGGAGCTTTTGCTCTTAAATGCATGCTGAGCTTCTGAGATGAGGTAAGACGTGGGAACTGTTACCAACTGGAGGTATTTTCAAGTTATGGGTCCGGTGAGAACGACGTCATTTCCCGTATTTATAGTGCTTCAAACAGGATTTTCCACATTGACAACTTGGGAATCATTGATATATGGACCTAACCAGACGAGTGGCAACTGTATGACAGGACAAGCGGCGCACCGGGGGAGAGAGGGAATGTATAGGACAGCCTAATATTTCAGTGTAGTCAATTAGTATATCGTGTTATCCCGCGTCATTAACCTCCGGTGCGCCATTTGTCTTGTCACCCACTTGAGTGGGCTCATTCCTTCTCCATGAACCCCGATATCGATGCTTGAGGACAGCTGTATGCATTGTAAGACCGAGTATTTCATAGAACCACATCACAACACCTACATAATTCCACGGGTGACAGGACAAACGACACTGCAGGTCTTTACCAGACTAGAATACCGTGCTATCACCTTACATTAGTGACCATTCCCCCTTCGCCTTCGCCCATGGTCTGCAGTTTGTTCTACCATCCGATTTTATCACGACCCCTACTAAGAGGGCTTAGTTTGCGCTACATCAAGACTTCCAACTGTGGACTTTGGTGCCTAAAAGTGCTCAGCGCTGTCAAGCTGCTGGAGAATGACAGCTAAAAGTAGAACTGGAACAGCGGCTAGCCGAAGCCCGGAAAGTATTGTGTATGCAACGTTAGTTGCAGCACGGTGCAGGATGAGGCTCTTATGCACACGAAAACATGACGGACTGACTGATGTATGACGTACGGTTGTTCGAAATGTTGGATACAAATGAAATGAATGTCGCCATGTTCTTATCCCATCGTCCGTGAAAAACATTGGCCTTTGCCTCTTACTCACAACTTCCATCTCCCGCCTGAACGCCCGGTCAAGTCCTTGAGATACTCCATAAAATCAAAAAACCGCTATGATCCAAGATAGTTTGTCTTCTCAGCATTAACAAGCGCCCGTCAGCCTCACTAATGACCTGTGGCAGAATACAAACCTACCGGCCCAGTGATCGACCCAGACGTCGTGGCCACGCAAGAGAACTTGACATTTAAGTGGATCAAGTACGTCATCTATATGCTGGACGACGATAAGAGGGAGAAGATTCTGGTTGACAGAACGTCTTATAATCCGGGTTGGGACACCTTCCTGAAAGCCTTGCCCACCAACAACTGTCGATAGGCATTATATGACCTCGAGTACGAGAGCAAAAATGGCGTCAAAGGGTACGCACTGCCCCTGGCCTCCTGTATCAGGGACGAACATGGAGCTCACTACTGTTTCAGGACGAAAACCAGATTTTTCAGCTGGAACCTCGTGGATGCCAGCGCAAAGGTAGGATAGAATTCTGGTGTCAACAGGTAATTTTTATTCTAACAAGATACGTGGCAGAATAAATCGATGTAATCGTAGAAAGCCAACCTCGCGAGCATACTACCAGAGGTGGCCACTGAGATCCCAGCCTCGAACCTTCCTGAACTGACATATGAGTCCATGTTAGAGAAGGTGAAGCAGCTATGAATCTTGGAAGAGGTTCGACGTCATATATTTAGTCAATTCATTATAAGTGCGAGGCTGGAAGCGATGAGCTGGGAGCCTCGGTAATCTTTATAAACCGACAGTTTGTGCAAGGCAAGATTTCAAGGTTTCAACCAGGTAATAAATTTGCAACCGAAGAATCAAACCCGCGCCGTTCTACTCCGTTTTTATCCCGCAGCTGCTAATGGCCCTATCAGTACAATTCGTCCACCCGCGATCGTTATAATCAACCCATGTGGTTGATGAAAGCAAATTAGGTCTGACATAAGCTGAGCGGCAATAATCAAGCGAACGACAACTGTAATGTGTTTGTCTGGTTTTGAACTCTGCAGTTCTCCCCTGCGGACGTCTTCACGGCTTGTACGGTACTAGCGACTTTTCAAACTCCGCTTGCGACGGCGGAACAACTTTTGTCAGTCCAGATGCGAGAAAGCCCAAAGATACATGGCAAAGCTTGTACATGTTGAGGGGAAGGGCGAAATTTGAGATGAAGTTATATTAGGTTTCGTCTAAGAACGAAGGGTATGTACGGAACTCTGCGTTTCCCTCCACACCGATGAATCCTCTAGATAATTATTTTCTACGTACAGAACGACTTGCTAGAAGTTATGGCCCCCATACCTAATTTTCCACCCTTTTCTAGACTTAACATTAAACCTCAAATGAAATAGTATGCAGCTAAATTAAATGGCATTATAAAGATAACGTGAATGTACACCGAGCTGGCCATGGCACCGAGCTGGCCACTTTCATGCGCCAACGCGACCGGCCAACTTAATATTGGATTTTCTCAACAACCAATTATGGCAAAGTCATACAACGAAGCAGACTTAATGCTAGCCCTTCAAGCTCTCAAAAATGACCAAAAACTTAGTCTCCAACAAGCGGCAAAAACGTACCAAGTCCCCCGAAGCACCCTCCAAACGCGTAAAAACGCGCCCGAGGCGCTGTGGTATTCGCAACGGGACTGGGCATAATGCGCGAACTTGTAAGATCGCATTGCAATCTTCTGGAGAGGAAGATTCAGAGTAGTTTCAATTGATTTACGGCGTTGTGGTTTTACTATCGTAAAATTTCTATGCGAGGTTATGTAAGGGTGGCCAGCTCGGTGTACATTCACGTTATTTCTAAGCCCTATAATCTTCGTGTATAACTTAGTATGTTTAAGACAGTAAAGGCTTATAGAGCTACTTTCACAGTCTACTGCCTTATAATGTAATTTATCACCAGGTCGCGCACTTTTTAGACTTTTCCAACCCTTTGACTGACACATATTTCCTCTATAACAACACTTGGTGACTTTATTGTTGGCTTATAGTAGGGGCCCACATTTGTCCCTTGGTCCCCACAGCTATGGCAACTATAATTCAACCAACATCACCAATCAAGTCTCCAAATTGGTATGGCTTGGCAATCAAAATCCAGAGATTTGGTGGGTTGTGATTTCTCATCCACGCCAACCCTGGCCAACCAGGTTGACTTTGCTTCAACGTTGTCCTCTGAGCTGTCTCGCTATACATATCAATTCCCAAGATCGATTCTAGATCTCGAGCTAATTAACCGGGCTTATGTGATTGTAGCTCTCAGAAAACCCGTTCCTATGTCAGTGAAATACGGCCCCATGCTGCAGAGGTCGATGTACTCAAATTGGGTGTGGAAATATCTAGTCCTGCACCCCCGAGTTTTCCAACTATAATTGAAAGCTTTCTGTGTTTTGGAAAGGCTGTACATGTCTTAAATCGGTCCCTGTCATCTCGGATATCGGATTTTGCTCAGCGGGCAGCACTGGATACTGATGGTGGGATGAAACGTACAGTTGACGCTTGTATAACTTGCCAGCAAAATGCCACAGCTGCAATCAAAAGCAGGACGCCCCTCTTCTAAGCTGGCGCATTATATCCTGTTTGAAAGACCCCCAGTGCTGCCATCCAAATAGTTGTTGACGGCATTGGTAGTACGTGAAGCTGGGAAGGTACCGCCTGACGATATACAAAGGCCTCGCACCTGACCCAATTGAGCAGATAAGAGCAAAAGAAAGAAAATTCAAATACGACTTCCTTTTTGCTTGAGCCTATCAATATCGTGAGAATGACCATTGTGGGATGGATTCCTTTAACACAAGCCGCAGAGGTAATGGTACTGAGCAGGGACGAGAACGCGGTTGGAGCAAAGATTGATGGACATACTCCGATACGTCGTCGTTATTTGTCGTGAGAGGGGACAATCAATGAGGCCGGAGCATCGACAAGTTGACGAAAAAATACTAAAGTTCCAGTTATGATCGCTATGGTTAAGTCATCCCTCGCCTGGATAGGGTAACCAACATAAATAGCCAAGTCGGCTGGTGTAGTTGGTCACTTCGCTGGTAGATAAGTCCCGATTTGAGCCTCGCCCACTTGGGTCGGTGACGAGTCGCGGGTTCGAATCCCGCAGCTGACACACAAGGGGGTTTAGTCAACCCTTATGGCGCGCTGCCCACCTTGTTGACTTCGCCTACCTAGCGATAATAGGGAGATTGGTGCAGTTTAGGATTACGAGCATCCTAGCCAGTCGACCGTCAAGCACTACGTCGGCGGAATATAACTCGACAGCCGGTCCAGAATTCGAATCGTTAATCCGGCCCCTTATCGGACCTCGCCTATCCGATAACGCTCGTCGGCGAACCCGTCCCCTCACGATAGAAGGCGCGCAGCACGCCCTCTCGCCGCGATTCTTGCGAGCGTCTAGACCACGTTACGGTCTATCCACTTGAGCGTATGGTTGAGATGTATACGCTCGACGAGAACCCCAATTAGCAGATACTACGACTTGTCGCGACAAAAAATAGTCGAGCATCTTCTGCACATCAGCAGCATCCCACCCCTGAGGACGAATTTAAGTGCCACATTACCACACTTATCGGTAGTTCAGGCAGGGGTTGTAGCACAGACTTAGGGAGGGACAGGAGGTTTAGTAGTCGTTTGGCTACAAGTTTACCTGTATAACCGCCCGACGCGGCTTAAGGGCCCGCTATATCATCTATAGCCCCTTAAGGGAGTACTTGTAGAGGTACCGAGGGTTAACACCTACGGCGTATTTAATATTATTTTTTTAAATAGCCAATCAAAGTACAGCGTTGAGCGTGACCCAGGTGTTGTGGCAATTACTAGTACTACTCAAATTATCTCCAGAGCCAGCGACGCACAAGATCAGCCAGCCTAGCCACGAGCAGACGAAAGTATATGACATTGGCACTCACTATTCAGAATTGGAGATTTCAGTCTTCAGTAACTCAATGGCAAGGCCGACACTCTCGTTAATATTGAGGTAGAATCCACTATCATCTGCGGTGTCACCTACAGTGGACTCAATGGCATCCAAGGCAGTGTCGGGAATGTTCGCTGCCTTTTACAGCTGGCTCGAATGACTCAACGAAGCTGTGGCAAGCCTACGCTGCAGTTGAGACCCGATCATAAACCCAACGCATCAATACCCAAGATAGGAGTCAAAAAGATGTACGCCGAGGGCCTCGATGAACAGATCACGCACAAGCTCTCGTAGATCGTCTTCCCGCCTGCACATGTGTTCCCAGGAGATTTATACGAAGGCCAAAAAATGATGTTTTTTTCTTTTTCTATGATGGTTACTTCTGGTTTGAGGCGGGGTTTTGTAGCCCTGTACTTGGCCGTACGTTCCCATCTCGAGGTTTTCCTTTTGATGTTTCTGAATAGCATCGCCGATGAATTCAATCCAAAATCCACCGTATATGTACAGCAACGGCAGCCGTATGGCCCTTCGTGTTTGGGTGAACACCGTATAACTAGGAGCCACCACCTGGACTCCCTCGAGGATAGTGTCTAACTGAATTATTTATTACATAGCTAATAAAGTGGCAGTGTGATATTAACGCCATCTGTTAACCATGATGGGAGCAAAAATTCTTTTAACCTCCTCTCTCCGCTCTGTTTGAGCTGCAGGAGCCACTTTAATCATCATGCTAAGCTAGATTTCCTGGTTATAATGCTTCCTATACGCTACCTCTACTCAGTCAAGCAGGCTAAAGGTATGGCCTTTAGCTCTTGGCGACTTTAACTTCAGGAATGAATTACAACTCGATTCAATGCCACTGCTATTACCCATGTATGTATGCTTCAAGGACTGACATTTCTAATCCATCTTAGAGCCCGAAAAGTTGCTGTTCCGCTACAAGTGTCTTGGTTGTACGGGCGGCCGGTACACGACGTTGGGACCCTATCCTGAGTTCTTGCATGATAGGTCGACGGTAAGGCTAAACTGTGTCTTGGCCCCTACCGTGGTGGTAAAGACCAACATATAGGCCGAATTCCAGAGGCATGGAGAGGCTGAGGTCCAAGGCTTCGCAGTGGAAAGGAAACAGTTGTTGAAGCAGAAGTTAATATGTCACCTCAAATAAAAGGGGTAATCACGACATATGACATTTATTTCATCCTTTTATGCTATGCTCAGTGTCATATCCATGCTTGCTTATCCGCTATCCTGTTTACATCGCGACACAATTCCATCATCCTACGATGCCTCTCCGAGACTTCTTCCGCGAAACGACTGGTAACCTGGGCGATGGGCGATGCCTGCCCATAATCTTCCGAACCACCACCAGGAGACACCAGGTCGAAATCTCGATAGAGTCCGGTGAATCCAAACGCATCCATTTCAAAGGCTTGCTTGGCCTTTCCCTCTTCGTCTCCGCTTTCCTCCAGCTCTTGCGTGTTTGATCGCCTTCCAAGATCAAAGTAACTCGTAGGATCCGCAAGAGGTGTGCTGCTCACAGGTCTGCACTTCTGGATGTACCGCTGTAGATGCTTGATGATCAGTGTCAATTGATGCACTTCTGTCGCAACGTTCAGATCCGCCGGGGTGACATAATCCCTGGACTTAAGCGTTTCCAGTATGGTATTGTAGTACTCAGTGAGGCAAAGATAACAAGTCATGAACACGGAGGTTGTCAGACCCCATGACCAACCATGTCCGCCAGTTTCTGTCGCAGGGCGTGATGCGGTGCGGCAGTCATCTAGATCTTCGAGAATATTGGTGAGATCTTTCGTGTAGATGGAAGCGTTGCTGATCTTGGCCGAGACATTGGAATCGGTGCCGGACGAGGACGGAGGATCCAAGCTTGCCGAACAAAGCTGGTACTGGAGATCCAAAAGTCGCTGGGTTGGCGTTTGGCCAGTCTGTGGTTGGGATGAGAACGGGCCGCCTGCCTCTGCGGATGTCTCTTCCGGATGTGGTTCCTTGTTTGATACTTCCCCAGTTAAATATGGCCAGTCGCCCTCCTTGGCCGTCTGTGCAGTGTCACAGAGCCGTAGTGAACCTTGGCGATATTTGGCTTTGATATCTTCCATGGCCGTCATCTTCGGGAGTTCACAGGTGGATTTGGATGATATTGCAGAGGGTGGTACAGCGTTTGGCGGGGTATGAATTAAGAACCAATCATACTAAGAGAATCCTCTGCAGGTGCTTGGTTGCAAGGGTATGGTATATCGAATGGCTTCTGGAAGGTGTGACCGTTGGTGGACCTGACGCAGTCGTACAACTGCACTAATACCACAATCGTGTTAGAAGTCACGGCTAGAGGGAGCTTATATGGGTAGCTTACTTAGTTGGTAGAGTTAGCCTGCGGTCCTCAACCAGTGGAGCCCAGCGCCTGAATATATCTTCAACTTGTGGCACCAAAAGTCCACCTTTTGCATCGTTCTTCTTCCAAATTTCGACTTCTGTGATTTCCCGATATTTCTGGGGCCTTAATTTTGCTTGGCATCAATGGAAACTTGAGCAGTTCTACATGAGGTAATCTGTTTGGCGTCTTGTTTTTGAGGATCTTACCTAGTACAAGAGTTATAACCGCGGTCTTTTCTTCGGCATTATCGTTGCCAAGAGTGCGATGACTTCGGGTTCGTATCTTCGCCTTAGCTTGCAGCTTCTGTAGGAGAGCCTAAGACAACTCTGCTTCCAAGTTAAAGTTCACAAGTCTTCGACGCACAGGTTATTGGAGGGAACGATCAGACGAAATTGATGCCCTGCTATCACGTGCGATGCCACGCAACCTTTTAAGAGGAACAAGAATACCAAGCATATCAAAACAAAATTTTTGAGCATCATATCACTTCCGAGTAATATTAATTAGACATGCTATTCTAGAATGTGTGTGAATGTGTGTGAATGTGTGTAAACGCTAGCCGGCGTTTCGGCCTGAGTCGTGTCGGCCATGTACTAATTTATGTAGTCGGGATGAGGCCCATGCACAACGGTTGGAATTGCTCATGTCATAGAAATTGTGCCTATTGCGAGTCAGATGATAGAAGGCCCATGCACAACGGTTGGAATTGCTCGTATCATGAAAATTGTGCCTATTGCGAGTCAGGTGATAGAGCATATTGTCGTCGATTTTTTATAGCAGGGGATCTCTTTCTACATAGGCACGAGCTCATCATCTGAGTGATAATTGGTGTGTATGCATTTGAGTGTAGACAAATGGGATGTTTTTGTGCTCAAGTAGGCTGATATTAGAAATCTCGACAAGCAGTAGAGCATGATTCAACGACTGCCATACCTGCAGTGTATAGTATCATACTCGTAGTCCGAAAACATAACTTAATAAGCTACGACTCGCTGGAGACATGGAGGAGTCAGTAGCATCTGGAGCCTTGGTTCCATGAGTCGCTTTGTGAGTCAAGTGCATAAATCCCGTCTCTCAAATGTTCGAGACCTGAAACGCGGGACAGTGAGTTTATGTCGTCTGTGAGAAACAGCTACCATTTCGAAATCAAACCACCATGGGCAACTAAGCTATCCAGGATTGACACGTTACAAAGCAGTGGGGTATTCATGATACCAGGGACGTCCGAGCTGGACAAAGCTCACACACCCAATTAACCTCATCGAGCTCTGTCTGCTGCTTACCGTGCTTAAAGTACTTCCGAACCCCTTTGTTCCAGTCCCCCTCTTTCTTGTGTTGATATTATTACTGTTCGCAGAACTTCAAATCAATCCACAAACCACTGATAGCACAAACCACTGATAGCACAAAAACGGCAAGCACAGAAGCATCAGAATCCGAGCCTATTGTTATCATCGGAGTGGGATGCTACCTTGCAAACGGCACATCGTCAGCCTCCGCCCTCCGCGATACACTCAAGGAGCCCATAACGACCATGATTTCCAGAGAATGATTTATACTTCCGAAATTCTACCAAGTGAAGAGCACACGTCTGGGATAACAAACGTACAGGTGCCGCCTGACTTGCACTTTAATTGCCTGGCGATAAGTCCGGCTCTACTATGGACGGCTGTAAATCCCGGCCGAAATCCAGCCATCGCCAAAGGTAAAGGTCGGTCAGCTGCGAAGGGCAAGCGTGAATAGTTTCGGAACGTTGGGTCGAGTCAAGCTGATTTGCCGCAACAGCAGTAGAGATTGGTTGATTTCCAGTGCGATGCAGATGCGGTGAGCAAGTTTGCGCCTATGCCTCGTCTACTACACTGGAACATAGAGCTATCCTATGCTATATCCCCTTGATGCACCAGTTATTCTACTAATTCATTGATTTTAATGTGCTGGGTGGGGGTATACTGGATTGGCATGCATACCTGTGGTCCCTGCCTACTAAGGATACCGAGTAACCACGCCGAAGACCTCGACATAGTCCTCCCTGACACGGTTCCAGCAGACGTTTTTTTACTTCTCGTCCTGTTCCGCTAACTTCTGGCCGGCCAGTTCTAACGCACTAAATCCTTCAAAGGTGATCTTGTTGGGCAGTGCTGACGTCTTGCAGGCGAGAGTGTATTTCCCTCCCTCCCCCAACACCCACCTGCACCCGTTGGCAAGGCGACGGGCACAAGTATGGGATTAGCATCCACATCCAAGGTTAGAATTAGGGGCTTGTCGTAAGTCTCGATCATAGCGTGGGACTCAGTGTCGCCAAAGTCTACATGATCACAATTTTAGCTCAAGGAGATTCTGTCAAGTTGTGTGAAGATTATCAGGTCATGAACGATGTCGCACGTCATCTGCTGCTTCTAAAACATTACAAGGCATTGGGTCTTGCCGCCTTGGACACTTTGATTTAATGTGGTTTAACACCGAGTCTCGCATATCACCGAGTCGCGCACTTTTTCAACTTTTCCAACCTTTTGACTTCAACACTTATTTCCTCAACAACAACACCATGTCAGTTCAAACCCAAGAAGCCAATATCAACCTTGCCATCGAAACTATCCGATCGACCAAAAATATGAGCCAACGTCGAGCAGCAAAGCTATACGGTGTACCCGAGTCCTCACTCCGTGACAGAATCCACGGTCGCACCCCACGTACCGAAATCTGGCCGAATAGCGCACTACTGTAACGGGGTAATGCCGGACATCAGGGAAATAGATTACGGGGCTAGGAGAAAGTTTATTTTCTCTTCTTTAAGAGGCACAGAGGCAGAGTAGGACACGAGTCCTCCATCTTCACGCATCATCATCCTCATCTTCATATCATCATCTCCTTCTTATCTATATCTTCACCCTCGCTTTTCAGTCAGTTATTTAGTTATTTTAGTTATTCAGCTTATCTTTACGTTCGAGATCCTATTATCACGATACGAGTATCAGAGGCACATCCGACCAACTCGCGCACCAGACGTATAAGAGCTTCGCTCTTATAACCAGTACCACGATCTTCGTCTGATAAGACCAACAGATGGGATCTGTTGGTACTGGAGCCGTCTGTTCTGTTCAGTGTGTTAGGTGGTAGGTATATCCTACTGACCGCCTGACCCCGTTTCACTACTCGCCAAGATAGAGGAAAGAGCTATTGTTCAGCATGTACTTGATCTAGATTTGAGAGAGTTTCCTCCCCGGCTAGAGGGTGTGGAATATATGGCCAATTCCATTCTTGCGACGCGGGGTACCCGACGCGTCGGCAAGCCTTTGTAAAGCGAACCCCAGAGTTACAGACGCGTTTTTCTCGCTCGTATGACTTCCAGAGGGCCCTCTGCGAGGATCCAAAGATTATTGAGGACTGGTTCCGGCTTGTATCGAATATGAGGGCCAAATACGGGATCCAGGACTGCGATATGTGGAACTTCGACGAGACGGGCTTTATGATGGGCGTTATTCAACGCTCGATGGTCGTTACCTCGTCTGAACGGAATGGGCCACGGCGATTACCTGTGTCAATTCGGAGGGTCGCGACATCCCGCCATTTCTGGTAATTCAAGGGAATTATCACCTTGCTAATTGGTATACTGAGGGGAACCTACCAGCCGATTGGGTAGTCAAACCGACCGAAAACGGGTGGACGAACAACGAGACTGGTCTAGACTGGATCAAACATTTCAACAAGCACACTATCTCGACCAAAAGAGGCGTGTATCGGCTGTTAGTATTGGACGGGCATGAGAGTCATACATCGGCCGATTTCGAGTCTTATTGCAAGTCTAACGGCATTATTACTATTAGTCTGCCCCCGCACTTGTCTCATCTGACCCAACCACTTGATGTCGGGTGCTTTGGGGTCTTGAAACGTATATACGGTCGAGAGATTGATATATTTATCAAGTCCCATATCAACCACATTACTAAGGTCGAGTTCTTTATCGCCTTTAAGGAGGCTTATTTAAAGACAATAACCGACAAAAACATCAAGGCAGGGTTTCGAGGGGCCGGCCTAGTCCCCCACGACCCTGAAGCCGTTATCTCGAAGCTGGATGTTAGGATTCGGTCGCCTACACCCGTTAGCCCCTCTCTTCTAGATGCTGACCCTTGGGTTTCGCAAACGCCAATAACCCGACAGAGGCTCTCTCGCAGTCCGATTTTGTCAATCGCCGAATCGCCAGACATCGGGGAAGCTCTCCGACCCCAATTTTTGATGCTGTTGGCCACCTTGCGAAGGGTATAACTCGATTAGCCCATGAGAATACCCTCTTGAAGGCTGAGTGCTCCACCCTTCGCAAGGCAAATGAGGCACTAAGCAAGCGTCGGAGGGCAAAAGAATCACGTGTCTGGCAAGGAGGTGCACTTACTGTCGAGGATGCCCTGGACATTTTGGCCCGGAAGGACGCGGAGGCCCAGGTAAAGGAGGACAAGCGCTCTAGGGGGGTAAAGAAAAGGCTGGTCCGTCGACTGTACGACGATGTAGTAAGTGTAAGAAGACCGGACATAATGTAAAGACTTGTTAGGTCGAACTATAATTGTCAGATGTATATAGCTCTGAATAAATTTCAATAAACTTTAGTCTGTTGTGGCTTTTTAATTGAACTTGAAATTATAGTGTGGTAAAAAGTGCGCGACTCAGTGATATGCGCGACTCGGTGTTAAACCACGTTACGCATTGTATTCACAGTCGAACTCATCGCTAAACCCAAGACAGGCCTCTACAGATCCTGCAGAGAGGCCGAGAAAGTGAACGCCAGCCGCGCCAATTCGATAAACGTAACCGAATTAGAAGAGGAGGCTATTTTTAAGTAGCGGCGCGAGACTTGTATTGCGAACCGTTGGCCCTAGACCAACACAGAAGGCCCGTTGGCAGACCAAGCGGACATGTAACGAAACCTCTAATAGTCTTCCGTTATATTCTGTTCCGGTCGATCTGGTTAGTGGTTGAATAAAGGAAAGAATAATATCCTATAATTATTGATACAACCCGTTCTTAATTTACATACTTTTATTACTCTTATGATATAGGACAGACCGTCAACTATAATGTCACACCATCAAGCCGCCTTCTCGGATAGACCACACAAGGCGCTTAGAGTAGGATCTATTGATCCGAAGAAGCCAGGAACAGGCGAAATTCTTATCCAAGAGGCCGGTTTTCATAAACCCAGTCGACTGGAAGATTCAAGACTCGGGTGCTATCATCAGGAACTGGCTCACCCTTGGCGAGGACATAGCCGGCGAAGTCATCGAAGTCGGCGATGGCGTGTCGAGTTATACCAAGGGCCAGAGAATCATCGTTCATTTACAGTCCTTGGGCACGAGCAATATCAGACAGGCTGGATTTCAAGAACTTGTCATTTCCCCGCAATCGTCGGTTGCTCCGCTACCTGATTCCGTCAGCTATGAGACAGGCGTCGTGCTTCCACTCTCGGTATCCACCGCCACTGCTGGACTGTTCCAATCTAACCATCTCCATCTGTATAAGCCTAGCTTGAGCCCCACAAAGAAAGGCAAGACTCTGCTTGTGTGGGGAGGGAGTTCGAGTGTGGGCATTTCGGATATTCAGCTAGCTGTTGCTGCTGGATATGACGTTGTTGCCACCGCATCCGAGAATAATTTTCACTTGCTGAAAAGTTTGGGTGCGACTCGGGATTTGGATACCGCAGTTCTACCATCTTGGCAGACCTTGTTGCAGAGCTGATGGATAGCGACTTCGCTGGTGTTTATGACGGCATAAGGATTCAACTCCGGCGGCTGATGCCCAGCGCTAATTTGTGGTTACGACAGCCATTAGTCACCCAGACACTCAGCTTACCGCGGCACAAGTAGTAGCGAAACCGGGTGGTAGCAAGATCGCGACTGTACTTTAAACCCAGGTCACAAGTCCCCAGCGAGACATGTAATTCCTGGTATAAAGGGTGCTGCTGAAATCTAACACGACTTAGGAAGTGTTTACGTTCTGCGCGCAACTCTTATGTTTGTATCTCGACCTAATCTTTTTCCTGGCCGCGGTTGAACATCTCCAGTTCGCTCGGGTTGGATGCAATAACCCAATGTGACATCTTAGGCCAAGTGGCGACAACGAGGATCCGTATTGCAGGTATACAAACAACAATAACGGATACATCGACTTCCAGTCCAGACCATATGAAGGCGTCCATATAATCCCACGTTGGATTAGTTGAGTGGGCCCAGCCATGTATAAACTTCAACCTGATACAGCTTGTAACAAGCACGAATATGCCTAGGCTGAATAGTAACAGAGTGCCGACCTTTTTGCCCCTGCTTATGTTAAGTCCAGCAAGTAGCGGGAGAGGAAGAACGAGTATGACGGCTTCCTGGGCGATCGACAATGCAGCGATAGAAAATGTGATGAGGTTGATATCGAGACATCGATGTTCACCATAATTCCCTTTCCAACCGAGCCACACGGACTCAATGGGCAGGCATTGGAATATCTGAAGAAGGAGCAGAATCGTGGTGGACGTGGCCACGAACCCCATGATTATGTAGACGGCAATGCGAAACCGTCGATGTGGGAATACTCGGAGAAAGAAAAAGAGAAGAACCAGTTTCGTAAGGGCCAAATTTATAATGTAAAAGAACTCGTCAAAGTATTGTATCTACACGCATTAGTGAGTTAAATCTCCAATATAGCGGGTGAAATATACCTTCAATGCAGTAGTGAACGTGTCGCTGCCCAGTGTCCACACATCAACGCCGAGTGCTAGAAAAGCAGCCTGGTCCTCTTTAGCAAACTGCGTCAAGATTAGGGGATAGTTTATAGTTACCATGACTTGATAAGATGGTAAAGGATAGAAACACGGCCTACTAGCATCAGCAACGAGCGTTGTTATGGATATTGGGTGCTTACTCACCAGAACCACCACCAAGACAAAGTCGTCGGCTTCGTACCGCTTCATCATTTTCCATCGAGAATACATGCGCAGTATAATGCATAACAGGGATACTATTGATGCAGCAATAAATGCCCATACCCCGCCTCGTTTGTACCGCCGTGGTCTGCCGCAGGCTGTCTCCGACATTCTTGCAACACCTATATTGAAATTAATATCGCCAAAACTCCAAGTGGTACAAACGAGGAGAAACGCACTCAAAGCATCCTCAAGGATACACTCCGATAGAATACAGGTTTGCATAACCTTAGCCAGACCCGTATCCGTACAGAGGCAGGTTGTATTCGTCAAAGCGCAAGTTGAAGAAGGGATCAATCGTACCATACAGGTAATCTGAAAAGAATTCAGCTGCTATGCAACTATTGAATCATCGAAGTCGTCTTAGACGAGTAACTTACACCGCACTTGGGCATTTCGTTAGCGTAGTTCATGGACTCAGCTGCTTCGCATATTAACAGTATGCATGCCAGCACGACTATTGTTAACCTGAAATCCCGCATCCCGTTATTAGAAGAAAAGAAAGGCACAAGATCTAAAAGGAGCAGAACGAAAGAGCATGAGATCTAGGCTGGTCTTGCACCTATTAGCATGGCGTGAAGCAGTGCACGGGCATCAGCTACAATGATCCCAGACTGTTCTATCCCTAGGCCCCATAAAAGTGGAAATAAAGCCAACGCTGTTACCGCGTTACATAACGTATTTCACCCCATTCCGACACCCCTGTAAAACCCAACAATAACCACACCGCTATTTACATTATCCTTTTATTTCTCAACCACTTTTGCTTCAATTGACTTTATTCCAAGTATTCGATCTGATCTGCTATCAATGCCTTCATATACGGAAGAAGACCTCGCTGCCGCCGTTCTAGACGTCGCAAATGGTAAATCTGTGCGACGCGCTGGCCTGGATTGGGGTATACCAAGGACTACACTTATCGACAGACTTCAAGGCGCTGAATCAAGTCGCGAGGCCTCTGCTAGCCAGCAGAGGCTATCTACAGTGCAAGAAAAACACTTAGCAGACTGGGTTTTGGTCCAGGAAGCCCTTGGACTAGCCCCAACGCACGCGCAAATCAAGGAGCTCGCGCAGCGCGTCCTAGCCCTCAAAGGTGACCACCAACCACTCGGCAAGAATTGGCTGGAAGCCTTTCTAAAGCGTCACCCAGCACTAAAGACTAAAAAGCAACGCCGTATCGACTCTCAGCGTATCAATGGCGCGTCTACCGAGGTAATCCAAGCCTGGTTTGCTTCAAAATTACGTATTCCTGCAATTCAAGTGATTAAGCCGCAATGCAGGTATAATATGGATGAGCATGGCCTTATGGAGGGTCAAGGGGGCTTTGGGCTAGTTTTCGGGAGCGCTACCTTACGCGCAATACACCAGAAACAGCCTGGTTCGAGGGCGTGGACGTCAATTTTGGAATGTGTGGATGCTCTCGGCAATACCTTACCCCCCCTGGTTATTTTCAAGGGCAAGGACGTCCAAGAGCAGTGGTTCCCTGATAAAAATCTTCAGGACTTCAAGGACTGGCGCTTCAAGGCATCTCCCAAGGGCTGGACAGACGATACGATAGCTATCAAATGGCTTGAAGGCGTTTTTATACCCCTTACGCTTCCTCAGGACCCTTCAGACACTCGTTTACTTATTTTGGATGGTCACGGTAGTCACACAACTGATACTTTTATGTCTCTTTGCTATCAAAACAACATATACTTATTATTTTTACCCCCACACTCATCTCATGTCCTTCAGCCCCTCGATGTTGGGGTGTTCTCAGCTATGAAAACGGCATATCGCAAGGAGGTCGGGTTTTTAACCCTATTAACTGATTCAGCACCTATTGGCAAGCGGAATTTTATGCGCTGTTACGCCAGAGCACGCCAGAGGGCCCTAACGGCTCAAAATATCAAGTCTGGTTGGCGTACAAGTGGTCTATGGCCCCTAAATGTCGCTAGGCCCCTTACTAGCCCTCTTCTGCTTGAAAATAGCAACCGCACACGTCACCAAGGTCCAGACATTCTTATTACAACCCAGAAAGTCCATAAAACGCTCCAGACGCCTTCAGAGGGCAATGTTGTATGGTCAACGCCAAAGAAGGGCGTAGATATAGAGCGCCAGTTTAGGGAGTTCAATCGACTCCAACAAACTAACATGACTACACAACGCCAGCTATCTAGAAAGATGAAAAAAGGGTTTGATGAGAAGGATTATCTATTAGTAAGCGCAGAATTACAAATTGAGGGCTTGAAACAGCGATTGGAGCTTATGAAGCCACGGAAAAAAAAGAAGGTGCAAATAAGTCCAATCGCGAAATTCGCAAGGATTGAGGACGTACGGCGGATGAGGGAAGTATCTAATGAAGCTCTTGTTGATGATTCGGGTTTAGAAATATCTAATGTATCTACTGTCGAAAGCGATTGTATAGTTGTTCAGAATTGAATTTGTGGTGGTTGTTTGAAATTGCAGTGTTATTCGTGGTGTTTTGTTTTATAGGGTGTCGGAATGGGGGTGAAATACGTTAGAAACCTAGACTTATCATGAATCAATCCACGAATCAACAGATCTGACCACACAGCTGACTTGGCACGAATTCAATGAACTTGACATTCGTGACATTCGTCCAGTGCGGTAGATCGACCAGGATACACAAGAATGTTTTGAATACAGAATGAAATTGACATTTCAGGGGCGCTAGTGGCCTCCATCGTTTAGGCTGGCGTTTTCGCGTCCTAAGGAGAGCCATTAAAATCTAACTATTGCTGACCGGATTTCAAGCACCGTGATGGAAAAGGCAACTTAGTGATTCTTTGAGTAAGGGAATTTCTGCAGGCGAACCATCTGGGCGTACTACTTGGTGGAGCATGTGCCGCTCGATAGCGTCCGTTTGACCAATCAGACTATTTATAAGTATAGGGTGTCCCATGGATCAAATGCTTATGTTGGGTTGCGCGTCAGCGAGTTTACCACTTCTGGAAGGTGTTTGCCGTATCCTGGGAAGAAGGATCATCTCCCCAGGCTCACCTGCGGGTCATTCATGCCCAGGAAGCTTAGCTTAGGGCCTCAGCCGGTATTTCGTTGGCCCAAGCAAATTGAATGCGGCACAGCACTGCAGATACACATGCCTTTTGCTTTTCTTCAAGCCTATGCCTTCTGACAAGATGGATAACGGGAGTCAACCTTTGGTACCTTGCAGTCTAACGCAGTTCCCATGGCTTGGTGGCGCCGGCTACTAGTGTAGATTGCCCGTCTCATGCATCGGAAGGATGCAATACTACTACGCACCACTGGACAATACTATATCAAGACATTCTTGTTCAAGTCAATTCAATTTTACTGAGTGGGGCTTTGAGATTATTAATGCAGCATGGAAATAATGTTGAGGGTTCTGGGCTGTACTATGCGATGTAGATACACGTATGATA